TTGAGGTAAGCTAAAACATGCCAAAAATTAATTTCAAAGCGAACTATCCCTTTAATGTATTGTAACTTTTAGCATTGTCTTAACTTCATATTGACATCATGCAGAAGAATGCATATATTATACAATGAGAGAGGCTGTATTATCTCAGTGGTCTATGTTGTTTCAGCAGTGCATTAGGAAATGAGTGACTCATTGATGGAGTTTTCGAAGATCATCTGGGAGAAAAAGTACTGCCAAATCTTTCCTGCCCGGAGAAAATGTCCCAAAGTGCAGCTCAACATCTGTCTGATTTTTAAACTGCTTTATGTAAAACATCGATCCAGCTAAAAGCTTGCCCTAGTTAAATTGTGCGCCGAAGCATTGCTGAGCTGAGTTATTTTATACAGTCTGGAATTTAGCCTTGGTTTGAAATCTGAGGCGATACATTAAAGTAAGAGTGTTATGCAATATGTTACTTAGGCTTCTTTACATTGCAGATTTAAGGCTGCTCTGTGCCTGCTCAAAATTCTGCGTACAGACATAATGCTACATAGAAGTTAGACTAAAATATGCCTGATCTGACAGACCTTAGCCCCTAGTGTCAAACTATACAGTTGAAATTGCTGTGTAAGTGCATTTATACCACCTCTGACTCTCAGCTGCTGTGTAAAAGACCATAGACTGTAGGTAAAGACACCTAAATGAAGCGCTTCTATGCCCACTTTGCAGTGTAAAATTGCCATTAGATGTCAAGGAGAGCAACAACTCTGACCATTTGATAAAGATTCATTGAGACGTTGGGAAACATTAACTTTGCATTTTTAAAGCCATTTCAGGTTCATGCAAAATGCACACTACATTTTATAACAGTGTAAAACTCACCATCAAAGTGCTTGGGCGCTACCATCCATTTGCTAAGGTGTTTAGAGTTATTTTTGGTTTGTAGTTTAATATTTAATAGTGTAAGGGTTTTTTTCAAATCACTAACCTTAACATTAGAAATAATAATATTGATTTTTGCCTCATTGAACGGTGTTTTTGCTGATGCAACATTCATTTCAGCTGGAAAGGTAGTGGAAAAAGAGGAAGAGAGAAGGAAAGGAAAGTTCTCCTGTGGTATGCTGCCTGGTGAGGAGGACTGATATTTTATTAAAGTACAGAACGTTTCCTTTTTTTGTGTGTTTACACTGGTGCTTATTGGACTCTTGCCTTCAAAGCAAATTTCGCTGAGAGAAAATTGGTTATTCTGTTGTCGGGAATAAAATATGCTCGCGCTGATAATAAGGGATCCATAATTTCCAGCTTTCATCCGTATCTGCTGCTACTCAGCTGTGGAAAAATCCTTCCATTTACAAAACTGGTCAAATATTGGCTTGTGGTAAATTTGCACAACCCAGAGGCCGTGTGGAGAGTTTTTATTCCAGAGAAACTTTCTGGACCTGATCACAGGTCAGTGTGAAGAAGTTCTTCAGAACACCTCCAGTTTCATGATAATGGCCGAGCGATTCACAGAGACCGAACTCTTGCGTTCCCACATGGGGAAAGCTATTCTGCTTTAAAAGGCACATATTCTACATTGGAAAACTGGAATTTCTAACTTCGAAAATATCAATACCATTTTAGATACCACAAGGAAATTATTTTAAATATTATCCCATATTGAAAATCCAGTAGTGTAATTTTATTGCAAATAGCTTGCACACAGTACAAGGAAGCTTGATTTCAAACTTTGAATTGAATTCACAAAAAAGTCAAGTATACATACAGTAATAAAATGAGAACAAAAACAAATTACAAGTAGTACAAATAAATACAATAGCGTTCAGATACAAATGAAATAAACCGTGCTCTAAGTTTTTTAGCCATGTCTAACAGTAGTACAGAAATTGGATAAAGTAATCAAAATAAAATAACGGAAGGTTTTCATTGTAAAAAAATAAATAATCTTCAATTAAAGTAACATACATAGCAGCAGGTTTATTATGCTGTTGTCACTTTATGCTATTTTTTATACCGGTTGCCAATATTCTTTTCTTTTTTTTTTTTAAATAAAATATATTTGTTGTATCTCCAGCAGACTGAATCTGAACTCTCAAGAAAGGTGAAATGGCCTAAATTGGTAATATGAACATTAACCCCGTCTTACATATTGCATAACATAAACACAGAGCCTTTATGTTCTAGAGTTTTTTTTAGGGATGTCCCGATCCGATCCACGGCATCGGTATCGCGCCGATACCGGCCCAGAACGCTAGATCGGAGATCGGAGGGGAGAAAAAAATATGAGCGATATCCAGTTTAGCGGCGCAGCCTGTCACGTGATGATTGTTGTGTTTACGCACACGCGCGCAGAGAATCACTCTCGCTTTGCGTGTCAAGAGCGAAACTGGCGCGCGTAAAGTTTGAAGCGAAATTTACGCGCGTGACGCGCGTCAGAATCAAAATCCGTTGGGGGTCATTGTTTTTATGTCGACCGAGCATTCATCAAGAGAGTTACCGCTCTGTATTTACTCTGGATAGCAGAACAGCGGCGTGGGGATCATCGTCGCCGTATATTTGTGTCCACCGGACCCTTCGGAGCCGAACCGTTTGGCGAGTTTCACCATTTGCTCGCTCCAGGAGCTGCGCTGGATGACGGCCGCTGTCAGCGGTACTTCCGCCTGTCACGCGCCCAGTTTGATGACCTGTTGTCCCGCATCTGAGCGAGGATCACCCTCGCCCGGCCCCTCATCCCTCATGTTAACATTGAAATCATTCGCGCCTGACGCCCTATTCGCGTCCGGTGTGAACGTAGCGTGCGTCGAAGTTGTGATAGCGCTGTCGGCTAACGCGAAATGCTACTATTTACATTCCATGGATGTTTATTCATATATACAATTGTTTTGGACTAAAAACTTCTTCAAATTGGATTGTATGGACGCTTTACAGTGAAACCAAACCATTTTTGTTGGAATGTGGACTAACAGATGGCTAATTGGTGAGTTTCTTCCAGTTTGTGTTGGTTTGTTTTGGCTGTTGGTGGTCTGACAAAGAGACAGATTGTGCCCGCTGTGTTGATTGTATCTTAAAATGATTTACGTCGTTCGAATCACGAGTTTCTCAGCTTTCCAAAGATATGTATTATGTTTACTTTTGTGTTGGTTTTGTTTTGTCTTTCACAAAGTTAAACCTATAAACCACCCTGTGGGCCGTATACGGCACGTCGGACCACGAAAAAAAAAATATCGGACTAATATCGGTATCGGCAAAAGCCAAAGGTGCGGCATCGGTATCGGTATCGGAAGTGAAAAAGTGGTATCGGGACATCCCTAGTTTTTTTTAGTACATCAATATGACAATCATATGCTATTAGTCTGCTCAACAACCACAAATAACAACACATACAGCAGTGGAAGGGTGTGAAATAATAGAGCTTTACAAGGAAAGGTCACAATGAATGATTGTCCACTTCAGGTTTTATCAGCCCCAATTTGTCCCTTAGTGTCTGTCTCTCATCACTTTAACGTTTCTCTGGAGATGTAGAGTAATTAATCTGAGGAGGAGAGCAGGATGCTTTTTCTTCTCACAAGGTCTGATAATCTTTAAGTAACAATAGAGAGATCAGATTTGTGCTTAATCACAATTTGTAAAGTACTACAAACGTAAAGGTCATGGAAAAAAAAAACTATGTTGGTGATGGAAAAATAGGTTGTTTTTTTTTTGTATGCATGTATAGAAAATGCCAGCCAATGGCCAACATTATACATATTATGAACCATACTGTTTTCAATGTACTTAGTGCTTTGAAGGGCACTAATGTGTAATTTTTGTATGCATGGTAAACAAATTCCAATGCATCCCATTCTTGTTGGTTCTCTGCTTCTCTGATACAACATTAGCTCCTCAATGCCACTTTAGTTAGTAATGTGGAGACACTCATGTCATGTATTGTCCTAGTATAGGCTTATCTTAATGACACTATAGATTTTTGTTTTGATTTCTGAGTTTGGATGATCAGTATATGAGCCAGACAGTGGTTTGACAGTAGCAGGATCAGTGGCCATGTGAAAATCTGTTCCATTAAGGGGAAAATCATCCCGCATGTCCTCTCATCCAGAGATAATGAAGCTCTCTGAAATCTTGCATGGCTTTTTACTGATAGCTACATGTGCAAATCTAGCAGAGACAGTCACTTGAGGCGATTCACATGTTTTTTTTTTTTTCCTGTACGCATGCCTTATGGCGTGTTCGCTCTGTGAGTTTGCTTTAGAACAGCTGCTAATGCTTGAAGCTAGCTGTCAGCATACCAGATAATGTGTTCAGTGAATAGGACAAGCCTGTGAGGTCATTCTGAGCGCTGCCAGTTGGTTTAGAATCTAACAAATGGGTGCGAACTGTTTTTTGTGGCACCCTGTGTAAAAACATCTCCTGCCAATTGCATAATGTAATCGCTAATTAGAGCTGTGATTTGGACAGAGAATCTCTTAGGCAAGAAACAAATATAGGCATAAATGCTTGACCAGCAAATTGCAAGCGTATTGTCCTAGAGTAGATATTTCACATGCATACTTGAATTATAGTGGCAGACTAGAGGTCAAGAGGTGATACAGAGAACTCTGACAGTTAATATTTGTGGGTCCTGATAATGTTACCTGTAAAAACTAGCCGACATTATTTTAAATACATCTAGTGACCGAGTGCAAGCATATTCGTCTGAAATAATTCTGTTTTTTCAGCTTCAAAATCACAAATATTTTGATTCTGGTGACGTCACTATTGTCCTGTGTATTGGGTTATCAGCACTAAGTCCAAGCCTAAACCTTAATTTCGACACCCAATGTAATACCAAATTTAGCATTTTACAGTTGATTTTTTCATAACTTTTTACCATATGTCTTAGAGTATCGCAATAGTATTGTATCGTAAGTTCAGTATCGTGATATGTATCGAATCATGATATGAGTGTACCGTTACACTCCTAGTTCTGATGCATGTTCTGTTCTAGGTGCAAATAACTGATACTTGCTCTCTGTTTTTTTTAGATTGAATGAAGTTGGATGGCATGTAGTATCTCCAAGTTCATGGGAGTTCATGGGACAATTTGGTCAATTTATGAGTCCCAACTATGGAAGAGTGACCGGAGTATGATGCCACAAAGAAAAATGAACATCAGCCATGCCTCCATTGCTGATCTCCATCAAGGGCACTCAGTTTTTACTGCTGTCTGGGACTCTCCTTCTTCTCTTGGATAGTTTCAGTGTTAACATACATCATACCGCACACAAGGCCTTGTTTATGGACGATATCATTCTGTCACTAGAAAGATGAAATTTCCTTTTATTAGAAGTCCCAATTAAAACTAGGACATACAAGTGACAAACTCTGGAAACTCAAAGTGTATAGTACAGATGAAGTTGCATTATGGCAGCTGAATCTGCATTCAGCAGCTGCATTCACGTATCTGGTTCGAAGGAGAGTGATATTTGAACAATGCAGCGAAGTGGAGGCATCATCGGGAACAACGGCCAGCCATGGGTACTGCGGCGAGTACGGCTCACGTGGCTCAGTTTCATGCTCTTTTTCATCCTGGTCTTCTTCCCTCTCATTGCACATTACTACCTCACCACAATAGATGAAGCAGGAGGACCAGATAAGCGTATTTTTGGGCCAAGACCTGGAGGAGAGCTGTGTGAAGCAAAGCATGTGCAAGACCTGTGTCGTATACGGGAATCTGTCAGCGAGGAACTACTTCAGCTTGAGTCAAAGCGGCAAGAGCTCAATGGCGAGATAGCCCGACTTAACCTACGCATCGAGGCTTGTAAACGTAGTATTGACGCACACAAACAAGACTTGCTACAACTCAAAAATGTCATCAGCCAGACAGAGCACTCTTACAAGGAACTTATGGCACAAAACCAGCCAAAACTGTCGTTGCCAGTTCGACTTTTACCAGACAAGGATGATCCTGGATACCCTCCACCCAAGTCGGCCCAAAGCTGTCGTTTGCACTCTTGTTTTGATTACGCTAGATGTCCACTTACATCTGGCTTCCCTGTCTATGTTTATGACACAGGATCATATCCTTGGGGTGAGAAGTTGGACCCTCTTGTCAAACAAGCCTTCGCATCATCTGTCAAAAGCAGTGTATATGTCACCAATAATCCAAACATTGCCTGTCTGTACATAGTGCTTGTTGGGGAAATACAAGAATCACCTTCCTCTCCCCCTGCTTCACCTTCTGACCTTGAAAAGCAGCTCAAGGCTTTGCCGTATTGGAGGTTGGATGGCCACAACCACTTGCTTGTCCATCTTTCTAGAAAGTCTCTGACTCAGAACTTCTTGTACAATGTGAGCACAGGACGAGCAGCAGTGGCACAGTCTACCTTTTTTGAACGTCAATATAGAGAAGGTTTCGACATGGTGGTGTCTCCTCTAGTCCACGCTCTCTCAGAGCCAAACTTCCTCGAGGTGCCTCCGCAAGTCCCTGTCAAGAGGAAGTACCTCTTCACCTTTCAGGGAGAAAAGGTTGAGTCTTTGAGGAGCAGCTTGCTTGAAGCCCCACCGCAGTCTTTTGAGGAGGAAATGGAAGGGGATCCACCAGCTGACTATGATGATCGCATTATTGGCACACTTAAAGCTGTGCAGGACAGTCACCTAGACCAGGTTCTTGTTGAGTTCACTTGCAAGAATCAGCCCAAGACAAGTTTACCAACAGAGTGGGCATTGTGTGGCGAGCGAGAGGATCGTTTAGAGGTACTGAGGGTTTCTACGTTTGCCCTGGTGATATCTCCAGGTGATGGCCAGTTGGTGGCATCTGCTGGCTGTAGCATGAGACTTTTTGAGGCTTTGGAAGTTGGGGCAATACCGGTGGTGCTTGGCGACCACTCAAAGTTGCCCTACCATCACCTCATACGCTGGAGTGAGGCAGTCATTATGGTACCCAAGCCTCGCATTACGGAGCTGCACTTTCTGTTGCGTAGCATCTCAGACAATGATCTTCTAGCCATGCGAAGGCAGGGTCGGTTTCTTTGGGAGACGTACTTCTCCACCTCAGAGAGCATATTCAGCACCATCCTGGCTGGTGTACGAACCAGCATTCAGATACCAGCAGCACCCATACGTGAGGAGCCTGCCCAGGAGATTCCTCACAAAGCTGGAAAGTTGGCTGGAACCGATGCTAACATGGCTGACAATGGGGACCTCGATCTAGGGCCTGTTGAAGTAGAGCCCCCTTATGCTTCGCCACGCTTCTTGCGTAACTTTACCTACACAGCTGCTGATGTTTACCGCACCTGGAATCGTGCACCTGGTCCTTTCCATCTATTCCCACATACTCCCTTGGACCCTGTTCTTCCTTCAGAGGCCAAGTTTCTGGGGTCGGGGACTGGTTTTCGTCCTATCGGTGGTGGTTCTGGGGGATCTGGTAAAGAGTTTCAGGCCGCTCTAGGAGGTAACGTGCCACGGGAGCAGTTCACTGTGGTCATGCTTACTTATGAACGGGAGGAGGTTCTTATGAACTCACTGGAAAGACTTAATGGTCTTCCTTATCTCAACAAAGTGGTGGTTGTGTGGAATTCCCCCAAACCACCTTCTGATGATCTTCTCTGGCCAGACATTGGTCTACCTATTGTGGTAAGCATTCAGTAATTTAAAAAAAAAAATCATATCACATTCTTATAGTCATTTCTTATTACTGGGCCAGTAAACAATCAGCTAGTAACCACCTGAAAAACCCTAGAAATGTATAGCACTCTTGCATCATAGTGGCAAGTTTTGCACAGGCAGGCAGTAGCACCTCATTGCAGTACACAAAATCCAGAGGGTGGACTTGGATCCAGATCCAGATGGGGTTAGGGATCAGTGGGTGGAGATGGGTAGGATTAGGGGTGGGGTTAGGGATCAGGGGGTGGAGATGGGTAGCATCTGTGGTGGGGTTAGGGATCAGGGGGTGGAGATGGGTATGATTAGGGGTGGGATTAGGAATCAGGGGATGGAGATGGGTAAGATCTGGGGTGGGGTTAGGGATCAGGGGGTGGAGATGGGTAGGATCTGGGGTGGGGTTAGGGATCAGGGGGTGGAGATGGGTAGCATCTGGGGTGGGGTTAGGGATCAGGGGGTGGAGATGGGTAGGATCTGGGGTGGGGTTAGGGATCAGGGGGTGGAGATGGGTAGGATTAGGGTGGGGTTAGGAATCAGGGGATGGAGATGGGTAGGATCTGGGGTGGGGTTAAAATCAGGGGGTGGAGATGGGTAGGATTAGGGTGGGGTTAGGGATCAGGGGGTGGAGATGGGTAGGATTAGGGTGGGGTTAGGAATCAGGGGATGGAGATGGGTAGGATCTGGGGTGGGGTTAAAATCAGGGGGTGGAGATGGGTAGGATTAGGGTGGGGTTAGGAATCGGCGGATGGAGATGGGTAGTATCTGGGGTGGGGTTAGGGATCAGGGGGCGGAGATGGGTAGAATTAGGGGTGGGGTTAGGGATCAGGGACTGGAGATGGGTAGGATTAGGGGTGGGGTTAGGGTCAGGGGGTGGTGATGGGTAGGATCTGGGGTGGGGTTCATGATCAGGGGGTGGAGATGGGTAGGATTAGGGTGGGGTTAGGAATCAGGGGATGGAGATGGGTAGCATCTGGGGTGGGGTTAGGGATCAGGGGGTGGAGATGGGTAGGATCTGGGGTGGGGTTAGGGATCAGGGGGTGGAGATGGGTAGCATCTGGGGTGGGGTTAGGGATCAGAGGGTGGAGATGGGTAGCATCTGGGGTGGGGTTAGGGATCAGAGGGTGGAGATGGGTAGCATCTGGGGTGGGGTTAGGGATCAGGGGGTGGAGATGGGTAGGATCTGCGGTGGGGTTAGGGATCAGGGGGCGGAGATGGGTAGAATTAGGGGTGGGGTTAGGGATCAGGGGATGGAGATGGGTAGGTTTAGGTATATGTAAGGTGGGAGGAGTTGGATCTGGATCCAACTCCTCCCCCTGGATTTCGTGTTCTGTAGTGAGGACCATCTCCGGGCAGGCACCACTCAGTGAGAGAACTTTTGTTAAGCCTGTTATTAGTTTGAACTCTCAAAGGCTTAAATGTGATATAACCTCACAAGCATTGCATTCTACTGTAGATTTGGTCTGCTCTCTCTGCTGTCTTTGAAGCATAGCTTTCATGTCTCTAGGGCAGCAAGCCAAATTAGTTCTGGTGATATTAAAGGAAACAGTGCTGTATTAAGCCCACAGTAAGGTTATACTTTGAAATGAAATCCCAAATAGAATGCCGAAGTTCCCCAAGTTTCTTATTCTCTTCGTGTCTTTGAGAAATAATTTGGAACTTTGAAATTGAGCATCTTTAATTATGGATACATGGTTGCAAACTAAGAGCCATTTTAAACACACAAAGTCATCAAAAATGCTTTCAAAAATGCTTTCCAGAAGTATTAAGTTGTTTTGATGGCATTTGTTGGTTTTATAAGGTTATATATCTGCCTGGCCCAGTAAAACCTCGTAATAATGCCATTCTCTACCTCAGCAGTCATTCACAATATGGCATGTTGACAGATAGGCTTTTCCTTTGCAGGTGGTACACACAGAGAAAAACAGCTTAAACAATCGCTTCCTTCCCTGGGATGCAGTCGAGACTGAGGCTATTTTGTCTATTGATGATGATGCCCATCTTCGACACGATGAAATTATGTTTGGGTTCAGGTGAGACTTTTGTGATGGCAAGATCACATACTAAGGCACTTTTTTTGCCCAGTTTCTTGCATGAAACACTTTGAATCTACTTTCGCTGTTCACATTTTTTTATCCACCTTTTGGCCATTTCAAAGCAAATACACATCAGTATTAAAAAAATAAATACTGAATATAGTCAAAAGGCTGAAAATATTGAGAAATACTTTTTTTATTTTGTGCTAACTCGCCTTGCCGTAATGTGTAAAAGTTACTATTTTAATTGTTTTATTATAATTGTTGAGTGATAAAACATTACACAATACACCCTGAAAATTTTGCAGATATTTCCCCCCTTTTGGAAAGACATATTTCGAGGTATTTTGCTTTTATTTATATAAGATAGTTCCCATTATTCTGTTTTCCTATTTTAAAGAAGTGATATGCTGTTGTATTTTGTGAAGTAAATTTTTGTCCTTTATATTATTAGAAAAGAATGTGAAACATGTAAAAAAAAAGTCACTGTCACAACATTTTTGTTGCTCTGAATAGATTGTTTTATGAAGCAAGGAAAGAAAAATATTTCTATTGGAGAGACATTGTAAGCTAATCTTTTTTTTTCCACTTCAGTCTGTGCATATTAAGAATGCCATTTTTAGTGTGATCCAACAATTTAGAAAATGTGTTTTCAAATGCACAATAAATGTAAATGTATTTCTCAAAAAAAAGTACACTGCTTCTGTGGTGTGTTCCTGTAGGGTGTCTGCATTCAGAGAGTTGCAGATTCCTTTGTTAGTTTGAGGAATTTAAAGTAGCTGATCTGATAAAGTCCAAGACAGTTAAAGAAAACGCTCTCCTTCTCTCCTGTGTATCTTCTTGTTTGTTTAGATATTGGTCAGAGGAGTAGATAATGGGAGATTTGATTTTGGTTGAGCTGGTTTATTACAAGCGTGCCGAGCAAGCCCTGAAAAGTGAAGCCAAAGCGTCTTTATCGCCCCCTGATGGCCGGTCCTACTATAGGTCATAAACCCCGCCTCCCCATGTTATTCAATGGCACGTGAGACCAACTAAACAATTAAATTACACTGCAAATATCGTTTTTCCAAAGATGGTTTCTGTCATTAACGGTAGTTTTTATCACGCTGATGTAATTATCAAGAGTTTGTTTTTAGTTAGTTATTTAATGCGGTGGTGATTGGTGTTCTGGTATTATGATCTGTTGGTCTGAGTTGCCTATGTTTTCAGTTACTCTATTAAAGGGCTTTGTTTGGCATCCATATATTGCTTAACAAATGCTATTCAGTGAATATTATAATAACCACTCTTGCATTCCCATCTCTTTCTCCTCTTCCAGGGTGTGGCGAGAGGCCAGAGACCGGATTGTGGGTTTCCCGGGAAGGTTTCACGCTTGGGATGTTAATCACCAATCTTGGCTCTACAATTCAAACTACTCCTGCGAGCTCTCCATGGTACTGACGGGTGCGGCCTTCTTCCATAAGGTGAAGCTTTGACCACTTTGACACTTCCAGAGCCTGATTATGCCAAAAATAGACTTGGAGCTTATGTAGTTTTACCTAACCTTACACCAGGAGCTGGAAATAGTTTAGTTAGTTGAAAACCGATGTACCAAGTATGTTGTTGTGCAACCAAATGCATGATGCAGCGCCCCATTTTCCAGATGGATAAGCACACAGCACGGCATGTTTCATTTATGTGCATTTCTGTACAACATCATGGTACTTTCTTGTGTTCATTTTTTATTAAAATCCATCATATCTTTCTCTCCTCAGTATTACGCATACCTCTATTCTTACGTCATGCCTCAAGCCATACGTGACATGGTGGACGAGTACATCAACTGCGAGGATATCGCCATGAACTTTCTCGTGTCGCATATCACTCGCAAACCCCCCATCAAGGTCAGTGGGCAGTATCTTGAAGCATGATTGAGCCTTTTGGGGCTTTTGCCTCTTGGGATTTCAATTTAGTGCTCAGTCACGCTGTTTTTGTGGATAACATGATGAAGTGAATAATGTTAATTACACAATACATTCTGTTAGCCACTTGGTTTCTGTTTCTGGGTAGCCTTGACAGATTGAAATCTCATTGGCCCAAACTCTTTCTCCACGTAACTGTGTTTTTTGAACATTGAATATGCCTTTATTGGTTCATATTTTGCCATTTTGCAGCACTTTCGGTTCCTGTTAGGACAAAAAAACCTGTTCGACACAAAACAGTATTACATTTCATCGGCTGATTCAAATTTGAATGGACATTGATAAATCTCTTTAGTATCAAAAACACGTTTGTCCAGATCATACCCTGGTCATATTTCATCCCCAAATCAAAAGAAAGAAATATAAAGTGTTGTGAACTTTTTCTTCCTTCTAAAGTGTAGGAAACTCATCCAAAAATCTTAGCCAAGTCTAACTAAGGCATATACATTGTAGTTGATATACCTTTCAAGGGGGACGGGTTACATAGATGTGGAGACACTCTGAAACAAAGCATGTAAATAAGGGATACAGGTTTTCAAACCTGCTCAGCAGGGCTTCCCTCACTGAGACAGGAACCCCAAGCCAAATGGTCTCAATTTAACTTGCAATAGAAAGATCAGGACCAACAGTAACAAGCAGGTTTGTGACATTTACCTTAGTTACAAAATTCACAGTTTATACACTATAAATGTAATTAAACATTTTACTACAAAAGTAGAAAAGTACCCCATTGAAGTCCAAAACGGACCATCAAAAATGGCGTAGAATAGTGCACAAGGACTCGATTTGGGACGCCCCTCAGGTGTAGACGGGCCCTAAGAGTTCTGAAGATGCATGATAGGTTGTGTCTGAAATTGAAGTCATTATTCGTTTAATTCTTCCTCAGGTGACGTCACGTTGGACCTTCCGCTGTCCCGGGTGTCCGCAGGCTCTGTCACACGACGATTCGCACTTCCACGAGCGCCACAAGTGCATCAACTTCTTCGTAAAAGTCTACGGATACATGCCGCTGTTATATACTCAGTTCAGAGTGGACTCGGTACTCTTCAAGACGAGACTGCCGCACGACAAGACCAAATGTTTTAAATTCATTTAACGGGACGAGCACAGGAATCCGACGAAGCGCTGACACGGAAATCGAAGCTTTCTTGTAAATACGGGACAGTTTTACTTTGAACTCGTCTTCCTTGAAGCAAAGGGAGAACAAAAGCAGAACGAACGATTGCCGTCAGGCGTTCTTAACGGTCACCTGTGTGTGATTCATCAGCAACCACTACAGGCTTTATTTGCACCACTTTTCATGGGACGCTTTAATGGATGTCAAACTAATATTTGCGTCATGTTATACTGACAGAACAAACGAAGTTATGGACCGACGGAGGCCGTTTTTGATGGCGCATTATGAGAGGTGTCAGCTCTAAATGAGTAGTGTTTTTATTTTTACTTACTTTGCGTATACTCTATTGTTTGAAATGCACTGACATGTTTTTTTTACTCGTGTGTGTGTGTGTGTGTGCTTTTGAGCTTGTGTGAAAGGCTGTGTGTGTAGGTTGATGGTGACTAGACGCCACTAACCCCCATCAAATGTTTGTTGATCGTCAGTAAGAATAGCACAAGGTATCAAGCATAACTGCATAGGAATAGCACTAAATCAAACTGATACATACAAGAAAACATAACCTGTTCAGTTCACATGTGGATTAACAGATTGATCTTAATGCCTTTTGCTGGATAATCAAGTCTGTTTATGTGTTGTGTCATATTAAGAAGGTCCTATATGATTTCATAAGTGAAATGACAAAGAACTATCCAGGTCATATTTACTCATGTATTAATTTTTAGACATTATTTCCATGAATTATAGCAACATTTAAACGCACATAATGCAACAAAAAAATAATTGTCATTGCTTTGTTCTTTTTCTAACGCAAATATAATTTTTCAATAAAATTAAATGTTTTAGGATTATTAAGATTGGACATTTCTACCAGTTCTCAATACCATAATGCAAAAACAAAAAAACAAAAAAAACATAATTTCATTAATCATAACATCATTTTCCTAATCAAATTTAGTGACAATGACATATATATATTTAGATTTTTATTTTGAAATAGGTTTTTTTTGGGTTGGGGGAGGCAAATAATCTGTTCCCGTAAATACTTTTGGTGAAAATGTTTCTCTATTTCTTTGTGAAATGTGACCTGGACATGCTCTTGACAGTTTCATCATGTGAGAATGTGTTTGTGTGTCCGCTTCTGTGAGGATGACGGTGACAGTAGTCCTCTTTCCTCTGTAAACGGTACGTGTGTCTCTTCTGTGGCAGGACGAGTTGTGCGTCCTGAGGCTTCTTCTGCCGGCCTTCATCTGACAAACTCTGCGCTCCACTATTTCTGTCTTTTGCCTCATTCACGATGTCGATGTCCGACACGTTTGACAGGTACATTTAGGAAAATGGCTCTGCAATTGTAAAGTTTGCGGTTTTATTTTTTAAAACACAAAAATGTGGATCTGTTCTCCTTAGAAGAGGAATATAAATAATCTGATATGGCCATGTTTTGTATTGTTTAAATCTATTGAACGGGCTTTAATGGTTAATTACTTTTTAGTCATTGTGAAGACTGTATGAGCGTTTGGATTGGCCCGTAACTGACGATATATAAACTATTGGTTGTAAAGTGTTGAATGCCAGCAAACGTTATAAATTCTTCAACCACACTAATAAACCAGCCAGATTCATCATCTCTTTCATTACGGTGAAGATCTCAGTGTGTCAAACATCAGTATTCACTATAGACCCAATCGGTTGGTTCATCACACGTCATTTTTGCAATACTTTTTTTAATTAACTATATTTATTCAGGCATGGGACGAGGAAATTGCAATCTGGATTTATGGACTACGTTTGATTGTTTATCAGCGTGCAATTTAAACCCGCTAGGCCAGGGCTCTCATGGTAAAATTGGTAAAATACATCTATCTATCTATCTATCTATCTATCTATCTATCTATCTATCTATCTATCTATCTATCTATCTATCTATCTATCTATCTATCTATCTATCTATCTATCTATCTATCTATCTATCTATCTATCTATCTATCTATCTATCTATCTATCTATCTATCTATCTATCTATCTATCTATCTGTCTGTCTGTCTGTCTGTCTGTCTGTCTGTCTGTCTGTCTGTCTGTCTGTCTGTCTGTCTGTCTGTCTGTCTGTCTGTCTGTCTGTCTGTCTGTCTGTCTGTATCCATTCATCCATCCATCCATCCATCCATCCATCTCTCTATCTATCTGTCTGTCTGTCTATCTATCTATCTATCTATCTATCTATCTATCTATCTATCTATCTATCTATCTATCTATCTATCTATCTATCTATCTATCTATCTATCTATCTATCTATCTATCTATCTATCTATCTATCTATCTATCTATCTATCTATCTATCTATCTATCTATAATTACACCATGGCATTATATGGTATGTGTCCAAATGTTATTGTTTTTGAAGAATGATGATACTGTCGACTACCAGATGAAATATTTAGAGTTTGTTAAAATCAAGTATGAGCAATAGCAATAATTCATTCCACACAAACACTGACAAAGGAATACTGCAATAACTACGAGATTTGTGTGCTGACATGGGGTTTCCCTGTGTGTGTGTGTTACAGCACTCATGAGAGACGCACATATATCAGTGCAGAGAGAGATAGATTGCGTTATTAAACTCCTCTCACTCGAAACGCCCAGAGCCAGCGAGTGTTTGTCTGATTCAATTATACATTTAAAACACTGGGTTGAGATTCATATTCTCATACTGTTTAGTGTGACCCCCAAATGTGTTTGAACACTGAAGCCAGTTATAAATGTCTGGATGTTATTGCATCACTGAAACTGTCTTTAGGACCTTGAACCGTTTGGTTCCCATTGAAGTCAATTATATGGAGAAAAATCCTGGAATGTTTTCATCAAAAACCTTCATTTCTTTTCGACCGAAGAAAGAATGACGTGGACATCTTGGATGACATGGGGGTGAGTCAATGGGCTATATGCACGCATAAGTTCCGCATTTGACGTAAGGATGCTCGTCCATTTCCGGTTGTGTAGATTAAAGCGGAGGAAAACCTGAGAAAACGGGATTATGGCAGAGTCTTCAATATTTACTGTCCTCCCGTCTTTGAAACGAAACGTACATATGTTTAGATGTGATTTTATACACTCACCGGCCACTTTATTAGGTACACCTGTCCAACTGCTCGTTAACACTTAATTTCTAAGCAGCCAATCACATGGCGGCAACTCAGTGCATTTAGGCATGTAGACATGGTCAAGACAATCTCATGCAGTTCAAACCGAGCATCAGTATGGGGAAGAAAGGTGATTTGAGTGACTTTGAACTTGGCATGATTGTTGGTGCCAGAAGGGCTGGTCTGAGTATTTCAGAAACTGCTAATCTACTGGGATTTTCACGCACAACCATCTCTAGGGTTTACAGAGAATGGTCCGAAAAAGAAAAAACATCCAGTGAGCGGCAGTTCTGTGGGCGGAAATGCCTTGTTGATGCCAGAGGTCAGAGGAGAATGGCCAGACTGGTTCGAGCTGATAGAAGGGCAACAGTGACTCAAATAACCACCCGTTACAACCAAGGTGGGCAGAAGAGCATCTCTGAACGCACAGTACGTCGAACTTTGAGGCAGATGGGCTACAGCAGCAGAAGACCACACCGGGTGCCACTCCTTTCAGCTAAGAACAGGAAACTGAGGCTACAATTTGCACAAGCTCATCGAAATTGGACAATAGAAGATTGGAAAAACGTTGCCTGGTCTGATGAGTCTCGATTTCTGCTGCAACATTCGGATGGTAGGGTCAGAATTTGGCGTCTACAACATGAAAGCATGGATCCATCCTGCCTTGTATCAACGGTTCAGGCTGGTGGTGGTGGTGTCATGGAGTGGGGAATATTTTCTTGGCACTCTTTGGGCCCCTTGGTACCAATTGAGCATCGTTGCAACGCCACAGCCTACCTGAGTATTGTTTCTGACCATGTCCATCCCTTTATGACCACAATGTACCCAACTTCTGATGGCTACTTTCAGCAGGATAATGCGCCATGTCATAAAGCTGGAATCATCTCAGACTGGTTTCTTGAACATGACAATGAGTTCGCTGTACTCAAATGGCCTCCACAGTCACCAGATCTCAATCCAATAGAGCATCTTTGGGATGTGGTGGAACGGGAGATTCACATCATGGATGTGCAGCCGACAAATCTGCGGCAACTGTGTGATGCCATCATGTCAATATGGACCAAACTCCCTGAGGAATGCTTCCAGCACCTTGTTGAATCTATGCCACGAAGAATTGAGGCAGTTCTGAAGGCAAAAGGGGGTCCAACCCGTTACTAACATGGGGTACCTAATAAAGTGGTCGGTGAGTGTATATAGTTATATTTATTTAATATAATTTTAAAAAGAAGCATAAACACAACGAGGGGTGTCTGTTTTATCTGTTTTTGTGACTAATGTTTCTTTAGTATAACCATGGAGTATAAAATTCAATATAAATTCTCGGTATTGCATTGGACTCTATGATCGGCGGAAGTTATCGAGCATCCTTAATCCTTCACCGGAAATAACGCCGTGCATAGAGCCCATTATCAGCAGAAGTGTTTTTTAAAGTGAACTACTCCTTTAAAGAGCATTTTATTTTCTACATTAATGCATCCAAAGTTACTTCCCTTGCATTCAAAGTAGTATTATTTCATGCATTCCCTAGGAATCAAACCCATGACCTTAGCATGATCCTTAGTAACTCACGACAATACAATTGTTGTACGATCACTAGGATCCATTTCTCAGTGCTGTGGGTCATTGATCTTTTTTTTTGGGATAAAAAACATTCAGTGATGAAATCTTTCACATCACATGAGTTATTTTGTCACTCAAACACCACCAAACCTCTATGAATCTACAGGCCAGTTAACGCATGCTTTCAAAACCTAACACACAAAACTGAATAAGACCGCAAACATTTCTATATTGAAATATATTCAAAACTATTAGATCTGAACACCTACACAAGTGTTAGTTTTTCAGTTTCATTACATCTACAAAAGTGGGAAACTTGGGCATAATTGTGATCTCTGAGCTGAGTGAGTGGAGGCGGGGCTCATTTGCATATTAATAGAACCGCGAATACTAAATGAGGCAAGGGTGTCGAGTTACATCCTGTGCAGTCTCCAGTAAATACCAGTCGCATAACTGAAAGTGACATTAAAGCGAGTTTTTTTTGAATATGTGTGCGAGTAAATGACAAGAGAATTGAATTTTTGGATGAGTTTTAAACAGGTTTAAGGAAATATAGAAAAGAAAAGTTTTATTTCAACGTTATTTTACAATGATACAAAACACACAGACAAAAGTCTCCATCCAAACGTTATGAAACCTGTAATATCTGTCTACGCCATTGCAGTAGTTTTGGACCCTGTTTCGTGGCTCTGGATGTGCAGATGAATTACAGCCTCTTTATTGACAGGTCAAGTCATTAAGGAGCCAGATATCGACGAGAGGTCAGAGGTCATAGTTTCTGCAGGAAGCGCAGCACCAGGTCTCTCAGCGCGGTGCGTAGCGGCTCGTTGTTGTCACAGATGATGTGTGTGCCGTCTTCCTCCAGCTGGATGAGCACATCTTCAGCCTGCAGGTGGAGAATGTGTCCGTCTGCCGTCTCCTCCACCTTCACCTCCATGATGCCGTTCTGCAGGAGACAGTTATGCTGTAGGTATCATCATTTTATCAAACATTTACTGTTGCAGAACATCCTGACGTCACAAACTACCTTACCAATCAGATCAACGTGTGATCGAGTGAGTGAGTGGAGGCGGGGCTCATTTGCATATCCATAGAACCGCGAATATTAAATGACAAAAGAGTGTCGAGTTACATTCTGTGCAGTCTCCAGTAAGTACCAGTGTTGTCGTTAACTGATGCAAAAAGTTCAAAATATGCAATATCATTAAATATCCAGACTCTGCTGAGAGCGACGTCAAGATGAATATATTAATATTTTGAGCTGCGCACTTTCCTCTCAGTAACAAAATACATCAGTTCAGAAAGCATCTGATCATATTGATATGGATATGTTTGCGCTGATTAATATAGCACTACAATATAAGCAGCTTTACATCACTAAACATGAAAAAATGTGTCAGTTTCTCGTTCAATTACAATTACAACTCCATTCTCTTGCATAAAGCAGCACTTCTGAAGTGTGTTTCTTGTTTTTACTCGCGCCTGACCTCGATGGACTAATCAGAAGAGAATGCGAGAGGAAGGCGGAGCCTCAGAGCCACACCCACTCATGACATCATCGCTACTGACCAATGGTAGTTAGATTAATTCGTTTTGGCCGAAATGACGTCACGTGAGTGTCTTTCGATTTCGCTTGAAGTATATATATATTAAAACTATTACAAATCATTTTCGGTAACTGACAAAAAAACTCAAAATAAAAAAATATATATATTAAATGAAAAACAAACTTTAAAAAAAAAAAAAAAACGAAAATTTGAAAAAAAATAAATAAGTGCAAGTGTTAAAATGACTAAACGTAAGCTGAAATAAAATCCAAATAGAAAAATATGAGAAAAAATAATACGGTAAAATGACAAGCGCATGACAAGATTACTAAAACAAAACAAAAAAAAACAAAACATGAAAAATGAATATATAAAAAAAGCACATTCAAAATATTAAATACTATGTAAATGACATATTACATTTCTGCAGAGACTAGAAGCGATGTTAATGACTCCAGTTCATCTAGGGATTGATTTGGTTTAATTGACTCGTTCCCGTTTATCCGAGAGGTTTGATCCTTCAAAAGGTCTCAGCTTAATGTTTAATAGGGGAGACCTGGGACACTTTCCGCTGTGATAACAGCTGTGGTCAAACCAACCGGCTCTCAGCGGCCCATTTAGCAGCGTCATCATCCTGCGGTTCCTGAGAGCCGACCCCACAACTCGTGTGTGTGTGTGTGTGTGTGTGTGTGTGTGAGAGAGAGAATGGAGATTATGAGCTCTCACTGCTACTCTCACTTAGACCAGAATGCATTACTGTCCAACCAGAACTTTTTACATTTTGTTGAAATGTGATTGCTAAGGTGTTTTGAGTTGCCAATATGTTGTCATGTGGTTTCAAGGCCAATGCCATGTCATTTTGCCGGTTGCTAGGGTGTTCAGACTACAGCATTTTACATGCAAAAAACAGATACATCAAAAATATGCATAATAAGTAAAGAGATCAATGTTGAAATTGTTAACTATTGAAACTAATTTTACCTTTGCTGTAAAAAAGCTGAATTCAAATAAAATATTAGGTGCAAAAACTTGGCAACTAAAAAAATAGTTGTATATTGAAGTACTAGAATTACTGTTATTATTGATCTTACTTTCATACGTGTTATAGCTGTTATTATTGATGTTTAATATATTTATTATTGATGTTTTTATTTGTTCTTTATACTCAAATGCACCTTTGTTTTTTTACCATAATTATAAATAAAATATAGGTATTAGATTAGACGGAAAAAAACATGGCAAATTATAAAATATAATAAAATATGTGCGAAATAGAAATACTATATTAAGAACATATTTTAATCTTTTTTTTTAATTAAAATTGACAAAAGCAAATAACTATTAAAACCTACACTAAAAACTGTAATATGAATAAATACTATAATATATAATACTAAAATACTAAGCAATAATAAAATAACACAGAAATATATATATATATATATATTTGAAATCGCTGGTGTTTCTGACGTCACAAACGACCTTGTAACCAATCAGATCAACGTGTGATCGTCAACCAGTGGATCTCTGAGCTCAGTGAGTGAGTGGAGGCGGGGCTCATTTGCATATTCATAGAACCGCGAATACTAAATTAGGCAAGGGTGTCGAGTTACATTCAAGATATTTTAAGGCATGAAGGAAAAAAACGTTTTTTTTATATTAAACTTATATTAAAATTAATATTTTGGTGATCAAAGATGAGTTTTAAGTGATACAATTATAAACTACAGAGGGACTTTAAAAATGCTAAAATAAAAGCCTCACTTAACGAAATAGGGCCAGTTTGAAGAATTAAACTACAGTGGACCAAAAAGTATAGGACAATATCTTCATACATGCAGTAAAAATCCCTTTGATTGTTGCAAAACTGCCACACAAGAAGTTGATTGTGAGTATCAGAAGCCATAAAACAGTTCTCCTGCAGCTCAGAGTCACCTTGAGGAGGAAGTCACCTTCCCTCAGAATCATTAGAGAAATTCATTTCCTTTCCAGATTAATTAGCCTCTAATCGATGTTCCGGCGCTGCCAAAATCTGCCGTTTGGGATCCAAGCAAATGAGGATGCTAATGCTAATGCCTCTGGTTCTCACAGGACGGGTGGATATCTCTCACTTCATCCTGTTTTTGATTTAGATCCTGAACACTGTTTCCTGCTCTGAGACGTCTCTTCAGGGCCAGATCTTTGTGTCAGTGGGTTGAATTACCACAGTCAGGTGTGCGCTTCTCTTTCTACCGCCTTGGGACATCACTCTCACACACACACACAGTCTTGTCCCGGCTTGACTTCACTCCTGAGGCTGGAGTTGACTGGTTAGTGTACAGAGTGTGTGTGTGTCGTACCTTGTGCAGTGTGGCCAGGAACGGCTCGAGAGGAACCGCCCCGCTGAGCAGAGGTTTCGGGTTCAGGACCTCTGGCGGTTCCTCCATCACCCTCTTCCTCTTCTTACTGGGCGGCACTGGAGCGGGTTTGGGCACCGGCTACAACACACACACACACACATGTGCAAATAAGAGCTTAATATCAATTCTTAGGCCTGAAACATACAGGTATTAAATGCAAATGCTTCTAGTGTGTTTTACTTTAAAGGGCCATGTTCTTCTACACAACATTTATTTTTCTCTCTCACGTCCACTTATTGTGTTTGTTAGATGCTGAATAGTAAATAGGCCGTGAGATGGGTAAAAACGAACAAAAAGCTTCAAAACTAAAAAAAACTAAATATATAAATAAATAAATTAGTATTTTTATTTTAACATACTTCATTTTCTCTCTTTGATGTGAGCAAAAAACAAATATATATATATATATATATTAGGGCTGTGAAACGATTAATCGCATCCAAAATAAAAGTTTGTGTTTACATAATATATGTGTGTGTAGTGTGTATAATTATTTTGTATGTATACACACATATCATATGCATGTATATATTTAAGAAAAATATGTTATTAATATATCAAATATTTATATTTATGTATAATATTAATTAAATATAAAGTATATACATGCAAATATTTTTTTTAAATATATACATGCATGTGTGTGTATTTCTATGTACAAAATAATTATACACACTACACACACATATATTATGTAAGCACAAACTTTTATTTTGGATGCGATTAATCGTTTCACAGCCCTAATATATAGACGCACAGTCACACACACATATATATATATGGAAAAGAATAAAGAAAAGTTCATCTGAGTATCATAAATTACTAAATGGTTTTATTACCTTTGTGTGTGATATTGATATTGTTAAAAACCTATATATTTGATATTGTTAAAATTATATCTTCTAAATTTGTACTTTTTCATGCTTTATAAATAATTTGAAATAGCTTTTTTGTATTTTAAATTGAGTAAATGTACCTTTGTTTTTTGTTTTGTTTTTTTATTATCATCAAGTAAAACGTTGAGAAAATGGCATATAGATTTTCTCCTTAAGCCCTTTATGTGCTGATGATTGTGATTTCATGAAGAACGAGTTGTTTTGTGTTTTAGTTTCCAGTGACCAGGAAAGGGAGTTTTGCATTGTGAACGTGAGAAAGGCCCATGTGTTCATGATGGATGACTAAACTGTGATTGGTTATAAAATGGGTTAAAAATACTTCAGACGATGTTCAGAGCAACTGAGGTAAATTCATGCATGACACGAGTGATTATGCGCATGTTGACACACACACACACACACACACACACACACTGACCTGCAGAACGTGCTTGTTGTCCTTGGACTGCAGAACCGCAGACACTGTAGCGACAGAGATGCCGGGTTTAATCTCAGAGGGAACCAGAGATTTGGCGAGCTGGAGGAAAGAGACTGAGATACTGAAACAGATATCGACTGACAGGTTTTTATTACTCATACTATTTTTTTTTTTACTATTTTTAAGCATACAAATAATCAATTTTCAGTTCAACTATCAGTTATAATAACCCAGAAATATCTGTTGGCACTTTACTTAAAGCCTTTGCATTATAAAAGTACTTTAATGCATAATTTATGGCATTTAATGAACCTTATAACGCATCATATGGTCTCATGAATAATTGTAACCCCAGTTTTATAATACTAATTTATTCTTCGTTACACCTTTAGAAAGTATAATGCATTAAAACACATGAAGGTTATTATAGTTTTGCTTTTAATATTATTTTCAAACTTCATATACATTTCAGTTTAGTTTTAGTTAGTTTCATTAATGGTTTTGTTAATTGTAGTTTCGTTTTTATTTTGAGAACGCATTTCTATTTACTTTTCATAATATCTCGAAATATCTATTTTATTTCAGTTTCATAAAATGTTTTTTGACCAATAGTTTTAGTTTCAGTTTTCATTTACGAAAAACAAAAAACAAAAAAAAACAAGCAACTTTAGATACATTATATCCTACATTATGAAAACCTTTATAATGCAATATACATAAAGTCTTTGAGTTAAGTGTTACCAAATATTTTTTGTTTAATTAATTAATGAAATATTAATATTTCAGGAAAACTTGCTTTGGCAATTTTGAAAATTACTAACTAAAATAAAACTAAACCTGAAATAAAAATAAAAAACACTATATATTTAAATATGTGATATTTGTTTTTAATGACATTACAAGGTCGATCAAAATATTTTTTTAAATATGAGGGAAAAACCAAATGTTATGACAAATAAAACAACTACATATATGCTTTTAAAGTCAAGAAAATCAAGTTATTTATGTTGTTTATATATGTTTTTAATATGCTTTAAGTGAAACCACGTGTAAATTTATTACTCTTTTAAGTATTAAAACTGCAGTGAACCAAAGACAGTCTCAAAAACACGGTTTGAAATCGTCACAAACGACCTTGTAACCAATCAGATCAACGTGTGATCGGGAGTGAGTGAGTGGAGGTGGGGCTCATTTGCATATTCATAGAACCGCGAATACTAAATGAGGCAAGGGTGTCGAGTTACATAAGGGATTAAAAACTTTTAAATATGTCATTTTGGTGATCAGAAATGAGTTTAAAGGGATACAATTACTGACTACAGGGCGACTTTAACACATTTTTAATAAGGGTTAAGGGATCTCTACATGTCATTAGATACATATAAAATTGGATTGCTCTCTGTCCGTAGATCTAGGCTAAAACATCGAGGAGACCGAGCTATTGCGATAACAGGCCCTAAAATCTGGAATATGCTTCCGGCTTAAAACATATTTCCTTAATGTTGGTTTAGTTTTGTGTTCGATATTATATAGATTATAATCTGTTCTGTTTTTCTTTGAGTATAATGATCTGTACAGCTTTCCCCATTGTGAATAATGAAATATGACGAGTGTGTGTGTGAGACCTCAGGCAGCAGCTGAATGCGCTCGTAGCGGCGTCTGAAGGGAAGCCCCAGGACGGAGCAGCGGCGATAGGCCATGGGTGGAGGCTGCAGCTCCAGCATCAGGTCTGAGCGGTGAGCCTGAGCCGGAGGAGGCTGTGTGTACGGCTCGGGACACACCACATGAAGAGGCTGCCAACGCAAATCGTTTAGGGCTGCACAATCAATGTAATCGCACTTTAATCAAGTTAAAAAAATACATTTTCTGGCTTTTCTCAGTCTAGAAAGCTCCAAATTTAAAACTAATTTCACATTTCTTCTAAATCAATGACCCATTTTAAATACACATTCATCTCTCCAGAGATGCCGTAAGAGCAACGTTTGAGCGTACAGCATTCAGGAGGAACAGACCGTACCTGGATGTCCTTCAGGAGTTTGGACACCTGGTGGAAGTTGAGTCGCGTGTCTATAGGGCAGTAAACACACTTCATCGCCAGCGGCTGATACGGAGCCAGAGCGTCCAGGTAGGAGAAGTCCGGCTCTGAGAACGACACATCATTCAGAGGTAAGAGCGTTTAACATTAAACACCACAGCACATTCAAGAACATTTACTGTAAAAACAACCACAGATGACCTCAGTGCTAATTAATTACAAAAAACAGACACGGTAGAGAATGTCACAGCAAAACTCAACTCAAAATGAAAGCTGAGGAATACAGGTTAAGCAACGACTTAAACATTTCAGCCATTTCTATAATTATACTGGTTTCCAGGGACGTGCACAGACATTTTGAGGGGCAGGGGCTCAAGTGGATAATAATTAATCATAATTAAGTTTTATTTATTTTTTTAAACCAAAAAGTACCTATATTAACACAACTCTGACTTTAAAAAAAAATGTATTAAAAAAGTTAATTTTATCTTTCTCAAACTCACACAATTGTTTCAATAAAATAATCAGTTCACACAGAAATAGTCTCACTAGGTTTATAGAGCATGCAGCAAAGGAAAGATGCCACTATGTGCATGTTTTCTATGCTACTAGTTTCAGTCAAGTATATATTTGATACACCTGATGGTGACATTTGAGGGAGGACTGAATCATCATCATCATCATCATCATCATCACATAAAACCTTCAAAATCCACATTTTGATGGAGTTTGTTTTAAACCTGTTTGCATCTGTAGATTTCTTCTAAATTCACCAATTTAGATTTCTTAATTTCAGGGGGAAAGATACGGAGGCGTATTGCATTCACTTGAAGAAAAAACTCTGTTTTTCTGAATTAATGAGTTAATTTTTCATGAGAAAAAAAGTTTTTGCTCTGTTTTTCTGAATTAATGAGTTAATTTTTCATGAGAAAAAAATATTTTGCTCAGTTTTTCTGAATTAACGAGTTAATTTTTCATGGATTTTTTTTTTTGCTCTGTTTTTCTGAATTAACTCGTTAATTCAGAAAAACAGAGCAAAACCTTTTTTTCTCACGAAAAATTTACTCATTAATTCAGAAAAACAGAGCAAAAAAATTTTTCTCATGAAAAATTAACTCATTAATTCAGAAAAACAGAGCATTTTTTCTCACGAAAAATTAACTCATTAATTCAGAAAAACAGAGCAATTTTTTTTTTCTCATGAAAAACAGTAATTTTTTTTTCTTCAAGTGAATGCAATACACCATAGAAAGACTCTTGATGTATGTAAGTCATTAACTTTAATAATAAGAATTTTAGGCCATAAAAAGTCATAAAAACGTCCGGATTTTCCATACAAGGTCATAAATTACATTCAGCCACGTCTTAAATTGATATGCTCATTCATTCATTATCGCGATATAATTTTTCTTGATAAAACGATATCAATTTCGATATCGTCAATGCTTGATATCAATATTGAGGCAAAACTCGATATCAATATCGAGTTCGATAATGTTTATTTGCCAAAAGCAGAACGAAACTCATTTGAATCGCACGCACGCGCGTGACTGAAAACGTTCGGCTCAAAGTCCAAACGCAGCGCAGCGCGAGCTCACCAGACGTGTGTACTCTGATCGGCGCTTCAGAATTCCTGACCTGATATTTACTGTTCAATAAATATATTTGTTTGACAGGGAAGCTGTGCGCAAAGAGAAATATATATTATTATTTTCAAAAATGAAAAAAAAAAAAAAAAAAAACACCCCAGAAAAAAGGGCAATTTCTCTCCAGGAATAAAAAGGGCAGGTGCTCACGCCCCCTTTGATGTCTATGTGTGCACGTGCCTGCTGGTTTCATCATTCTAAAAATATGTTTAAATGTGAATAAAAGGCTAAATTAAATCTGTTCATCATATAAAGCGAAAATTTGGATTAAACCGCTCGACCTCACCAGTGAATATGATGGTGTTTAGGCCGGATTTGCCCCACAGCTCCATGAAGTGCACCACATCCCCGAAGCGCAGGGACGGGTGACCCGTGAACACCACACACGGCTGCCGGAACTCGCTGCTGAAGTCTCCGTGAATACTGGGGTAATGCTTCAGTTTATTGGTCTGAATCAGCTGCAGGAAACAGAACATGAGCGTCAGTGTAGCACAGACCCGTCCGTGTCATTCCTGCGGTGTGTTCGGGAGATGTTCACCTCAGCGTGAGGAAACGGCGGCTCGGGCAGATACACCTTAGACTGCTTGTTCTGACACAACCTTCAACACACACACACACAGCCAGAGAAAGAGCTGTTATTGAGCAAATATCACAGCGGTCATGAAACGTTACCATGGTAACCATAGTATCTGCCAACATTGAATTTCAGTGACGTTTTCCAACAAAATCTGGAGACGATTTCCATTTGAAAATCAGGGAGTAAACATTTAATTCTAACATTTCAACATTTCATTTATTAGACAGCACCCACACAATCTAGCCAACGAACTAGAAAAATATAAATTTGGTCATTTAATATTTGAATGTTTAAATTACTGTATTTTATTATATTATTATAGATGTCTTCAAGAAGACATAACCCAATATCTAACAATAATAATATTATATTGTTAATTTAATATTCAATTATGGTAACACTTTACAATAAGGTTCGTTAGTTAACATTAGTTAATATGAACTAATAATGAATAGCACATATACAGCATTTGTTAATCTTTGTTAATGTTATTTTCAACATTTACTAATACTTGATTAAAATCTTGTTAACATTAGTTAATGCACCGTGAAGTAACATGAACAAACAATGAACAGCTGTATTTTCATGAGCTAACATTAACAAAGATGAACAAATGCAGTAACAAATGTATAGCTCATGGTTAGTGCTTGTTAGTAAATACATTAACTAATGTTAACTAATGAACCTTGTTGTAAAGTGTTACCTCAATTGTTATACATAAATTATATTATAATTGAAATCATTTCAAATTCAATTATTAATAGATGTCTTTATTAACACAACCAAATATCTAGCAATAAACAAAAAAAGTCAATATAATTTTATTTTGTAATTTTAACATTCAATTGTATTTTATAATTATATATATTAGGGCTGTGCAAAAGTTAATTGCGATTAATCGCATCCAAAATAAAAGTCTGTGTTTACATAATATATTTGTGTGTGCTGTATATAATTATTTTGTATATATAAATACACACACATGCATGTATATATTTAAGAATTATTTGCGCTTAAATTCTGTATTTATGAATACATAATCTATATTATATAAATATAAATATTTTATATATGAATAACACATTTTCTTAAATATATACATGCATGTGTGTGTATTTATATATACAAAATAATTATATACAGCACACACAAATATATTATGTAAACACAGACTTTTATTTTGGATGCGATTAATCGCAATTCATTTTTGCACAGCCCTAATATATATATATATATATATATATATATATATAAAATGTTGTATATAATATTATATTGCAGACGTCTAATAAGACATGTTAGTATACAGTATATGTTAGTCCGGAAAAATCCCGAATAATGAATATTTATCATGATCGATTAAGCAACTATAGTATTTTGGCAGAAACTAAGATTACCATAGCACTATTTTTTGTGAAGTATCTCCGTTTTGTTCATTTGTATTTTAAATCTAGCCCGTTACTGGACGGCGTGTGTGATCGTACCATTCGGCAAAGATCTGTGAGAACTCCAGCGAGCTGTTGGCCACGGGCGAGATGAAGTAGAAGGGTGTGCTTCCCAGATTGGCTGAGTCCATGAACTGATACAGACACTCCAGCAGGTCGTAGATCACTCCCGACGAATAACACGGGACCAACACATTCCCACCGCCACGGATCGTCATGGCTGAGAGAGAGAGAGAGAGAGGACATAAACTATGTACTGTATATGAAATTATTAATATTATAAAATTTATTTTAATATTATAATAATATATTTGTATCCGTTTTATCTGTATATAGTATTTTTCAAGTACCTCTTTAAAAATATGTCTGTTATCAAGGGTTTTTCAGGATATAAACTTCAGGAAGTCAAATTCAAGAACTTCAAGCACCATGTACACAACTCACACAAGTTGCTGCAGAATTCTCCCAGCATGCCGTCAGGGTTGGCGGTGGGGATCTGGGTCAGGCCGGTCAGGATGAGGACGTCACTGTTCTTCAGAGAGCCCTGTTCCATGGGCTAAACAACACAACACACGTCTCAAGTCACTCAACAATGGGCTATATGCACGCAAAAAGGATGCTCGTCCATTTCCGGTTGTGGAGATTAAAGCGGAGGAACACGGGATTATGGCAGAGTCTTCAAAATTTACTGTGTGTGTGTGTGTGTGGTGTCACCTGGGGGTGTGTGGTGAGCAGAGAAGAGCCAGACACATAAGACACTTTCTCATAATGTGACTGAATGATCCAGTTTGAGCTGCCCAGAGAATATCCCGAGCTCAACGGAGTGACCTGCACCGCTCCAAACAACTCCTGAGAGACAGACAGAGTCCAGACAGAGGAGTTTACACACAGCGTCTTCACATTCAGATTCAACTTCATTGTCATTGTGCAGAGTACAAGTATAGAGCCAATGAAAACACAGTTAGCATCTGAACAGAAGTGCCAACAGTAAATATATATAAATGAATAAATCTAAGCTAAGGGAAAACGCAGATATTTCCCTGCGGTTTGGCCTCTCATTTACACGAAAACCCCGTTTTTATTACAGAAAACTTTTATTTCTAAAAACTCCGGCCAAAGTGGAGATTTCTGCGTGTCAACTGGGAGAAACGGCGTTTTAGGTTCTCTCTTGTCGATTCTAAGGATTCTGATTGGCTTGCATGGCTTTATCCTTCTCCCTACACTGCCGCCCATAGGTTTGGCATAGATATGATGGCGCTCGACGGCGTATTTATGCAGGTGTGTGAACGATGTTATTATTGAAAACGGAGAGGGGGAAAATATTTGTTCCACTAAATACCCGGCTTTGTGTAAATGTGGCCTTAATATATATATCCTGATATATATATATCAGGGTTCTCAAGTTTTATCAAAAGCTTTTATCAAAAGGAGTGAGATCACATGCGGTTAGGGGAGGAGCCCTAATGGAGCCCCGCCCCCAATTTTACCAATTGTTCATATTTAACCAGCACAAATTGAAATTATACAGGACCACACCCCTAAATGCATTGAAGCAACTGCCATGTGATTGGTTGATTAGATAATTGCATTAATGATACAAATGAACAGGTGTTCCATAATAATCCTTTAGGTGAGTGTATATATATATATTTTAGAAGAGCTAGGATAAAGGATACAGATGCAGAGACCAGCTCAATGCAGTTGTCTAAAATACTATACCAAGTGCAATATATTACAAAATGCAGTACAAGGTTCAAATGTAAAGTATAACACAGAAAGTCAATTTTTGAGACTGAGGTCATCAGTGCAAAATGGCATCATGAGGTAGAAAGGAAAGTGCAAAAGAGTGTAAGAGTGATTTGTAAGAGTAACAGTCATCTGATTTTCCATTGATAAATATATTGTTTAATAAATCATTTATATGTGCAGTGCACTAGAGTTAAAACGTTTGGGGTTGATTCTTTTTAAAGGTGAAAGTAAAAACTTTTCTTTCTTTTTTTTTTTTGTTAAATTTGCTTACAATTTAAAACAGCTCTATTTTAATCGATCTATGTGAATATATAGTAAAATGTAATTTATTCCTGTGATCAAAGCTGAGTTTTCAGCATCATTACTCCAGTCTTCAGTGTCACATGATCCTTCATGATTTGATGCTCAAGAAACATTTCTGATTATTATCAATGTTGAAAACAGATGAATATTTTGAGATACATTTTTTTTCTAAATTCTTTTGCAAACAGAAAGTTCAAAAGAACAGCATTTATTTGAAATAGAAAAGCTGTATTATAAATGTTTTTACTGTCACTTTAAATTAATTTAATGCATCCTTGCAGAATAAAAGTATTAATTTCGAAAAATAAATATATTTGCTGATGCTGACCCCATCCTTTTGAATGGAAGTATAATTCAACATACAGTATTTAATGGGTGCATTATCTGCAATTATTTGATAAAATAATTTTTTTTGTGTGTCTGTAAGCCAAACTCACTGATTTTGCCAGGAAAGACATGTTCCTGGATCAACATTCCTGTTCAAAAAACGAACGCTATCCCAATCCATAACTTATCCATAAAATCAGAGAGGAACTGATGTAGAAGCACCTAACCTTGACATAAACTGTAAACCTGTCCCTCAAATCTGATTGGCTGATTGAAATGTCCTTCCAGGATTAAAAAAGATGCTGATCCAGGAACATGTTATACATATTGAAATCATGTTCAAGAAGGTCCAGGTTGGATGTAGTGTTCATATTTGAATGAGTCTTGTGTTAGATATAGATAGGGGTGTTGGTATGAGGACCTCACCACTTTCTGGGAATATCCCACCAGCTGGACTTTACTGAGGGCAGAATTGACCTCCTGCATGCTGTAACACGTCCTCCAGCTCCAGACGTCCACCGCGTCCTTCAGAGGGCTTGGGAGAAGCCTGAAATACACACAAAACCTCAGGTAAAAATACAGCCAATGGGCGGCTCTCGGGCAGAATGAGCTTGAAATGTGGCGTTCAGTGCCTTTGAATGTCTTTGTTCTTCCAGCAGGAGGCAGTGTGAGCCTTTGGGACTCTCTCCATGAACGTCACCAACTCCTCCATGAGCAACCTGACACCAAAACCAGTTACTACAGTGCAGTAAATGTATTAAATGATTTTGAATGGAAATACATAATAAAGCATAAAAAAAAGTTTCAGGACGTTTATATGAATCCTACAGAGCATTCACTTGAAGAAAAAAAAAATCTACTCTGTTTTTCTGAATTAATGAGTTAATTTTTCATGAGAGATTTTTTTTTCTCTGTTTTTCTGAATTAATGAGTTAATTTTTCATGAGAAATTTTTTTTTTGCTCTGTGTTTCTGAATTAACGAGGTTAATTTTTCATGAGATTTTTTTTGCTCTGTTTTTCTGAATTAATGAGTTAACTTTTCATAAGAAAAAAAGTTTTTCTCTGTTTTTCTGAATTAATGAGTTAATTTTTCATGAGAAAAAAATTTTTTTGCTCTGTTTTTCTGAATTAACGAGTTAATTTTTCATGAGATTTTTTTTTTTTTGCTCTGTTTTTCTGAATTAATGAGTTAACTTTTTCATGAGAAAAAAAGTTTTTCTCTGTTTTTCTGAATGAATGAGTTAATTTTTCATGAGAAAATTTTTTTTTGCTCTGTTTTTCTGAATTAATGAGTTAATTTTTCGTGAGAAAAAAGTTTTTGCTCTGTTTTTTCTGAATTAACTCGTTAATTCAGAAAAACAGAGCAAAAAAAAAAAATTCCATGAAAAATGTACTCGTTAATTCAGAAACACAAAGCAAAAAAAAAAATCCATGAAAAATTAACTCATTAATTCAGAAAAACAGAGCAAAAAAAAAAATTCCATGAAAAATTAACTCGTTAATTCAGAAAAACAGAGCAAAAACTTTTTTTCTCATGAAAAATTAACTCATTAATTCAGAAAAACAGAGCACATTTTTTTTTCTCATGAAAAATTAACTCGTTAATTCAGAAAAACAGAGTAGATTTTTTTTTACTTCAAGTGAATGCAAAACGCCTCCGTAGAATCCATTTCAAAAGAACAGAATTGTTTTTTTAGAACATTATGTCACTTATAATAAATTGAATGCATGCTTGTTGTTGAACATTAGTGTTATTTCCAGATGTACTGGAGGAGCAGACCTGCCGATCTGTAGTGTGGGTTCTGTGGCGTATACGGTCCCGGTGAAGCCCGTGTGTTCTGTGATATACGGCAGCGCCATCATGCAGTGATAGTTGGATATCAGGATCACATCTATGGTGGAGAGGTCCAGCAACTCCTTCTGGAAAACAAATCTCTTTAACAACAATTCTTTCTGATCCACAGACAAGAACGAAATGATGCAGAAGGGTCCGTTTCATTCGAGTGAAGAGAAAATATTTACTTCAGGGAGGCAGAATTCAGGCTGTGAGTCGACAAACACGCGTCCTGAGCATTCCTTTAACTCCTACAACACACATTCAACATACTTCTTATAACACACACTTACTGGAATTTAGAAATCCAGCACTGGGATCATATGTCAAGCAAACACTCACTTTTTCCAGGTTTATGGCTCCGTCCTTGGAAACCCATCCTGGGAGCTTAGAGAGTCTTGGACTGTAAATCATCACGATAGAATGATTTTTATCAGTATTAGTCCACTGGATATGATGCTATTTTGCTTAAATCCACAAAATATATAGTAGCTTTTTGTATAATGTAAGATTATAAGATGTATAATACGTATATTTTAGTGATATGAAGATGAAGATATTTATGCTATTTTAATTTACTAAATTGATAATAACAGGTAAATAAAACTTAAATGTGTATTTAATCCTAGCACAGTAGCACTAATAGCCAAGTAGATTAAAAAAAATGTTAATGCAATGCAAAATATAGTAAAAATAATGTATTCTATTATATGCTATTATGCATTAAACACTACCATTCACAACTTTGTAAAAGGAATACTTTTATTGAGCAAGGATGTGTTAAAATGATCAAAAGTGACAGGAAATATATTTTTAATGTTAAAAAAGATTTCTATTTCAGGTAAATGCTGTTCTTTTGAACTGTTTTCAACATTGATAATAATCATAAACATTTCTTGAGGAGCAAATCATCATATTAGAGTGATTTCTGAAGGATCATGTGACACTGAAGACTGAGTAATGATGTTGAAAATTCAGCTTTGATTACAGGAATAAATTATATTTTAATATATATTCACATAGAAAAAAAGTTATTTTAAATTATAATAATATTTCACAATTTTTACTGTATTTTTGATCAAATAAACGCAGCCTTGGTGGGCAGAAGAGACTTTAAAAACCTCAGAACTGTAGTGTAAATACACTAATAAATCAACTTTTTAATGACCCACTAAATTAAACTGAGATGTTAAACATTAAACACAACAAGTACAGAAATACACATCTAACAAGTACCACCAACAAAATGTAAATACAATACTGTAAAGAGAATAAGCAAATACAGAATAATAAAAACCTACAGAGCATATGCAAAATGAAAACAATATCTTGTAATATATCTTGTTTAGATCAACAGTAGCCTAAATATAAACAGAATCTGTATTTAGTTATTCAAAGAGCCATTTAATCACCATATATATTCTGAGTGATGCAGGCTCTAATAATAACATATAGAGATATAGTGATGAGTGTTATTATATTGATATACCTGTGCACTAAAGGCAGTGGGAGGAAACTCAGCGCTGCTGTTGTGTCCAGTCCACAGTCCAGCATGATCGTGGTGGATTTGAACTTCAGCACATTACAGGGCAGAGTGGGATGACCTGACAGACAGTACTGAAACACACACACATGATCATGTGCAAAACATGGACCGATTCATTTACTGCAGGTGAGACTCAATATTGCAGATTTCAAATAACCGTGATGTGGTAAATGATGGTTATGTATTAACAAATCACACTAATATACGCACCAATTTCATGTCTGATCCTCAGAAACTGAATTGATTTTCTAACTTTGTAGTTTTCAGGTTAATATTTACGGCTGATGTCTTTTCTTCTCCTGGATGTCTGCGCGTATCATTCAGCTCATGACAGACATGCATCGCCCCCTAGCGCTGGGGAGTGACACTGCATTACGATTTTGAGTATATATTTGTAAAGTATATTTGAGAATATTATTGTAAAATATATATATATATATATATATATATATATATATATATATATTGAGTATATTAGCCCTAACCCATTTAAATTGAACTCCAAAATATTTTAAGGAACATCAAGGTACATGTCCAAAAGTACCTTGCATTTTTGTTGTTCATATTATATGTTTATATAAATAATATAATGGTACATGTCCAAAAGAGTACCTTGCATTTTTGTTTTTTTATATATATATTATGTATTTATATAAATAATATCAGGGTACATGTCCAAAAGAGTTCTGTTATTTACATAATACGTATTTATATCAATATTATATATTTATACACTGTAAAAAAAAAAAGAAGTAGCTGCCTTAATGTTTTAAGTACAATCAACTTGGATATTGAAGTCATAATTTCAACTTAAATTATAAACTGACTTAGAAAAATTAGTTGAAACCTGGTTGAATCATGTATAACATGAAAAAACTGTTGAAAAAAATGCTTAACTTATTTTGATGAGATAAAGCTTAACTTACTGATCATATAATATTTTACAGTGTATAAATTATTTATATAATATATCTGCTTATAATTATAATATTATTTTATCTGATGCTAATGTGTTATTTTTTTTTACAAAGCTACTGATTCAGTCTGAAAGAAAACACCCAATAATTTACACCTGCATAGTGATACATTTTATAGAGATTAAACTGAAATGTACAGAATTATTTTTTTCTTTAAAAAAAAAAAAACCTTTGTTCTTGCATCGAGTTTACAACTTTCTCAGAATGTCAAGATATACGAGTTATAAAGTCATAATTGCGAGATATAAACAAACTTCCACAGTCCATTTGCAGTAAAATGTAATAAAACCGAAGAATTATAGGCTAATTTAGACCCACCATATCTGACCAATCAGAAACAAGTCCTTGCCGACAGGCCCCGCCCCTTTGAGCACTTCGTGTGAGTGACGCATCCGCTCTACCTGCTCGCTCGGTTCACGGTCCGCCAGTCCCGTATGTGCGTGATTCACCTGCTCAAACGCTCCCGAAGATCCGCTGAAGTTCAGCACGGTAAGATGGCGAGGGACCAGGAAATGAAACAGTGGAATTTATCGCTGTTTTCCCTCGAATAAACTCTTGACCTGATGTTTGTTTCGTAGGTTTGTCTGGAAGTGTTGTATTATGAGTCCGTGCTGCTCCTTTAATCTGTAACACTTCCACACGACCACTGCTGGAATGACATAACGAGCAGACACACACTCTCCACAAACAGGTAAAACCCAGCCTTTATTTAAATGTAGCTTATGAAAACTTCTTAAAGTGCATTCACACTTTTGTTATTTAGGACTTATAATTGAAAACAAATAATGTCTAAAAGTTTAATTTGTATTATTCAGAGCTGTATGACAAATAAATGTTATAATTTGTAATATTAGGTATGAGGACACATCTTTTTTGGCATAACTTGGTCAATTAATACTACTAACTATTAAATAGATTAAACTATGATGGCTCATATAGCACTTGCATATTGTTGTCCTATTGTTAGTTTCACTGCTTCTCATTTGTAAGTCGCTTTGGATAAAAGCTTCTCTTAAATGTAAATGTAAATGAATAACTGGTTCTTTCCATGTTACTTCTCCTAAACACTGGACCTCTTGAAGCAGGTGCAGAAGATCTTCATGATGGATGACGGGTCTGTGAACGAGTCTAATGTGAAAGTGGCTGTCCGGGTGCGACCCATGAACAGGAGAGGTGAGCCTGAACCCATGTGTCACATCATGTGTGTGTTTAATGTGTCGAGACGGTGTGATTGTTTCTGCCTTCATTTCATTCATGATCCCTTTGGCATTGTTACATGCAAACACAATTGGATAAAATATAGGTGATGATATCTTTCCCTTCAAAGGGTGTTTGATTTCAATGAAAATCACATTCATATACAATTCCCATCAGTATGTTGACCAACTTCTGATTGACTTATTATTAATGTGTGTTTTACAGAACGAGACTTGAAGACAAAATGTGTTGTGGACATGGAAGGAAACCAGACCGTCCTGAACCCGTCCAGTGGAAACCTGGGAAAGGGTGACAGCAGGTAAACTGGAGTGTGTGGTGTTTGAGTGTGTGTGTGTGTGTACTTAACCATATTTCGGGGACAAATTTGTTCCCAGAAGGGGCCAAAACCTGACAAAATATCCCAAAACCTCCCTTTAGGGACGTCCTCATTTGTAAATCTGCTTTAAAACTGTTGAGTTTTATTTATTTTTTTTAATGTAAAAATGCAGAAAGATTTCTGTGATAGTTAGTATAGACCATTTCACAAGATGTAAACAACACTGGTCCAGAAGCACTTCCTGTTTCAGTTTGTAGCTGTTTTCTTTATTTCACATGTAAAGAAAACATCTTAAAGATGTTTGTTTAACTTTTTGATTCAGTTTTAAATGTTCTGTTGGTTGTATTTTATCCCAGCTTTTATCTAGTGTTAAAAAACTGAAACAGGAAGTGCTTCTGGACCAGTGTTGTTTACATCTTGTGAAATGGTCTATAAGGGGATAAGGCAAGGCAAGTTTATTTATATAGCACATTTCATACACAGTGGCAATTCAAAGTGCTTTACATGGAAGAAATTAAAATAATCAAAAGAAATCAGAATAATTGAAACAGTTTAGAATAAAAAAAATCATAATAATAAAAATAAAATACAGTAAATAATTAAAACAATTTAGAATCAAAAATAAAATGAAGTACAGTAGCAGTCGGACGAACAGTGGCACAGCGCTCATTCAGTAAATGCAATCAATATAAATAAAAACAGTTAAAGGATTAGTTCACTTTTGAAAAAACTTTTGCTGATAATTTACTCACCCCCATGTCATCCAAGATGTCCACGTCTTTCTTTCCTCAGTCGAAAAGAAATTAAGGTTTTTGATGAAAACATTCCAGGATTTTTCTCCATATAATGGACTTCAATGGGAACCAGACAGTCCAAGGTCCAAAAGATAGTGTTAATAACAGTTTCAGATGCAGCTTCAAATGTCTTTAAACGACACCAGACGATGAATAAGGGTCTTATCATGCGAAACGATCGATTATTTCAAAACTTATTCCAAAAATGTAACTTTTCTAAGGACAAATGCTAGCCTTGCTCTATTCTGTGAGGCGCGTTTGTAGCGTCACGTAATACGTAATTACGTTCAAAAGGTCACGGGCGACGTAGCCAGAAGTACAGAATCAAAATAGTCCGACATCGTTGTTTTTCCTTTTAATTCCTTTTTTTGTAAACGGTGTTTGAGTTAGTTTTCACGTTCAACCTATGCGTTCAACTTGTAAACACTGACTCTGTACTTTCGGCTACGTCGCCCGTGACCTTTTGAACGTAATTACGTATTACGTGACGTTACAAACGCGCCTCACAGAATAGAGCAAGGCTAGCATTTGTCCTTAGAAAAGTTACATTTTTGGAATAAGTTTTGAAATAACCGATCGTTTCGCATGATAAGACCCTTATTCATCGTCTGGTGTCGTTTAAAGACATTTGAAGCTGCATCTGAAACTGTTATTAACTATCTTTTGGACCTTGAACCATCCGGTTCCCATTGAAGTCCATTATATGGAGAAAAATCCTGGAATGTTTTCATCAAAAACCTTAATTTCTTTTTGACTGAAGAAAGAAAGACATGGACATCTTGGATGACATGGGGGTGAGTAAATTATCAGCAAAAGTTTTTTCAAAAGTGAACTAATCCTTTAACAGTAAAAATAAAATAAAGTAATACCCCTATCTGAGATGGGATGACATAAACAGTAAAGTATTAAAATTATTACGTCTATAGAATGTCCTCATTTAGATAGCTAAGTAAACGTGTGTGTGTGTGTGTGTGTCGAACAGTCAGTACAGTAAAATTTATAGATGTGATTTTTGCAGCACTTGTTAGATGACTCTAAATCTAGTCTTGACAAGCTATAGAAGTAGTATTAATTATTTCTGAAGGACATGTAAGTGCTGTTTGCCTGTGCAAAACTGGTCTCCACTGTTTTAGGGTGTTCTGGGTAGTTGCTAGGTGGCTGCTTTTTATTGCTCACCAGGTGAAATCATGAGTCTAATCGCTCAATTTCAGAGTCAGAATCTCTATATGGCAGATGTGCCCGCCCGTCTTATGAAGCTCATCATTTTCTTTTAAATTTTGGCATCTTGTGTCATGTTTTTGTATCTGTTCTTCATGTCTTTAACGCTCCGCTCAACGGTCGGATTAACACTGTTAACTGTCGTAGCAATCTTTGTCCAAATTAAACATTTCTTCTTGTTACTACATTCTCCGCTAAATTTCCCAAGTAAAATGTCCTTGTAACTGTTATACTCCCCCAACACACACATATCTTCAGCTGGGGTAAACTGCACTGAGCGGTTGAATGCGCTTATTCGATCCACCATTACCCACAATGCATTGCAGTTAGTCAGAGTCTGAAGTGCTTTGTGCAGCGGTCTGATTTAGATGTCTATCTGAAGTCTGACTATCTACTATATCTAAGCCATAGTCGAAGTCCATCTTTGTGAAACCGGCCCCTTCCTGTCTGAGTCTCTCTTTGGCATTTTCTTTCTTTCTCAATACATTCCTCCTCTCATCTGACCTTTAGTGTCCATAGAAACGATTGAAGGTTCGTTGGCAGGTCAAGGGTAACCCTGGATACTCCCGAAAATCCCCAAGAAGCTAAATTACTCATGTCTCATTGGGTCTTTTCAGGCAACTTAAAACAAAACTCCACAATGTGTGATATCTTCTTCATGTGTGTTGCATTTGCCACACATCACACAGCTTTACAAACGATATCTTGCTAACTTCATAATATGAATACTAGGCATTTTAGAAACTCAAGCTCGATTCAAACACCCACGTGATCTAGTTCCTAAATGACAAAGGTTTGGAGGGATTTACATGATTATTAGTGTTCTAGTTGGTTGTTCGGCAGTTGCGAAGGTGTTTTCAATGGTTTCTAGGTCATTAAATGGTTGTCAATGTGTTCTGGGTGGTTGCTTGGGTGTTTCTAAACGGTTGCTAAGGCATTCTGAGTGGTTTGAAAGGAATTACATGATAATTAGTGTTCTAGTTGGTTGTTCGGCAGTTGCGAAGGTGTTTTCGAAGGTTTCTAAGTCATTAAGTGATTGTCAATGTGTTCTGGGTGGTTGCTAGGGTGTTTCTAAGCAGTTGCTAAGATATTCTGAGTGGTTTGAAAGGAATTACATGATTATTAGTGTTCTAGTTGGTTGTTCGGCAGTTGCGAAGGTGTTTTCAATGGTTTCTAGGTCATTAAGTGATTGTCAATGTGTTCTAAGTGGTTTCTAGGGTGTTTCTAAGCAGTTTCTAATGTATTCTGAGTGTTCTGGAGGGAATTACATGATTATTAGTGTTCTAGTTGGTTGTTCGGCAGTTGCGAAGGTGTTTTCAATGGTTTTTAAGTCATTAAGTGATTGTCAATGTGTTCTGGGTGGTTGCTAGGGTGTTTCTAAGCAGTTGCTAAGATATTCTGAGTGGTTTGTTGGGAATTACATGGTTATTATTAGTGTTTTAGTTGGTTGTTCTGCAGTTGCGAAGGTGTTTCGATGGTTTCTAGGTCATTAAGTGATTGTCACTGTGTTCTGGGTGGTTGCTAGGGTGTTTCCAAACAGTTGCTAAGGTATTCTGAGTGTTCTGGAGGGAATTACATGATTATTAGAGTGTTCTAGTTGGTTGTTTGGCAGTTGCAGAGGTGTTTTCAATAGGTCATTAAGTGATTGTCAATGTGTTCTGGGTGGTTGCTAGGGTGTTTCCAAATAGTTGCTAAGGCATTCTAAATGGTCTGGAGAAAATTACATGATTATTAATGTTCTAGTTGGTTGTTCTGCAGTTGTAAAGGTGTTTTCGATGGTTTCTAGGTCATTAAATTATTGTCAATGTGTTCTGGGTGGTTGCTAGGGTGTTTCTAAGCAGTTGCTAAGGTATTCTGAGTGGTTTATGGGGAATTACATGATTATTAGTGTTCTAGTTGGTTGTTTTGCAGTTGCGAAGGTGTTTTCGAAGGTTTCTAAGTCATTAAATGATTGTCAATGTGTTCTGGGTGGTTGCTAGGGTGTTTCTAAGCAGTTGCTAAGGTATTCTGAGTGGTTTATGGGGAATTACATGATTATTAGTGTTCTAGTTGGTTGTTCTGCCATTGCGAAGGTGTTTTCAATGGTTTCTAGGTCATTAAGTGGTTGTCAATGTGTTTCGGTGGCTGGTTACTAAACAGTATTCTGGGTGGTTTATAGGCCATTATGGTTGTCAAGGTGTTCTGGGTGGTTGCTAAACAGTTGCTTAAGTGTTCTGGGTGGTTTCTAGGGTGTTGCTAAGGTACTTTGTGTGTTTTCTAGGGAATTATGCTATATAATTAAATTTCGCCTAGTGTTATTCTCAGATTTTCTGTGTGGTTACAAGAGTGTTGCTATGGGTTTGTTAAGGTCTTCTGAGTGGTTGCTGGCTGCTAGGGTGTTTCTTATTACTTGATGAGTATTTATCCAGCCAATATAATAAAATGTTCAATTAAATAATGTTACTGAATTTCTATTGGTTGTTAAACAGTTTTTCTTCTTTGATCATTTGTTTGAACATCAATGTAATTTTTGAATTTATTAAAAAAAATCAAGATTTTTTAATTTACTATATAATGGCCTGTCGTTTTTGCCAATGCATATGTTGCGTGCCTCAGTTTTTGAGTGTCGGGTCTCTTTGCTCCATTAACGCAAAGAGGAGTGTGTTGGTTTTGGAGCTGAGCCTTCATCAGTCACCAGTGTTTCATATCACAGTCACTGTCTGTCCTTCGACGAAAATAATCAGCTCCCGTGTTTGTGCTGGTCGCCTGTCCTCATATATCAAGCTGTTCTACAGTATTAAAGACCAGACATCCTTTCTCTTTCCCTCAGTCCTCTCTCCCTTCTCCTGGTCTCTTTACAAAGGGTGTGTTTGTTTCCTTCAGAGATCTGGCCGTCTTCCAGGTCACCTGAATCTCCTCAGTTGTGTCCAACCCTTGATCATGAACCTCCTCTGCTGTAACTTGCAGCAGTTTGCAGTGTTGGCGTGCAAACAGGTTTTACAGGCTTATTCGAGAAAGTTTACTCAAATTCCACAATTATCCCTGGCAGCAGATTTGTGTTCATTATGAAGTGCAAGTAGAGACAGGACACTTATGCAGATACTGCTTGTCATGTTAATGATTTCAGGGTGGTTTTTAGTTTAAGTAAGACTCAAGAGTTTGGTTTCATTGTGTAATTCTCACACACGGTTCAGCTTGTCCTCAGATATTGCACATAATCAGAGTGCGAATAATTACACAATTGCCTTCGGGGGTTGGGGGGGGGGGGATTCTGAGATTTGGGGGAAAGGGTATGTACACACACGCACACACACACACACACACACACACACACTCTCTCGTGTCAAAATAAAAGCCCAATGGGCCTATATTAAATATTAGTATTGTAATTTTACAGTCGAAAAATTAAATGTATTAATTTTTTACAGTAAAATAATGTTATTACAATGTTTCTTTTTTACATGATTTTTAATAATAATCACAAAATATTATTGAATTGGTCTAAATCAGTGGGAATATGGCCTGTGAATAGATTTTTAAATCCACATTTGCTGTAGGATTTACTATTTTCACTCTGAAATTACTAGTACATTTTACAAATAGTTTCAAAGAAACCGCAAGTAACGCATTAAACATGAAATATTGAAGTAGAAAGACTGAAATAGTATACATATTTGAGTACATTGCACTATTTGTATTGTCTATGTGTTGGGTGAGTGATGCATATCTAATATTAATGTTTTTTTTTGTTTTTTTTTTTGTCCGTCCTTTTGTAAATACAGGAACAAGCCAAAGGTGAGTTTCTGCATGACATTAATGTGAACAAAAGCTTTGTCATGACAGAAAAGGGTTTAATTTAACGTGTTCGACTGGATTTGTAAAGTCATTATTCTGTCGAACATTTAGACGGCACGTTTCAAGATTGCGATGTCTCGTTTCAGGTTTTTGCGTATGATTATTGCTTCTGGTCTATAGATGAGGCTGAAGCGGCCAAGTTTGCAGGTATGTTGATATTCAAAATAATGACTATTCCCATCATGGAAACTCTGAATCTGTTTATACCTTTATACTACACTGATATGAATCATCCAGACATCATTTATGACCACAATAGAAACTCGTATAGACATCAATATTCCCTGCATGTGTTTCCTTTTCTGAAGAAAAGTCAAACCTGTTAAACCACTTGATCAAATCTGCAGTTTATCAGCTCTAAAAAAAAGTCAGCTCCATAGAAAAATAGTTTTACAACTTAAAAAACAAAAATCTAATTTACAGAAGACACTTTCATTGGAAGTAAATGGACGATAAACTTCTATTGAATGTGTCTGCAGTGTTTTCAATTGATTTAGAAATGCATGATTCCAGCTATTCTGATTTGCAAAATATGATTATTCATATTTTGTCATTTCGAACCTGTAGGTCAGGAAGTGGTGTTTCAGTGTTTGGGAGAGAGTCTTCTGGACAGCGCTTTTCAAGGATACAACGCCTGTATATTTGCATATGGGCAAACAGGTACAGTTAAGACTGCTATCCATGCTGAAAGTATTTTCAGTCTCCATGATAGGTTTAAGCAGGCATACTTACTATTTCAAGCTATCTGCCTTAAAGGAGTAGTTCACTTTTTAAAAAACTTGCTGATAATTTACTCACCCCCATGTCATCCAAGATGTCCACGTCTTTCTTTCCTCAGTCGAAAAGAAATTAAGGTTTTTGATGAAAACATTCCAGGATTTTCTCCATATAATGGACTTCAATGGGAACCAAACGGTTCAAGGTCCAAATGAGAGTTTCAGTGCAGCTTCAACGGGCTTTAAACGATTCCCGACGATGAATAAGGGTCGTATCTAGCCAAAGGGCCGGCCATTTCAAAAATAAATAAAAAAGTTTAAGTTTTATAAGCTCAAATGCTCGCCTTGCTCTATTCTGTGATGCGCGTTTGTGACTCTCCTGTTTGAACTCAATCATCAAAATGAACGAATCTTTTTCAGAGTCATTTGGTTCATTCAACGATTGTTTCGCTAGATAAGACCCTTATTCATCGCCTGGTGTCGTTTAAAGCCCTTTTACTCTCATTTGGACCTTGAACCGTTTGGACCCCATTGAAGTCCATTATATGGAGAAAATAATGGAATGCTTTCATCAAAAACCTTAATTTCTTTTCGACTGAAGAAAGAATGACATGGACATCTTGGATGACATAGGGGTGAGTTTTTTTAAAAGTGAACTGCTCATTTAAAAATGTACTTCACGTATCAAATGTTATACAGTTTTGCTTTGAGCTGATATCTGATTGGTTCCCGCTGATCCCTCTTTGTCTTGATTGGCTGCAGGCTCTGGAAAGTCGTACACGATGATGGGAACGGCCGAGCAGCCGGGTCTGATCCCGCGTCTGTGCAGTTCTCTGTTTCAGCGCACCGTAAAGGAGCAGAGGGAGGGCGAGAGCTTCACCGTGGAGGTCTCGTACATGGAGATCTACAACGAGAAGGTCCGAGACCTTCTAGATCCCAAAGGGTGAGGGTGAACAACTACATGCACATTATTTTACAATTAAAGTGCAAGTTTGCTGATATTTTTGTATTGTTACAATGTCGGTAGTATATGGTTTTTTTTTTTTTTTTTACACATAAAATTAAGGATTATTTTCATGAAAAGCGTTAACTTGAGGTGAAATAACGGCCTTAAAATAAGCTGATAATTCTAATGAAATGTTAAGCATTTTAAATAGGTTGCCATAGCATCTTAGACTACGTCAACACGCTGCCACCGATATAATAACATTTGTTAAAGAAAAAGGGTACATATAGTAAAAATAAAATATAATAAAAGTATATAGTATTCAACTTTTCACACAAAGTGATCAAAGCTTTGGTTGTATTCACTTTAACTGCATTTTCTCTTTAACTTTAACTGCATTCACTTTAACTGCATTTTCTCGTTTTTTTTTTTTTTTTTTTTTTTTTAGTATATGTACATGGACAATGTTTACTCTTTCTCTGTGTTACACTGAGAAAGTCCAGGGCATTTTTTTTTTTTTTTTTCAGCAAAACGCATCATCCGGCGGACATTTTAACTGTGGGAATGGCAGTTTCTTTCAGTTTTTCTCCCTCAGTTTGGCCTAAAACACTGTTCGTAGTCATCCAGTTTGAAATGTTAATTGAAAACATGGAGGTTTTCAGATATCCCATCACAGCGTTCTCTCCATGTTTACGATACTTTTCAGCCTTTATCCACCGCCTACAACATGCCGAATTTTTCGCTGGAAACTGAAAGCGACTCACTCCCGCTAAATGTTTACTCTTTGAATTCTTGCACCCGGGAACAATACAAGTCGACACCATTATGACTAAAAGTTTGCTAAGTTTTTCTTACTAAAGCAGGGTACTATTTGACTCTAGTCAAGCCTATCCAATAGGAGCAGACTGGGCGTGGCCTTGGACACCAACTTGCCCAGTGCATTATGGGTGTTGAAGTTTTCCTACCTTTTTGGTAGTTTTCTCTCCTTTTTCTTTGTTTTCTTTAGTCGTGTAGCACCGATTTCAATTTTTTCCGGCTTTCTACTACATAGGCAGCCAGGTTTTATTGAAAGCCCATTTTGCCACCAGTGAAGCACCTCTTTTTTTTTTTTGCTATTAGGTTTAAAATTATACAATTACAATGCTTAAATGTTGCATTGTGTACTGCAAATATTGTTGGCTCTTATGAAAATTTGCTGTGATGTTTCTCTCAGGAGCCGGCAGGCGTTGAGGGTCCGGGAGCATAATGTGTTGGGGCCGTATGTCGACGGTCTGTCCCGTCTCGCTGTGTCCAGTTACAAGGTTCCTCCAACACCTTCATGAACTTCCAGTCTAATGCTCTCAGTGCTGAAACAGTATGTTTGTGAATGTCCTCCGTTGGTTTTTCAGGACATCGAGTCTCTGATGTCGGAGGGAAATAAATCCCGCACTGTGGCGGCCACAAACATGAACGAGGAGAGCAGCCGGTCACATGCCGTTTTCAACATCATTCTAACACACACGCTCAGAGACCTGAAGACGGGGGTGAGACCCAGATCTCTGTCTTTAAATTAAAGGTGCAGTAAGAGATTTTTGAGAAACATTGTGGAAGGTTGATCACACACTTCAGCCAATCAGCAGTAGGGGTGCTGATGGGGGAGGAGAGAGAGTGAGCCAATTAGCAGTAGAGGGCGTGTCCACCCATAATGGGATGGAGAGAGAGTGAGCCAATCAGTAGTAAGGGGCGTGTCTCTCTCATGATGGGGAGGAGAGAGTGAGTCAATCAGTAGTAGAGGGCGTGTCCACCCATAATGGGATGGAGAGAGAGTGAGCCAATCAGTAGTAAGGGAAAGAGCTGTCTCTCTCATAATGGGGAGGAGAGAGTGAGCCAATCAGTAGTAGAGGGCGTGTCCTCCCATAATGGGATGGAAAGAGAGTGAGCCAATCAGTAGTAAGGGGCGTGTCTCTCTCATGATGGGGAGGAGAGAGAGTGAGCCAATCAGCTGTAGGGGGCGTGTCTCTCATAATGGTGAGGAGAGAGAGTGAGCCAATCAGCTGTAGGGGGCGTGTCTCTCTCATAATGGGGAGGAGAGAGAGTGAGCCAATCAGTAGTAGAGGGCGTGTCCACCCATAATGGGGGAGGAGAGAGAGTGAGCCAATCAGTAGCAGGGGGTGTGTCCCACTCATGATGGGGTGTAGAGAGAGTGAGCCAATCAGCAGTAGGTGTGAGCAAGAGGAAGATCTGAAGAAAGACTGTTGAAAGAGAGATGGCTGAGAGACATTATAAAAGAGAAAAGCTCAGAGGAACATCTGTGGAAAAATACCAACTGTGTTTCTCAGAAATCGCTTACTGCACCTTTAAACCCTTTTAATGAAGGGTGAAGAGTGTGATTTTAGCACCACTAGGGGCACTAATTGAATTTTTAGCAAATAGATAGATATTAATATTTTCTAAAGAAATGTTTGCATCACTCACATTTTTCCCTGAAAACATAAAAATCGAAAAAAAAAAATTTCATAATTCAGTTTGGTTTAACTAGTAATGCAGAAATCACACACTGCAGCTTTAATTATAGTTAAATAAAACCATACAAAACTTTCGTTACTTGAAAGATAAACTTAACCAAAATAAATATAAAAATTAAGTTTATTTTATTTCAGCTAGTTGCCAAAGTACCATTTCTCCTTTCATTTATTTTAACTTTATGTACTGAAATAACTTTTAACTATAACTGAAAAAGTAAAAAATAAATGTAGATTGGGAAAAAAACTTAATTAATAAATCTTTTAGTTAATTAAAATAAATAAATGTAATATATAAAATTAAAAAAAACTGATTAAATGGGTATAAAAACTATAACTATCACAGTTAAAGTCAGCATGAAATCAAATTTGACACTAATTATTTTCTTAACGCATGCCACTGGTCTTATGGTCATTTTTTGTTTTGTTTAATAGCCATTTCACACAATATGCTGGTAATTTCGGTTGCATTTTTAATTTAATGTCGACTTAAATGAAAAGACAGATCCACTGGCTGTGTTATTGTCATAGACTGGAATTTGTCTTTCAGACGAGTGGAGAGAAGGTGAGCAAACTCAGTCTGGTGGATCTGGCCGGCAGTGAAAGAGCAGATAAAACCGGAGCTGGAGGAGAGAGACTCAAAGAAGGCAGCAATATTAACAGGTTAAAGACACACACACACTCACACACAGGTTTCCATGTTTTATAGGTACTTTCCACTGACATAATGAATTGTACTGTACAAACCCTACTCTTAAAAGCAACCTACCCATTAGGGGTGTAACCATACACGTATTCGTATTGAAGTGTTCGGTACGAGGCTTTCGGTTCGGTTTTCGGTACGCATTTTTGAACCGAACGGTCCGTTCGGTTCATTTTTCCTGCCGACCAACATTTCGTTTTTCAAATGGCAAGTGCGTTCTGCTCGTTATTGTGTGGTTGTCTGGATGACGGACCGTTTATCAGTTTGGACCAATGCAGCGCGAGCCGATCTTGATCAGCACTTTTACCACACAGCCAAATCCAGTAAAGAAAACATTTGAATTCGCCACTGAAGTTAACATCGCTGCGAGAGTGAGAAACATTCACATTTCTCCGTTATTAACGGATCAAACAGCGCTGACGTGGAAACCAGGAAGAAACATTGTGACATGAATGAACTATCCAGTGTCCACAGATCAGCAACATTCACCATGGATTTACTGTATAACACTACTATCTCATCTGTAAGTTTGGCAGGAATAGTAGGCTATAATGCTTTCAAGTAACATCACGTCGGTTGTATTTTGACATTATCAATACAATTGCTGCCCTCAAATGTTAACCTGACCTAAAATAAAGCTTTGTTTTTAACTACTACAATATTACATTTCATTTTGTCCAAGGAGCTGTTTTGTTTTAAATGCTCCTAAGAAAAGTCAAATATAGTTCCATCATTGCTCAAAGTTAAAAATATCATACTTTATAATGTTAGTTTTAATAAAAATATAATTAAAAATATTATTTAAAAATTAAGTCCAAAAATTTCTCTGCCATTTCTTTCTTTTTGCTGTATTTGAAACGTACCGAACCGAACCGTGACACAAGTATATCGTATCGAACCGAACCGTGAATTTTGTGAACCGTTACACTACCCATCACAGAAAACTTTCTGCATTTTACATTTTCGAAAAATATAATTCTGTATGATTTATAAGCTGTTTTAAAAAAATCTCAATATTGTCCCCCATTTTGTCGGAATAGTATAGGGAACCACACACACGTTTGTTTAAACGAGTTTGGGGAGTTTCGCTGTTCCTAAATTAAATGATAAGATTAGTCATCTGATATTTGTCCATTTAGACACTATTTTTGTTAATCCCTTTACACAAAAACACTGTCATTTACACATATTTCACTGTGTTCTTGTATTCGTGTGTGTGTTCAGGTCTCTCACAACTCTCGGACTGGTGATTTCGGCATTGGCGGAGCAGGGCGCAGGAAGAAACAAGAGCAAATTTGTTCCTTACAGAGACTCGGTGCTCACATGGTTACTGAAGGTGACGATGAGCGTTATTTTAACACTGCACACCTTGTTAGACTCTAATATTAGTCTTCAAGGAGTAGTTTGGCTCAAAATTAAGGTTTTGTCATTGTTTTCTCACACTCATCATGTCAATCAGTCCCTGAATGCTGATATTTTTTTATGTGAAACACAAGAAGTTTTGTTCATGCAGCTCTTTTAAAATACACTGTTCATATTGGCCGGCAAGATCCGAAAAGTACAAAGAAACGCATCGATTTGAGTTGTTGTTATGGAAAAGGTGGACAACTTTCTGATGTAAATTCCTCTTTTTTTGAATGTCAGGACAGTTTAGGAGGCAACAGTCGTACCGCTATGGTCGCCACGATTAGTCCAGCGGCCGACAACTACGACGAGACTCTGTCCACGCTACGGTACGCCGACCGCGCCAAAAGCATCGTTAATCACGCTGTGGTTAACGAAGATCCGAACGCCAGGATCATCCGAGAGCTGAGAGAAGAGGTGGAGAAACTGCGCAGTCAGCTGACCGAGGCTGAGGTACGACACACTAACACCTGTCTGCTGTGTGAAAGACACGAACTTTGACCTCGAGTGCATTCAAAAGTGCTTTTCTGTGTGTGAAGTCAATGAAAGCTCCTGATCTGAAAGAGCGACTAGAGGAGTCTGAGAAGCTGATCCAGGAGATGACGGTCAGCTGGGAGGAGAAACTCAGGAAGACGGAGGAGATCGCACAGGTATTAAACACAGGTCACAGGTCACATTAGCTATGTTTACATCCAAAGTTGCGAATTTAACCCTGTGGGGTTGTTCGTTTCAGAGTCACACTCGGGGTGTTCGGGTCCAAATGGACCCAAAGGGTGGGATTCATATTAAAAAAAAAAAAATCATGATTTTTTTTTACTCGTTTTTTATAATATTTTTTCTTTTTTGGTGTTTTGAGAGAATTTCAAAAATAAAAAAAAATTATAATTAGTATTAATGCAATAATTATGACAAAATTTCCCCCCATTGAACATAATAGAAAAAATATTTTAAAAAAATATTTTTTTTAAAGCTGTATTTCATTTTAGAGTCAAGCCTAGGCCCCATAAAAGCAATTTTTGAAATGAGATGGATGCCATCTGGTGGACAAACTGAGCATTTTAAAAATGCAAAACACATGTATAATCTGAATTTTTTGGTGCGTGTGTGTCTGGATGTGTCTGTTTTGCACTCTTGATGTTTTATAGATTCACCCCTTCACTGTTGTGTGCTTTTTTTCAAGATCGTGGCTGATTTGTAGATTGTACGCACAAACAAACTCAGTATTTTCACATTTTTTGCCAATTTCCCATTCATTTTCCATGCGGGTCCATTTGGACCCAAACACCCCAAGTGTGACTATTTTTTTTTACAACCACTTAGACTACTCATTTTCATCCTGTCCCCAATTTTTTTGGGTGTTCAAATACCAAATACCAACGAAGTCACCAAATTTCGGACCATTCCGAGGAAGCTGTGATTTAAAAAAAAAAAAAAAAAAGTATTTAAATTGTATTTAAATATAAAATTAAATTCCGTTACCATCCAGTGAGCCGAAGAGAACAAAATCGTCACTTCTTGATAAACTGGCGCCAAAGTTGGGTCCCAGAAGTAAAATCTTCCATTAGGACATGATAACTAATAGGCCTTTAAACTACGAGGTTGTTCATTGATAGCGTTTGCTTCTGTTGAAGCCATCAGCCAGCATTATTTAAGCATATTTAGTGTTTAACTGTGGATTTCCTAGTGAAAAGTTACATTACCCATGATGCTGTACAGACAATTACACCAATCAGAGAGTCGAAGCGAGCAACATGCTCCAAAAGGTCTCTTTAGCTCCGCCCACTCCCATGTGTATATATTTATGTCCCATATTTATACGTATTTTGCAATAAACTTAAAATATAATTTTTATATAAAAATAATAAATATTTGTAAATTAGTAGTTTTATATATTTTTTTAATTGTTCTTACTTCAATTATGCTGTTCTCAATGCTTGTAGTTCTTTTTACCTTTGTGTTTTAGTTCGATTTTCTTTTTTTTGTTGTTGCTTCAAATCAAAGTTTGCAATGTAATGATTCAACTGATTGGTTGGTTTCATGGTTTATAACGCTTTAACGAAGACTATTTTGAAATCCCGATGAGAAAAATACTTGGTGGCGGATGCTAATGCACTTTTTGCATTTTTTACGGTGATGATCCTTTTGTTATAATTGTGGGAATGGGGGATTTGTGGGGTTTTTTTGTATTTAAAGAAATGATGAAACTCCTCAGGACAGTCATCTAATCACACAATGGCTTCGGTCCTCTGAATTGAATCTGGTTCTTTAGGAGCGACAGAAGCAACTGGAAAATTTGGGAATTTCTCTGCAGTCGTCTGGGATCCGAGTCATTGATGATAAATGTTTCCTGGTCAATCTGAACGCAGACCCCGCCCTCAACGAGCTGCTTGTGTATTACTTAAAGGTACAGACACGATTGAATGGAAATTAGTGTTACCTTCTCAGCTTGATTATTTCACAACAATTCACAGATGTAAATGTATGTACAATATATGCATGTATAAATGCTAAATCTGCTGTAATGATTTCAATTTGAAAGCAACATGTTTTGAAGGGTTGCACTTCCATTTGTGTGTGTTTATGCACAGGAACACACTCGTGTGGGATCTGCGGACTCTCAGGATATTCAGTTGTGTGGTTTGGCGATTCAGTCGGAGCATTGTGTCATAGACATCAAACTAGAGTCGGGAGTCACGCTCACCCCGAAGAGAAACGCTCGGTAATCACACACACACTGATTTTACACACAAAAAAACATCATAAATGATGTCTAAAATTACAAACAGGGTTATTATAGTTAACTAAAACTAAAGCAATGAAGAAAAAAACTTAAATAAAAAAAATGTATTATAACTTAAATTTGTTTTATTTATTTCAGCTGGTTGCCAAAGCAACTTTATATATATATATATATATATATATATATATATATATATATATATAAGGGCTGTGCAAGGATTAATTGCGATTAATCGCATGCAAAATAAATTTGTGTTTACATAATATATGTGTGTGTGCTGTGTATAATTATTTTGTATACATAAATATACTCATGAATGTAGATATATTAAAGAAAATGTTTCATTCATATATATATATATATATATATATAATATAGATTATATATTTATATATATATATATATATATACAGTATTTACGTGCAAAGAATTAAATATAATAAATATCAATATATCCATACATGCATGCATATGTATTTATATACCTATACAAAATAATTATACACCGCACACAAACATATATTATGTAAACACAAACTTCGCAATTAATATTAATAATCGCAATTAATCTTTGCACAGTCGTAATATTTTAAAAAACATAATAATTCTTAAGTAATGGTATTGTAAAGAAATTGTAATTTAGAATAAAATATAATATAACAACTGCACATTAAAATACATTAGATATTTATAATGAACTAAACTATAATAATGAACTAAATATTGTTTATGCAGGGTGTAAACTTACATTAAAGGGTTAGTTCACCCAAAAATGAAAATTCTGTCAGTATTTACTCGCCCTCATGTTGTTTCAACCCCGTAAGACCTTCGTTCATCTTCGGAACACAAATTAAGATATTTAAGATATTAAGATCGCTCCTGCATACAGTCCATAGGCTTCTTGAGGGAATGACTCTTGCTGTCCTCGAAAAGTCATTAAAGACATCGTTAAAATAGTCCAAGTGACTACAGGGGCTCAATCTTAAGTTTATCAAACGACGAGAACACTTTTGTGCGCAAAAAAACAACAAAAATAACGACTTTATTTCAACTATTCACTTCCTTCTCCATAAGCCTATAGTCCGTTAACGTAGTGTGATTGGGTAGAGCTACGTCACACGTAGGCTCACTATTGGCCGACGCTGGTCATGTGTGTGTGATGCGTGTGACGTACAATAACAGAAGCTTACGCTATTAAACTAGTAACCTGACTCGCGCAGAGGGAGAAATAAACGAATAGTTTAAATAAAGTCGTTATTTTTGTTGTTTTTTTGCGCACAAAAGTGTTCTCGTCGTTTGATAAACTTAAGATTGAGCCCCTGTAGTCACTTGGACTATTTTAACGATGTCTTTAATGACTTTTCGAGGACAGCAAGAGTCATTCCCTCAAGAAGCCTATGGACTGTATGCAGGAGCGATCTTAATATCTTAAATATCTTAATTTGTGTTCCGAAGATGAACGAAGGTCTTACGGGGTTGAAACAACATGAGGGTGAGTAAATACTGACAGAATTTTCATTTTTGGGTGAACTATCCCTTTAATTGCATTAACACTATTACATATGCTCTTAACCTAAAATGTTGATGTTCTGTATGATACTTATTGATATGCTCTATAGCCACAGATATTAAGAATATGTGTACGGGACATGTGGTAATTCATATACGGTGTGTATCTGTGTGCAGCACGTGTGTGAATGGAGCGGTCATCTCGTCTCCTGTCCAGCTGCATCATGGGGACCGAATCCTCTGGGGAAACAACCACTTCTTCAGGTCAGCGAGACACATTTACACTCTGGTCAAGTGCGAGTTGTAGGTTTAATAGTTTCTGATCAGGTGATCAGATTGGGTGTCTAATAAAATTAAAACTCTCAAATGACCTTTAAAAAACAATGTCAAAAACCTACAGTATGTGTAAAAGTGCGTACCGACTGGCGTCTGTCTTCTCTTGTGTTTCTCAGGATCAGCGTGTCTAACATGTATCGTGTTGGCGTGGAGGATGAGGAAGGGTGTGTGATGAAGGCTGGTCTTCACCCTGAGTGTGTCGATGTGGACGTAGACCGTCTCAGTCACGGCTCTAGTGACGCCAGCTTCAGTTTTGAGTCCGCACAGACAGAAGTCATGATGAAAGCTCTGGGAAGCAATGGTGAGGGACACTTAACAGACAATCTGTTACACAATCAATAGAAAGGGTTTTAAAATAGTGTTCATTTTATCAAATGTCTTTTTTAGTTTTTATCATTTTTAGTCAACCTTATTCTGGGCATTTAGTCTAGTTTTAGTCAATGAAAACTTAGTCACAGTTTCGTCACGCTGCATGATGGTTAAATTGATAATAGGCTAAGGATTATGTTGCAATTAACAATTAATCGCGTCCAAAATGAAAGTTTGTGTTTACATAATATATGTGTGTGTACTGTGTATAGTTATAAATACAGACATTTGCATGTATATATTTAGGATTTTTTTTATTTATAAATAAAATATTTATATACAATATAAATGATGTATAAATATATATACATGCAAATAATTCTTAATTATATACGTATGTGTGTATTTATATATACAAAATGTTTACACACAGTACACACACACATACAGGTGAAACTCGAAAAATTAGAATATGGTGCAAAAGGTAATTTAACTTAAAAGCTTATATATTATATAGAGTCATTACATGCAAAGTGAGATATTTCAAGCCTTTATTTTTATAATTGTTTTTTTTTACTTTATTTTTATAATTTTAAAATGGTTATAATTGTGATGATTATGGCTTACAGATAAGAAAACCTTTTCACAATAGGGATGGGCAACGATTAATCGTGATTAATCGCATCCAAAATAAAAGTTTGTGTTTACATAATATATGTTTGTGTAGTGTGTATAATTAATTTGTATATATAAATACCCACACATGCATGTATATATTTAAGAAATATGTGCATGTATATATTTTATATATATTTATTCACTATTAATATTATATATAAATATTTGATATATTAATAACACATTTTTCTTATATATATACATGCATGTGTGGGTATTTATATATACAAAATAATTATACACACACATATATTATGTAAACACAAACTTTTATTTTGGATGCGATTAATCGTTGCCCATCCCTATTTCACAATATTCTAATTTTGAATTTGGGTTTTCATAAGCTGTAATCCATAATCATCAAAATTATAAAAAAAATAAAGGCTTCTCACTTTGCATGTAATGAGTCTATATAATATATTAGTTTCAACTTTTAAGTTGAATTACTGAAATAAATGAACTTTTGCACCATTTTCCAATTGTCATATGAGAATTTTAGTGTGAATTTGAACACAGTAACGTTATATGCCAATATTGTTTTCAATAAAAAACCGATCCACTTTTCCATGTTGATAAGAGCATTAAAATGAGAAAAAAATAATTGGAAATCAATAGACATTTAGAATAGATAAAAATGCGCGATTAATCGTGAGTTAACTATGACATTAATGCGATTAAGTATTTGAATCGTTTGACATCACTAATGTATGAGTGAAATGTGTCTGTGTGTCTCTCTCAGACCCGATGCAGTCGGTGCTTCACTCTCTGGAGCGCAGACATGAGGAGGAGAAGCGTTCGGCTCTGGAGCGCCAGCGGCTGATGTACGAGCAGGAGCTGCACCATCTGCGCAGACGCCTGTCATCAGAGCTGCAGACGCAGGGCTCTCATCTGCAGCATCATCACAGCATCGAGAGTCTCCACGTGAGCTCGGCCTCCTCACAGAACCGGCTGCGCCAGTGGACCGAGGAGAGGTGGGAAACACTACTTTACCTCAATGGCTACATGCTAGTTATCAGATTGACGTCTCAATCGGACTGAAAAGCCTTTATGTAAACATGTTAACCGATCCGATTGAAAGGGGTGCTTTATTCCTGTCTAATCCGATCTGGAGAACATGTAAACATTTGATGGGATTGAAAACCGAAACTGAAAGGACTGCGTCATATAAATGAGTGTCTGTGATTCTCCTTTCACTCCGCGTCTGTGAAGTGGAGCAGGACGACGTCCCACCAGTCCTTGTTTCGGATTCTCCTCCACAGATGACGTGATAAATATAAGCATCGCTCACGGCGCAACCGTTTTATATGCTCAATGTCTCCAAATTACGACCAGAAATGGATAAATATGATGTTATTTAACCCTCTGATGGTCTTCCTTTATGAGTCACGTCCTGGGCCTTCCCGGTCAGAAGTGACCGGAGGCCTAAAAATGAAACTTCTTCCATCCCAGTAAAACCAATGCAATTTATTTTTGTTCTATAATATTTATTCTTTTTAATTTAGTATTTTGAGACAATTTGATTGAATTTATTAATATTTATGCAATATTTATGGTCTATTTTTTCAATGGAAATATATATATATATATATATATATATTTTTTTTTTTTAATATTAATGCATTATTTTTTTAATGTAGAGTCTAGGCCTTCAGAAAATATTAAAAAAATTAAAAAATATTTTTTGAATAAAATTAGCACCATCTGGTTACAGTATAGAGAAAAAGCGTAGAATCATATTGTAACTACTAGATGGCATGTACAGCTCTCTATGGAGAGGCATGTGAATTCCCCAGCTGTTTATGAACAATTTTTTTTTTTTGGGTGGATTTCAATATATAATTGAAACAATATCAAAAACTATTTCTTATTAAAAAATTTGTAAAAAAAAAAAAAAATGTGAATTTTTGTGTTTTTGTCAATTTCCCATTCATTTCCTATGGGGGTCATTTTTGACCAATTTTTTTTTTTATTCACATGCCAAATGACAAAAAAAGTCACCAAGTATCATAACCTTCCAATGAAGCTGTGATTTTTAATAATTCAAAACAGAAAATTATTCGGTCAGAAGTGACCGTGAAGTGACCATCAGAGGGTTAAACCAACAGGAAACTCTGTGTAATCGTTCAGTGTGCACATGCCAAAAAAAAATTGGGACATAAAAACGCACACATTAACCCGATGACATGTTTAGCGTTCATAAACACTCATCCATCGTAATGAATTTAGTCCAAAAGTTGTGCATGTAAACGGAGCCAATGCGTTTCGACTTGTATTATAATCCACAGAAAATATTTGGTGTGTGTGTGTGTGTTGTAAATCTCATGCTTCATGTGGTCTCAGGGAGGCTTTGATGAGCCGAAGTCTGCGTAAGCTCCGAGAACAGATCGTGAAGGCCAATCTGATGGTGCAGGAGGCTGGATTCATCGCCGAAGAGCTCAACAAGAAAACCGAATATAAAGTCACTCTGCAGATTCCTGCTGCCAACCTCAACGCCAACCGCAAGGTCAGGACAGACACTGTGTGTGTGCGCATGGGATTGATTGTTGAAGCATTTATCCAGTCACATTTATATATATATATATATATATATATATATGAAGAGTTCAGATGCAAAAGCCTCTAAATGCCATTTGAAATTTTCTTCTTTAATGATGATTTTTATCAAGCTTGTATATTTAAGTTCAGTGATTTCACTTAAATGGCAATCATAATTACCTATTAATTGTTATTTAAGTGAAATTACTGAACTTAAATATACAAGTTTGACAAAAATCATCATTAAAGAAGAAAATTTCAAATGGCATTTAGAGGCTTTTGCATCTGAACTCTTCATATATATATATATATATATATATATATGAAGAGATCAGATGCAAATGAAATTTTCTTCTTTAATGATGATTTTTATCAAACTTGTATATTTAAGTCCAGTAATTTCACTTAAATAACAATTAATAGGTAATTATCATTGCCATTTAAGTGAAATTACCAAACTTAAATATACAAGTTTGATAAAAATTATCATTAAAGAAGAAAATTTCAAATGGCATTTAGAGGCTTTTGCATCTGAACTCTTCATATATATATATATAAAATGTGTGTGTATACTGTAAATATGTACAGTACATATTGTATGCACATGCATGCATTATGCATACAGTATATATATGTTTCAAAAGATTTCTGTTAAACTTTGAAAAAAACGAGTAAATACTGACAGAATTTTATTTTTAATTCTGAAGCATACTTCATCAGTTTAGTCTTTAAACATGAAGAGTCATGGAACTTCACTGAAAGTGGTTCAGGGAATGATTTGGACTTTACATTAGAGGACCGTGTTGAATTCTGGGTTAGGGTGAAAGTGCTGCTTTAATACAGATTGATGTTCTCCGTTCTGCAGCGGGACACTGTTCTCAGCGAGCCGGCGGTGGAGGTGAGGAGGAAGAGCAAAGGGAAGCAGATCTGGGCCATGGAGAAGATGGAGAACCGGCTGGTGGACATGAGGGATCTCTACCAGGAGTGGAAGGACTTTGACGAGGACAATCCTGTATGTCAACTCACATGAGAACTTTATGACCTGTGTGATTGTGTGTTTGTATTTGTGAGTGTTTTATTGGAGATATTAAACGTGTTCATCTCATCCCTGCTGTCTGTGCTCAGGTTATGCGTTCCTACTTCAAGCGTGCCGATCCGTTCTTCGACGAGCAGGAGAATCACAGTCTGATCGGTGTGGCGAACGTTTTCCTGTCCTGTCTGCTGTACGACGTGAAGCTGCAGTACGCAGTGCCCATCATCAACCAGAAGGGGGAGGTATGTCCAAAACAGATGAGTTATGATGTGGATATTTTGTTTAGAAGAGGGTATTGATTTCATATCGTATAAAAAAAATGAAAGGTGTCTGGAAAAAAATGAGAGGAGCTGAAATAGTCAAACATGGTGAAAATAATGTGTTTTATGAACATTCAAGCACGAGTCTAAAATCAAGACTTTATAAAATGCCCCCTTTAACTAATATTAAGAATCTAATATTATATAATATAATCTACTATACTATATAATAGAATCTAATATCTAACTAATATTAAGAAGATCTTATTAAGAATTGCAAATGTTTTTTGTATTATACGTTTTCTGAAATGTTACAGTATGTTTAAATATGGAAATGAGGCACTAATTAAATATGCACTTCCAGAATCCAAATCTGAACATTGGATAAAAGGTTAAAAATAGGTTTCATAAAAAAGAGTTTTGGATAATTATTTTGATCGCTCCATAAATCAGAAAATAGCCAGAAAAATTTTGTTCATCAGGTTTTTATACAGAAATAGCCAGAAAAACTTTTTTCACCATGTTTTTATATATAAATCATGCGAATGTGTTGTGAATATGAACAAACCCTTCTGTAAAAACCTTCAGAACATAAACAAGAATAAAACTGTTAAAGTTTGGTGTTTTTAAAGCTCACTCAAACTCACCACCTTTAAAGATATTCATTATAATTGAAATCTACACTAAAGTGTAATAAAATAAACACTTGCATGGTGTCTTGTTGTCTTAAAGGGATCGTTCTCCCAAAAATACAAATTTTGTCATCATTTACTCACCCTTAATTTGTTCAAACCCTGTATGATTTTTTTTTTTCTTCTGTTGAAAGAAGAAGATATTTTAATATATTTAATGTTGGTGACCAGACAGTTGACGGTAGCCATTGACTTCCATAATATTTTTCTTTGTCAAAGTCAATGGGTACCAATGGTCACCAACATTAAATATATTAAAATATCTTCTTCTTTCAACAGAAGAAAAAAAAAATGTTGATAACCAGAGAGTGGATGGTAGCCATTGACTTCCATAATATTTTTCTTTTTTTGTTCCTATTATTGAAGTCAATGGCTACCATCCACTCTCTGGTTACCAACATTCTTCAAAATATCTTCTTTTGTGTTCAACGGACGTAAGAAACTCAAACCGGTTTGGAACAACTTGAGGTTGAGTGAATTTAATTTTCAGTTTTAGGTGAACTGTCCCTTTAAGTTCATGCATCGTTCGTCACAGTCCTGACAAACTTCATAGGAAGTGATGAACTAGCGCTGGTTTTGTGTGTTTGCAGGTGGCAGGTCGTCTTCATGTTGAAGTCGAGTGTCTGAGTGGAGAACTGGAGGAGCGTGAGACGGGGGGCGGAGACTCCGAGATCAGTCCTGACGGCGAGCTGCAAGAACGCAAACTTGCGTGCATGGTCAGTTAGGAGAGGAAATCTCCAATTATTATTCATTAAATATATCATTTGTTGAGTGTTGGACATTTTCTGTTTGCAGATCAAGGTGTTGCAGGCGACAGGACTACCTCAGCACCTCTCCAACTTCGTGTTCTGTCAGTATCACTTCTGGGCGCAGCAGGAGCCGGTGTTCATCGCTCCAGATGTCGGGCTGAGCGCTCCCAGCAGCAGAGAGCCACAGAGTCTGGTGCTGTTCAACAGCTGCAAGGTTAAAACACTCACGAAGTTATCCTAAATACCAGTTTCCCAGTCAGAAATCGGACATGAATGCCATCTAAAGTCAGAGATCATTTTGATTCTGACTGCTACTTCTCCTTGTCTTGTCATTTAAAGAATTGCATGTTTACAAAAATGAATAACCATTTGAAGCATTTTGGATGTTTTATAAACTGTGAAATTAGCCTGTGTTTGACCAAATTGTTCACAAGCTGACTATCTAGATGGCGTGGTAAAACTATATAGCAGGAGATTGACTGGCTTGACTTTAAAGGAGTTGTTGACTTTTGACAAAAACTTTAGGCAAGGCGACCATTTGAGCTTATAAAATTTAAACTTTGTTATTATTTTTTTAAATGAGCGATCGTTTCGCTTTATAAGACCCTTATTCATCGTCTGGAATCGTTTAAAGCCCTTTGAACAGTTTGCAGTTTGCACTGAAACTGTCTTTTTGACCTTGAACCGTTTGGTTCCCATTGAAGTCCATTATATGGAGAAAAATCCTGGAATGTTTTCATCAAAAACCTTAATTTCTTTTTGACTGAAGAAAGAAAGACATGGACATCTTGGATGACATGGGGGTGAGTAAATTATCAGCAAAAGTTTTTTGAAAAGTGAACTACTCCTTTAACTAGCCATTTTGGCTGGTTGAATTGTATATACAATATAAATATATTTCAATTGTAGTCTTTTAAAAAGGCTTCTGAAATTATAAACTAAGTGCAATGTAGTGTTGTCAAAAATAATAGATTTTTTTCCATACATATGGATATCTCTCCGACAGTGAGTCAGATTTTTGCTTTCAAACCCAAAGTGCATGTGCATAAAGCCTATAAGCTTAAGTTTTATTCTATAATATACATCAGTAATATCTCTGTGATTATTTTTTTTTTGATGCCGAACAGGAAAAATCATCCACTCACTATTTCGCTTTCCTAGCCATGTTCTGTTTAAAATCTCAAACTATTTAATTGAACTAAATTTAACTTGTTGCTTAGTGATGGTGACGTGACGGTGTTGTAGTTTGTTTATAGCCAAACTTTAGATTACTGTGTGTAGGCTTTAGGATTCATTAAAAACTGTGTGAACAAAACGCGCAAGATTCTTAAACTCTTGTTTGTCACAGAGCTAATTTTCTGCAAAAATCCTATATATATATATAATATATATATATGAAGAGTTCAGATGCAAAAGCCTCTAAATGCCATTTGAAATTTTCTTCTTTAATGATGATTTTTTATCAAACTTGTATATATAAGTTCAGTAATTTCACTTAAATGGCAATGATAATTACCTATTAATTGTTATTTAAGTGAAATTACTGAACATAAATATACAAGTTTGATAAAAATCATCATTAAAGAAGAAAATTTCAAATGGCATTTAGAGGCTTTTGCATCTGAACTCTTCATATATAAACCAGACAATAATAGGTCATACCTGCAGAGCTCGATCACATTACAGTAAAACATGTTGTCCTCTCTTGTTTTTCCTTTTATGTACAGTACAAACTGTGTTAGTCATCATCTCTTTCCTCATCTGTAGATTCTGGAAGTGGCCGTAACCGAAGACTTCCTGGAGTTTCTGATGGACGGAGCCGTGGCTGTTGAGGTCTATGGTCACAAACAGGCAAACCCGCGCAGGAATCTGGCTCTCTGGGACCTTGGGGTGATTCAGGCGAAGACTCGCTCTCTCAGAGAGAGGTACACCTGCCTTTCATAATCCCCCCTGGAACATTAATATTCGTCACTGATTATTTCTGTGACCGCAGAATTGATTTAGTCAATGTTCAGATGATCGTGGGTTTCCCAAACTGGGGTTCGTGATTTGATAAAAAGCTTAATATATAAAAAAACAACAACAACAACAAAAATATATATAAACATCAAAGTAAGTCTCTTATTATAATAGTATTACGTAAAATAATACTAAATATAAATAAAATATTTTCTTTCGTTATGACTTTAAAAGATTTTAAAACAATTTATTTTTACATTTATCAAACATTAATGTTTAATAAATTATTTTAAAATCTTTATTTTGAAACAGTCTAAATAAAATGCTAAAATAATAATTACTTATTAAAATGATTTAAATATTGACTTAATTAATTGAAGGGGTACTTCAAGTAAATATTTTGGGTTTTGGTTTGATACAATTTTGAGAATCCCTGAACTAGGGTGAACTAGGGCTTAAAAGGGAAATACCATAATTTAAAAGGAAAGTACATAATATACATAATATATTATATTTTAGTTTTTAACTTATTATTTTTTATTTTACATAATATATTTTAGTAAGTATTTTATTTAGACTAATGTAAAATAAATTGATTTAATTTTTTTTATTTTAAAACAATGTTGGTTCATAGTCATATAACGAAAAAAATATTTTATTTATATTTGGTAATATTTTACATAATACTATTTTAGTAAGAGTTTTACTTTATATATATAAGGCAATATAATATAAGGTATATAACAAATATATATATATTTGTTATATACCTTATATTTTTATATACCTTAGGCTTTACCATGCATGCTCTTAGTGAGAGCAAAAGGAAGCATGATTGTGAACACCCTTATATGGAGATGGTTGGGCGTGTCTTATGCTAATGACTAACTGCAGGCTCATGGCTCCTTTCTTACGACAGAATCTGAATTGATCAACATCAGAATTGTGAAAGGGGTTTTATTTGTTTATAAAGATATTTTTAAATGAATGTATACATATATTGTTATTTAAAGTTGTATTACTCTTACGTTTGCCATGCATGTAGACTTTGATGCTGATATGCCGTTAAATAATAAATAGGAGTTAACATTTTTTTTATCATATCAGTCAATAATTCTAGCGCCAAAAACAGGTTGTTTTTCACGACCATTTTCCATGCTCTCGGATGAAATGGTGTTTTCTGTGTGCAGGTGGAGTGAAGTGACCCGCAGGCTGGAGCTCTGGGTGCAGATCCTGGAGCTGAACGATGCTGGAGACTTTGTGCCGGTGGAGGTTCAGCCAGCGAAGGACGTCTGCTCAGGAGGAATCTTTCAGCTGAAACAGGTCTGTGGATGTTAAAGTCAAAATTAAGGATGTGTTCTGAGTTTGTCACACCACAGAAAAAATTTGTTTTTAGCCACCCAGCTATATATGAATAATAAAAAAGCCGCCAAGTAAATAAAATAAGCTATCAAAAAATGAGCATATTCTCTCCTCTCAAGCGCTGAAACCTGTTTTATGGTCTAACTCCACAATTCAGTACTTCACAGTCTTTATAATATGTTTTAGCAATACATTTCTAACATGTTTAGAATTGCCTTCATGATCTGACCTATGATGCAGTGTGTCCTAATGCGGTTCATGAATGTGTGGCAGGGTCAGTCCAGGCGTGTTCAGGTGGAGGTTCGTTCGGTCCAGGACTCCGGCACCATGCCTCTGATCACGGAGTCTGTGATCAACATCTCCATCGGCAATGTGGAGGTCCATCAGACTCGACCTGGCAGAAGCACAGAGACCCAGAGGGTGAAGAAACTCTTCTTTACTGTCTTATCTCATTCACCAAATCTGGGTGTGAAATGTTTTCTCACATACATCTTGATTCACTAACAAGTCACTCAAATTTTTCAACCAACTCAAACCAGACCTACACTAAAATAGCAGATAACCTCAAAAACATGTAATGCATATAGCAAATATTATTTTATTTATATATTTTTTCTAATTTGTCCAACAATAAATCTTATTGTATAATTGAATCTAATATTTTAACACTTAATATGTAAAGAAAATGATCAGTTTTGGTATGCAGTTTTATTTCAGTATTATTTGTATTTTATTAATATTTTGAATTTGCTTTATATTTTTTTGTTAATTTTTATTATTTTGGCTTACATTGTGCTTTTGTAAATTTTATTAGGTATTTTTTTGTATTGATTTAATAATTGTGTGTGTGTGCGTCTCTGTGCGTGTATTACTTTTTATTAGAGCCAGACCGATATATCGGCAGGCCGATGTTAGGCATTTTCCAAATTATCGGTATCGGCAGTTATATTGGCCGATAAGTGAATATTTTGTATCATATTTTGATAATGAATATTTTAACAAAATTTGTGACTATCATGTCCAGTTGCTGCTGTTAAATAAGCCGAGAATGAAGCGGAATTTGCTAGTAATAGTTGCATTATGTTGTTACAGTGTAGTCCTTTTAACTCTTGACAACGTGACTGAAGTATTTCTTTAATAGCACGTGACGGTTAAAGCAATTAGACGTATCATCTCTCCTTGGCCTGTCATATTGAAAATGTATGTTTTACAATTTGTTGCGCGTTTCTGAAATAATAATAATAGAAAAAATATCGGCCGATATATCGGATTTTAAAACCAATAAATATTTGTATCGGACTTCAAAATCCTTTATCGGTCGGACTCTACTTTTTATTTGTCTCCAGTTAGTAATTTTAGTGCTTCAACTTAAAATTATGAGTTAGTTGCAGAGGAAACATTTCTGACATTTTACGTAGTTTATTTTTCATCTTTTATTTTGTATTTTATTTTAGTTCAGCTTTAAGATAATTTAGTTAATTTAAATAGTTTTAGTTTAGTTAAAGATAATAGTCCTGATGCCATTATATGCCATTATTAATAATTATGCCACTTGCAGAACATAGTAAGTAGTTTACAACTTTAATAGTATAATGCTTAATATGTAACCAAAATGATAATTTCTGCATAATAATTGAAAATTTGAAATTGTCAAAGAGTTCAGCATGTGTGCTCTTATTGTCCGAGAGCTAAAGGAAGCTTAGTGCTCAAAGCCCATATATGGGCGTGTCTTATGCTTATGGCTCCTTATTTAAAACAGAATCTGAATTGATCAACATCAGAATCGTGTCTAAAGTTTTTCCGTCTTATTTTTGAAGGTGGAAGATAAAGACGTGGACAGTTATCAGGTAATGATTTTTAGGCTTTTTTAAAATATGTAAATGAAGTCTGTGATGATTGGCAAATGTGGTGTTTCTCGCTGTAGGAGTTTGATCTGGAGAGACTCAGGGCCCAGTGGCTCATGGCTCTAACTGAACGACAGGAATATCTGGACCAACGTCTCCAGAAACTTGTTGGCAAGCAAGGTAGGAACCCAGCATCAAACGTGTTTCAGCTTGTGATGAGATTCAGAAAAGTGATCTTTCTTCTGACATAGATAAGTCAGAAGAGGACGTGGAGAGCGAGTCCCAGCTGCTGGAGTGCCGTCTCACACTAACAGAGGAGAGAAACGCTGTACTGGTGCCCTCTGCTGGCAGCGGTATCCCAGGAGCCCCTGCGGAGTGGTAGATGCTCATCAGTTCTTCCACATTTATCACTTGTTATGCTTTGATTTCTAGAACATCTTTTCATTTAAACAAACATAGGACTAACCGTATCTAACCATTACCACCTTTTAAGGGCCGTGACTCACCAAAACAACGCTTTCTTTCTCTCTCATCTCATTTCTCCGACCGTGAGTGACGCACAAATCCGCCTTTCCTCACTCACTTCTTTCATTTCCTCCGGATTATGAATGTTTTTGGTGTTACAGGGCTTGAAATTCGCTTATTGTGTGTAATTTGACTCATTCCAGCAGATTTTGGTGCGCGCACATAAAGCCGCCTCTCAGAACAGAGTTATTTTTCGCTGCTTATTGCACTTAAACAGTCAAATACATACAAAATAATGTCCAAATGCACGTCTTGGTGAGTATTCACGTGTAAACAGTTGAACGTGAACAGTTTAGAAAGAAAACGCATGTGTAACAGTATAATGGATCCGTGCGTCTTTAAGGTCTTAAAGTGACAGTAGCCTAATAAACATGCTGCCAAATTATGAGATCATATTACAAATATGGTATCAATGTCTAATTTTTGGCCAGTGAAAATGTTGAGTGGCTTTTTCTTGCATGCAGGCACAGAACGCACATGCTAGTCGACAGTCGCCTGTAGTCTTTTTGGTTTGTTGAAGCGCAGCTTTTTGTCCGAGACACAGGCGATGTGAGACTACAACACAGTCGGCTTTTGTCGCTGCTAGTTCTTTGACGTGCGTCACAGCCTTAAAGTTCAAGTTCTAAAACAAAATCCAACAATCTGATTGGTTGATCTGACTGCTTCCTGTTCCTTCAGGGTTCCTGTGCCAGGGATGGAGAACCACATCCCAGTCATCTTCCTCGGCCTCAGGGGTAAATATTTGTAACTTTTATTTGGTATTTATTAGTTCACTTTTAGTTTTTATTTACTTTTACATTACATTTAATCATTTAGCAGACACTTTTATCCAAAGCTACAAACGAGAACAATAGAAGCAGTTAAACTAACAGTAGGACAACATTATTTATAATATAACACGTATTATTAGAACATATTTGTTTCCAGTTCAAATTATACTTTTAGTAAGTATACTTCTGTTTTCTAACATTTAGTCAATTTTTTATCATTTGTATTTTATTTTATTGTATTTCTGCTTTATTAAGAACATTTTTGTTTATTTATTTTCAGTTAACAATAATAGCCCTGATGTTATGTGTCTATTAACTGACATCGGAGAGCCGTGGAAATTAGAATTTCTGTTAAATGACATAAATATCATCATAATCTTTACTTTGAGTAATATATTTTACATCAGGTTCAGCTTTTCAGCTTTTCTCTCGACTCATCCTGAGTTGTTTGGTCTGTCATCTACAGCTGATGACTTCTACGATCATCTGTCGGCTCCTCTGGCTGGGGGTCTGGACGCTGTGCTGAACGGAGAAGATAAAGAGGATTTCATAGATTTACAGATGGTCAAACACCATGAGAGTGAGGTGAGCAGTAACACAGCAGTAACATAACAACTCCCTAGCAACTGTTCAAAACACCACAGCAACAAAAAAAAAAACACTGAGAGTAAATAAGCAACTCCTTAGCAACCACCTAGAACACCGCAGCAACATAAAAACACTGAGAGCACCTTAGGAACTCCCTAGAAACCATCCAAAATGCTACAGTAACGTGATAAAAACATTGAAAGTACCTTAGCAACTTCCTAGTGACCACTCAGAACACTTCAGCAACATAAAAACACTGAGAGCACCTTAGCAACTCCCTAGCAACCATCCAAAATGCCACAGCCACATGATAAAAACATTGAAAGCACCTTAGCAACTCCCTAGTGACCACTCAGAACACCACAGCCACATAAAAACACTGAGAGCACCTTAGCAACTCCCTAGCAACCATCCAAAACGCTTCTGCAACATGACAAAAACATTGAAAGCAACTTAGCAACTCCCTAGTGACCACTCAGAACACCACAGCCACATAAAAACACTGAGAGCACCTTAGCAACTCCCTAGCAACCATCCAAAACGCTACTGCAACATGATAAAAACATTGAAAGCAACTTAGCAACTCCCTAGTGACCACTCAGAACACCACAGCCTCATAAAAACACAGAGAGCACCTTAGCAACTCCCTAGCAACCATCCAAAATGCCACAGCCACATAAAAAAAACATTGAAGGCACCTTAGCAACTCCCTAGTGACCACTCAGAACACCACAGCCACATAAAAACACTGAGAGCACCTTAGCAACTCCCTAGCAACCATCCAAAATGCCACAGCCACATGATAAAAACATTGAAGGCACCTTAGCAACTCCCTAGTGACCACTCAGAACACCACAGCCACATAAAAACACTGAGAGCACCTTAGCAACTCCCTAGCAACCATCCAAAATGCCACAGCCACATGATCAAAACATTGAAGGCACCTTAGCAACTCCCTAGTGACCACTCAGAACACCACAGCCACATAAAAACACTGAGAGCACCTTAGCAACTCCCTAGCAACCATCCGAAATGCCATAGCCACATGATAAAAACATTGAAGGCACCTTAGCAACTCCCTAGTGACCACTCAGAACACCACAGCCACATAAAAACACTGAGAGCACCTTAGCAACTCCCTAGCAACCATCCAAAACGCTACTGCAACATTATAAAAACATTGAAAGCACCTTAGCAACTCCCTAGTGACCACTCAGAACACCACAGCCACATAAAAACACTGAGAGCACCTTAGCAACTCCCTAGCAACCATCCGAAATGCCATAGCCACATGATAAAAACATTGAAGGCACCTTAGCAACTCCCTAGTGACCACTCAGAACACCACAGCCACATAAAAACACTGAGAGCACCTTAGCAACTCCCTAGCAACCATCCAAAACGCTACTGCAACATTATAAAAACATTGAAAGCACCTTAGCAACTCCCTAGTGACCACTCAGAACACCACAGCCTCATAAAAACACTGAGAGCACCTTAGCAACTCCCTAGCAACCATCCAAAATGCCACAGCCACATAAAAAACATTGAAGGCACCTTAGCAACTCCCTAGTGACCACTCAGAACACCACAGCCACATAAAAACACTGAGAGCACCTTAGCAACTCCCTAGCAACCATCCAAAACGCTACTGCAACATTATAAAAACATTGAAAGCACCTTAGCAACTCCCTAGTGACCACTCAGAACACCACAGCCACATAAAAACACTGAGAGCACCGTAGCAACTCCCTAGCAACCATCCGAAATGCCATAGCCACATGATAAAAACATTGAAGGCACCTTAGCAACTCCCTAGTGACCACTCAGAACACCACAGCCACATAAAAACACTGAGAGCACCTTAGCAACTCCCTAGCAACCATCCAAAACGCTACTGCAACATTATAAAAACATTGAAAGCACCTTAGCAACTCCCTAGTGACCACTCAGAACACCACAGCCACATAAAAACACTGAGATCACCGTAACTCACTAACAACCATCCAGTGCAATGCATTTGTTTGAAATAAAAAGAAAAGTTTTGATTTGTGAAGTCCGAGTCATCTCTCTCTTCACAGGTGAAGGCAGAGGCATCATGGGACTGCACCGTTCACAACAGTCCAGAGCTAAATCGAGCAACAGGGCCGGATCAGAGGGTTTACCTCACCGTCCGCGTCGTCGTTCTGCTCAGTCATCCCGCACAAATGCAGCTGGTCCTACGCAAACGCATCTGCGTGAACCTCACCGGACGACAGGTGTGACTCTTACTATGATGTCTTTAATTGGTGATGTTATTTTTGTGCTTTGCTTTTTATCGATGTTAATTCTGGCCTACAGGGTTTTGCTCAAAGTCTGTTTAGGAGGATGTCTCACCGCAGCTCACTTCACGGCAGCGGAGTCACGTTTGAGATCGTATCAAATATCCCAGGGGTACGTAAAGCACATGAGCAATATGCTACTGTTCACAAGTATGGGGTCAGTAAGGTTTTTATGTTTTCGAAAGAAGTCTCTTCTGCTCACCAAAGCTGCATTTATTTAATCAAAAATACGTTAAAATTGTGAAATATTATAACAGAAACTGAAATATGGTAACTGGTGTGTGTGTGTGTTTGTTCACAGGACATGCAGGGCTCTGAGGACAGGGAGATGCTTGCCCGACTGGCCACCAGCACTGATAACCTAGGACCCGACAGTGAAGCCGCCATTGAGAAATACCTGCGGAGTGTGTTAGCCGTGGACAACATCCTCACGCTGGACCGTCTCAGACAGGTCTGACATGTGTCATGGTCCCCAGAGCTGTTATATTCTTATTCAGGCATACAATACTAATTATGTACACACAGTATTGTATTGTAAGTACATTTACATGTCGTATTTGTATTTTGGTGAATAATTCAGGAGGTTTCAGTAAGGGAACATCTGACAGATAAAGGAAAGATTCCCAAACGCTGCCTCAGTTCACCCAATATACAGCGGGTAAGACCTGAACTACGTCTTTGAGCAAACATTCATCATGTAAATCAGATATGAAACCCAATCTGTTTATTTTGCAGCTCTCTGGCAGCAGGAAAGATCTGTCCACCAGCCAAGACTATAAAGTGAGGGGAAAAAAACGGCTTAAATTGTGGTTTTGTGTCACAGTTTGGTAAATACTTACAGTATATGCCACTATTTTCTCAGAGTATACATCAAGTTTACTCTTTGCATTTTAGTCATTTGTTTCATTTTTATCATTTTTTCACTGTCCATCCAGACGTTCAGCTTGTTTACCGGTGGTTTGTGACTGTGCTTGACTTTCTTTAGGGTGTTTGGGACAGTCAGCAGGAGATTTCTGTGCCAACATCCTCCCCAAAGAGTACATCTCACCCATCATCAATACAAAGTCTGAACTCAGAGCCAGGTATCTGTCCTCGTCTGATACCTTTAAGTCAAGTCATCCTCATTTATACAATGTAGATTATTTCAAAGCTGTTTTTCAGAGATTAACTTTGAATGTGTATATAAAATGAGTCATTAAAGGATTAGTTCACTTTTGAAAAAACTTTTGCTGATAATTTACTCACCCCCATGTCATCCAAGATGTCCACGTCTTTCTTTCCTCAGTCGAAAAGAAATTTAGGTTTTTGATGAAAACATTGCAGGATTTTTCTCCATATAATGGGCTTCAATGGGAACCGGATGGTTCAAGGTCCAAAAGACAGTTAATAACAGTTTCAGATGCAGCTTCAAATGTCTTTAAACGACACCAGACGATGAATAAGGGTCTTATCATGCGAAACGATCGGTTATTTCAAAACTTATTCCAAACATGTAACTTTTTTAAGGACAAATGCTAGCCTTGCTCTATTCTGTGAGGCGCGTTTGTAACGTCACGTAATACGTAATTACGTTCAAAAGGTCACGGGCGACGTAGCCGGAAGTACAGAATCAAAATCGTCCGACATCGTTGTTTTTCCTTTTAATTCCTTTTTTTGTAAACGGTGTTTGAGTTAGTTTGCACGTTCAACCTATGCGTTCAACTTGTAAACACTGACTCTGTACTTTCGGCTACGTCGCCCGTGACCTTTTGAACGTAATTACGTAATACGTGCCGTTGCAAACGCGCCTCACAGAATAGAGCAATAGCATTTGTCCTTAGAAAAGTTACATTTTTGGAATAAGTTTTGAAAATAACCGATCGTTTCGCATGATAAGACCCTTATTCATCGTCTGACATCGTTTAAAGACATTTGAAGCTGCATCTGAAACTGTTATTAACTGTCTTTTGGACCTTGAACCATCCGGTTCCCATTGAAGCCCATTATATGGAGAAAAATCCTGCAATGTTTTCATCAAAAACCTAAATTTCTTTTCGACTGAGGAAAGAAAGACGTGGACATCTTGGATGACATGGGGGTGAGTAAATTATCAGCAAAAGTTTTTTCAAAAGTGAACTAATCCTTTAATGTAGAAGAAATGTGAAATTATTTTTGAATTTGGAGCTTTCTAGGCTGAGAAAAGCCAGAAAATGTATTTTTGGCTTATGTGGATGAAAGACAACAACTCCCAGAATGCACTTGCTTCGCTGCCCTAGGAGGCCACGCCTACCGGTAACAGAGCGCAGTAGTTAAACAACAAGTCTAGGCTACTAGTGAGTCTCCGTGATGAGTCTGCCCGAAAATGTGTTTCGAGATCGCCCAAAATGTCCGGGATTCGTTATGTTTACTGTGGCGAGCGGGACGAGTGAGGGCCGCGGGAGAACGGCGCGAGGCTGGTGGCGTGATTACCGATGAGCGACACCTGTGAGACGCACCGGTCTCGTATCTCTCATGGAGGAGCGGGAATTTTCTTAGCAATGTTAAAACGCATATCAACCGATCACTTGTTTAGTGTTGATGTAAACACGACATTCAGATTCCCCAATCGCAATGAATTCAGTTCGATTCAAACAAGTAAACAATGAATGGCGACTGCAGAAAGCAAAAGCTGGATCCCGGACATCGACGGCCGGACATGTCTAAGAAAAGAGGATGGGAACCGCTACTACTCAGCTTTCTCCACAGAACAAGAGCCTGTTAGCTTAGCTTCCAAACAAAGATGGCCGACACGGTGTTCATTCTATGAGTGAGATCCCGCCCTCTATGGGCGGGATGAGGACATGCAGGACAAACCCTACTACTGACTGTAGTCTCTAGCCTCTGGACAAAAGATCCAAAATCCAATCAAAAAATACATAAATCTCTCGTCTCAGGGGGATATGAGGGTGGAAAGCACGCTAATTTGAAAATACTACAGGTTTTCTACTAGAGCTGGGTAATAAATATCGATTTCTCGATATTAATCGATTCTCATTTTTACAAACCGATATCGATTCTTAAATCTCAAGAATCGATTAGTCATCCTGTTTCATTTGAATGAATGAGAGATTTTATCGCGGCTGCGCATCCAACAAATCGCAATAATGTTTGTCCTTTGTTACTATTGATATGAAACAAAGTCTCAATTTTCAAATAACGTCCATTTTCTTTAGAAATTCAAAAACATAAATAGTGTTTTGCCGTTTTGGCGCTGTGGCGTGAGATCGCTCTGGAGAAGCAGCAGCGCTGATCTCTCTTCCGGCTTAATAATACCAGTCACAGCGCCAAATAAACATGAATGAGCATCTGAAAGTGTGTTAAAGATAGACTACAACTTATCGAAATCCGTATCATGTCACATTGATTCGCTCAATCAGCGTTTCAACCGTGGAAAGACGTCAGTTAAACAGCTTGTAATCAATGTCATCGTCATATTTACCTCAGAAAACCCACATAAACTCGTTAGTCCACACTCGTTAGTGTTCTTCAATATTTAATGCATATTTGAATAAATATGGCAAGTTTTTTATGACAGCCACCATTTAAATGTTTATATTTCATATAATCTTCTTATTATAAAAATAAATAAAAGTGTAATTTAAGTGTTTGTATAGCTACAAAACAGTTAATTATTAGCTTCATATTAGGTTAATGAAGCCTAGTAGGCTACAACTAGACTATATATATAGACCATAGTTTACAGCATTTAAGAGATTTGATTCCCTTGAGAAAAATTGCCATTTAATGTAACTGATATCCAAAATAATCGATATTGAATCGAATCGTAATCGAAATCGAATTGCAAGCTTGTGAATCGAAATCGAATCGAATTGTGAAATTTGTCTCAATACCCAGCCCTATTTTCTACTAATACAAAGCTTAATGCTAAATCCTGAATTATCCCTTTAATATAGTTTAAGGTGACACAGTTGGTTTTATAGCGGCTCTTGAATAATGTTATTTTCCAGCTAAAGTTAGTTTTACAGGTGAAACAGAGGATACATTACCTGATGGAGTTAGCATAGCATAGCATCACTCTAGCGACCAGCTACAACTCTAGCAGTATGTCAGCAAGCACCACATTTCATCAGATGATGTTGAAAGTTGTTACTGATTATGTGTCTTTGACCTGCTGGTACTCTCAGCAGCACGGCATGCCGCTTTGTGTTAAACATAAATAAATAAATAAATAAAGTACCTTTTATCTGCTAGCGTTTTAATGTGCTTTATTCAGCTGCTGCGCTGGTCTGCTTCTGTATTTTTGTTAATGCTTTATGCTTTGCACTCTAATGGCTGTCCTGCTCTTTTCTCCTCTGCTTTTCTGCCGCTTCTTGAACCCGTGTCCCTACAGGTCTCTCAGGATTTGCTGCGTCTTATTTCTCCCCAGTGAAAGCTCTGGTGTCTCCAGTACCAAAGATGTTCAAGTCTCTGTTATCTAAGAAAGATGAGAAGAAAGAGCCGCCTCGTCCTCTTGCCTTTGAGCTGGTAAAACACCTGCTGACTCTAAACATATTTCACAAATTAGTTTTACAATTAGAAATGCATAATATAGTATTTCCATGGCTGTTTGGTTTTGGTAGTTTATTGTTCATTATTGTAGTTATATCTCATGTGTATTTAAACAATGTAGTTAATAATTGCAGTGTGGTTTTCCTGGTAAAACACTCAATAATATTTTGTATTGCTCTTTAATTTCACCCAGAATGTGCCACGTATTATTGTGCAGTCTGTCAGTCTTGAAGACATCAACAGCTGTGAAATGGTTAGTCTGTATAATATACATAAATATGTATATTATATAACATTTGTACATTTTAAATAATAATATAATTAATAAAATTGTTTATTCTGCATTTATATATTAGTGCTGTCAAAAAATGATTAATTTTAAGTTAACGTGTGTGTGTGTGTGGCCTAAAACTAATAGAATTAATACAATTTGCCGGTCTTAAATATATATATTTTTTTTACCAGTCATGAAACAACAGGCAGTTATGACACTAAAATTTTAGATATCAGTTAAAATTCTACATTTTCAGATATAGAAATTTAGTTAAGTAATCAAATGTAAAATAACATTGCATCACGGTATAAATTAAACAGATTAATCCTCATTAAAGTTTCAGAAGTTATTCAGTCAAGAGCAGGGAGTGATTTTACTTTGTCTTTTGACAAAATAATCACATTTTCCAATTGTTGTTTGAATAACATTAAGGCAGCAGGTGTATATTAGGCTTCTGTCACTTTAAGAACTGCATTTTCTTTCTCAACACATAACTGTGAGACAAAGACATAACTGACTATGTTTCACAAGGATACTCACCAATACGGGCATTTTAAAGTCGTGAAAGAAAGAGTTCAATTTAGTATTTGCGTGCTTGTTCATGTTTATTTACGTTCATATTCTCACAACATTGCTTTGTTAGAATTCATAAAAATATTATCGGCCAATTGCGATTGACACCATTTCATATATATATATATACAGTGGTGTGAATAAGTTTGGACACCCATGCTAAAGTTGCCTAAAAAGAGGAATAAAAAATTGATCTTGATCCTGTTGATCTTAATGCCTTAATTAGAAAAATGAGGAAAACTCCAACCTTTAAGGACACCAATTTTCTTTGTGAATGAATAATGTCTCATAAATAAATAAATGTTTTTCCTTAAAATACAGGGTGCATAAGTCAGGACATCCCTATGTTAAATTCCCATAGAGTCAGGCAGATTTTTATTTTTAAAAGCCACTTATTTCATGGATCCAGGATAATATGCATCCTGATAAAGTTCCCTTGGCCTTTGGAATTAAAATATCCCCACATCATCACACACCTTCCACCACACCTAGAGATCGGCATGGGGTACTTTCCATAAGATCATCTTTCAATGCAAATCAAACCAGCTGTTAGGCTAACTGAAGTAAAACCATGCCGATCTCTAGGTGTGGTGGAAGGTGTGTGATGATGTGGGGATATTATCCTGGATCCATGAAATAACTGGCTTTTAAAAAAAAAAATCTGCCTGACTCTATGGGAATTTAACATAGGGGTGTCCTGACTTATGCACCCTGTATTTTAAGGAAAAACATTTATTTATTTATGATACATTATTCATTCACAAAGAAAATTGGTGTCCTTAAAGGTTGGAGTTTTCCTCATTTTTCTAATTAAGGCATTAAGATCAATATCCAAAAGATGATTTTTTTATTCCTCTTTTTAGGCAACTTTAGCATGGGTGTCCAAACTTATTCACATCACTGTATACTGCATCGAGCCAAATGAGTATACGTTAGGTGCGATTAATTGATTTGACAGCACTAATATACTTAAAATACGTATGTGTTTGATCTTGTGCAGTTGAATACATTTTGATGCGTTTTTATTTTGAAGACTCCTCAGGCTCCTTCAGAAGACCGTGCTCAAGAACCTGCTTCCACTGTGCCCATATTTCCAGTTATTCATGATGCAGTAGAGACCGTTGGGGCATCCAGCATTTCCTCAGAAACCACGTCTGACATCCAGATAGTAAGTACATGTTTCACAGGAATCTCCTTATTACTATGGTGAACAGTATCTGGTGATGTGGTGTATAGACCATTTCACAAGATGTAATCAACACTGGTCCAGAAGCACTTCCTGTTTCGGTTTGTAACTGTTTTCTTCATTTCACATGTAAAGAAAACATCTTAAAGATGTTTGTTTAACTTTTTGATTCAGTTTTAAATGTTCTGTTGGTTGTATTTTATCCCAGCTTTTATGTAGTGTTAAACTGAAACAGGAAGTGCTTCTGGACCAGTGTTGTGTGTTACATCTTGTGAAATGGTCTATAGGGCTGTCACTTTACGTTCGAAAATCGATTGCACAATTGATCGGACCAACCAACACAAGTATCGAAAACGAAAATAGGGAATCGATTTTAACGGCCTTCTCTCAGAGCGCGTCCAGCTCGTAGCGAACGCGCGTCACAGCAACACACACACACACACACATAACAGCAAATTGTACTTATAGTGAAAAATGTGAATTCTGCCGGTATTCAGAAAGTCTCATGCATACAGATACAGATTCAGGCTACAATCGCTTATGTTGGCAAAATTTGTTTGACATTTAAGTAGTAGGCTAATCGAAATAATAACTCTAATCGTAAACAGAGCCATGTTGAATCCTAATGTTTTTCACTAATGTTATGGCAGTCCACTCTGCTTATTTTTTTTTTTTTCGAGAATATTAAACTCCTGTTTGTCATTATGCACGAAGCTTCATGTCAATAAAACATCAGAAGTATTCAAGTGCGCGCCTTAAAGGATTAGTTCACTTTTGAAAAAAATTTTGCTGGTAATTTACTCACCCCCATGTCATCCAAGATATCCATGTCTTTCTTTCCTCAGTCGAAAAGAAATTTAGGTTTTTGATGAAAACATTCCAGGATTTTTCTCCATATAATGGACTTCATTGGGAACCGGATGGTTCAAGTATCAAAAGACAGTTAATAACAGTTTCAGATGCAGCTTCAAATGCCTGTAAACGACACCAGACGATGAATAAGGGTCTTATCATGCGAAACGATCGGTTATTTCAAAACTTATTCCAAAAATGTAACTTTTCTAAGGACAAATGCTAGCCTTGCTCTATTCTGTGAGGCGCGTTTGCAACGTCACGTATTACGTAATTACGTTCAAGAGATCACGGGCGACGTAGCCGGAAGTACAGAGTCAGTGTTTACAAGTTGAACGCATAGGTTGAACGTGCAAACTAACTCAAACACCGTTTACAAAAAAAGGAATTAAAAGGTAAAACAACGATATCGGACGATTTTGATTCCGTACTTCCGGCTACGTCGCCCGTGACCTTTTGAACGTAATTACGTAATACGTGACGTTACAAACGCTTCTCAGAGAATAGAGCAAGGCTAGCATTTGTCCTTAGAAAAGTTACATTTTTGGAATAAGTTTTGAAATAACCGATCGTTTCGCATGATAAGACCCTTATTCATCGTCTGGTGTCGTTTAAAGACATTTGAAGCTGCATCTGAAACTGTTATTAACTGTCTTTTGGATCTTGAACCATCCGGTTCCCATTGAAGTCCATTATATGGAGAAAAATCCTGGAATGTTTTCATCAAAAACCTAAATTTCTTTTCGACTGAGGAAAGAAAGACGTGGACATCTTGGATGACATGGGGGTGAGTAAATTATCAGCAAAAGTTTTTTCAAAAGTGAACTAATCCTTTAAGCGGCCTCTATAGGCCTACGTTCACCCTTATGCGGTGTCCGTGGATTTGCCTATATTTGGCTAAAATGGAAACGTGTTTAAACATGGAAAATCGATTTTACAATCGATTCAATGAACACTTATGTCTCAAAAATCGATCAAGATTTTTTGACAAAGGTGACAGCCCTAGTGGTGTAGTGGGTAACTTAAAAGTTGCTTTTAATACTGTGTAAATGATTACTTATAGCTTGATCTCTATGATCTCCACAGAGCCGTGTTATGGAAACTCCAATTTCAGAGAAACCAGAAATTATGCCGGCTCTTCTTCCTCAAGAAGCTCCAATTTCTTCTGTTCCTCAAGTGGCTGAGGAAGTTCTACCTACTAATCTTTGTTTCGAAGTTGAGGAGGTTCTTCCTCAATCTGTTTCTCCAGAGATTGAGAACGCTGTACCTTCTGATCTGACTCCGGAGGTTGAGGAGGCTCTACCTCCTACCGTTCCCTCGGAGATCGAGGAGGTTTCACCTTCTTTTGCTACACCAGTAGATCCCAAGCAAAGTCCGGTTTGTGATTCCACCTACAGCTCCGTCAGTGACGTCTCAAGCGGATACGTCTCCACGAGTGTCTCCACAGCGACTCTCTCGGAGTGTGCGGTCTCGAATGTTGATCCTCCTCTTCCCAACAGCACTGAAGCCAAAATAGACAAGTCTACTTCCAAAAAGATTGAACCAAAAACGGACAGCGTGGTTGTGCCAACAAGCAGCACATCTCCAGAGCATCAATCAAAGCTTGAACCAGCTGACCAAGAATCCCAGATATCTCCTCTAGATGCATCACCTCAGAAACTCACCGTTTCTGCTTCCTTGCCTCAGAAAAACAATGACCCCATTGATAATGTCGCTTCGGCCGGCCAAACATCTTGTTCAGGAACCACAGCCCCATTAGCATCTGACCCATCTGTACCAGTGAAGACTGCTAAACAGTCCCAGCAAACCAACAAGTCCACTCCCGCTCCCAATGCCAACCCTTTCCAAATCCACAAAATCAAGTCCTCTGGCTTGAAGTCTTTCAAAGGGATCCTACATGAGGAAGAAGATAAAACCAAACACGTTGACTCTTTATCGGTGTCTCAAGAGAGATTGGAGATCCTTTCGGATTCAGAGGATTCAAGCCTTGAGACTCCCGACTGGCTGAAAGAAGAGGAATATGTGACTGTTGGCGCCAATAAAACTGGAACCGTCCGTTACGTCGGACCAACTGACTTTGCAAAGGGCGTTTGGGTTGGAGTGGAGCTCGATGTTCCAGCAGGTTGGTAATGCTCTTGAACTTGGGTAGATCAGCAATACTACCGTCATGCATATCATATTCTAGTCACTGGAAAGTCCATTTTCTTTGGAAATTCAAAAACTTAAATAGTGTTTTGGCGCTGTGGCGTGAGATCGCTCAAGAGAAGCAGCAGCGCTGATCTCTCTTCCGGGTTAATAAAACCAGTCACAGCGCCAAATAAACATGAACGAGCATCTGAAAGTGTGTTAAAAGATAGACACACAGCTTCTTCAAGGTTGGATTTGATCGGGCTCTAACTATAAACAGGAGACTCTTCCCAAAACACCAAGATAACATGTTCTTGCTCTCAATGAGAGGACACTTTCATATACTGTAGTCAACATTTGAAGTGGATCAAAACATTTCATCCAAATTATACATGAATTTTGCACAATACCCGGACTTGTCTTAGCACAACTTTGAACTTTTTTTGATCCACTTCGAATGTTGACTACTGATGTTCACTAAACACAGTGAAGTAAAGCTAAAATGGAGAATTCTGCTATGTCATGTTTAGGTTGTGTTGTCTTAGTAATGTCAAGTTGTCATGACAAAGACACTGACAGGTTATGATGTATTGGTTTATGTCAAGGTGTCATAACAAAGACATCTTAACCCTCTGGGGTTGTTCGTTTAACAGTCACACTCGGGAACTTCGGGTCAAAATTGACCCAAAGGGCGGGATTCATATTTAAAAAAGAAAATCATATTTTTTTAGAATATTTTTTCTTTTCTTTTTTGGTGTTTTGAGAAAATTTCACAAATACAAAAATGTATAATTAGTATTAATGCAATAATTATGAACAAATTTTCCCCTATTGAATATAATAGAAAAAAATACTTAAATATTTTTTTTTTAAAGCTGTATTTCATTTTGGAGTCCAACCTAGGCCTCATAAAAGCAATTTTTGAAATTAGATGGATACCATCTGGTGGACAAACTGAGCTTTTTAAAAATGCAAAACACTTTTTTGGTGTGTTTGTGTATAAAGGTGTGTTTGTGTGTGTGTGTTTTGCACTCTTGATGTTTTATAGATTCACCCCTTCACTGTTGTGTGCTTTTTTTCAAGATCGTGGCTGATTTGTAGATTGTACGCACAAAAAACTCAGTATTTTCACATTTTTGACAATTTCCCATTCATTTCCTATGCGGGTCATTTTTGACCCGAAGGTCCCGAGTGTGACTATTTTATTTACGACCACTTAGACTTTTCAAATCCTGTCCCCAATTTTTTTGGGTGTTCAAATACCAAATACCAACAAAGTCACCAAGTTTCGGACCATTCCGATGAAGCTACGATTTTTAACATTTTTTTTATTTAAACGCTTCGGGTCATTATTGACCCGAAGAACCCCAGAGGGTTTTAAACAATGTCATATTTGCATTCAAAATGTCATAACTGAGCGAATGACACTTAAAGACAGTTGTCATAAACATGCATCTTCATATTCCGGACATTTGTCATGTCATGGTTATGAAGGTGTCATGTCAGTCTTAAACACACCCCTTCAAGTAAAGAGTTACCTATTTATGCTCTTCATTTCTAGGTAAAAATGATGGTTCGGTCGGCGGTCGCCAATACTTCCACTGCAACCCTGGTTACGGCGTTCTCGTGAGAGCAGATCGGGTCACGAAAGCAACGGGTACCGCTAAAAGGTCGAGGCAGAAACGCAAGCAGAACCTCTCGGGATCGAGTCCCAACTTGGCAGCCCTGACAGCGATGGCCAAAGGAGAGGCTGGAGGACGCAAGGGGGAGAACAGGAAGTCTTGGGTTAGCTGAGGAAAATCTTGTTGATGAGGACTTTCTGGTACGACACTGAAACACTACACTGATGTCACTGCCATTTGATTCACTAATGCATGTCTAGTGTACACTACTTAGTACCTAGGGTTTTGAGGTGTATTTCCAGCCTCTATAAGCAGTATTTTTGGTATTACTTTTTTTAAAAATGTTTTTTATATATATATATATATAACAAAGTGCCCTGTTTATCTGGACCTGGAAAAATGAGGATACGGATGAATTCACTGAGTGTTTCAATTCATAATTTTACAGTATATATGGAGGTGAGAGGATTTTACCTGTGGAGATTTTATTTAGAAATGTATTTTTTCTTGGTTTGGGATGTTTTTTTTTTTCTTTTTGAATGAGTAATTTATCATCAGATTGTTATTTAATTTATTTTGCAGATCAACGTAATGAAAAAAAGTAATAATGTCGAGGATTTTATATTGCAATGGTGAGAGTATTAATAATAAACGTATTTTATTATCATGAAAGATTTTATATACACACTTTAAACTCAGTCATGAAAGAATAAAATCACATGCTTGATCATCAATATACCTTTATTTCCCAGAAGATAAAGTACTAAAATAAACACAAGTTTTAAAAAAAGTCATTTTAAACAAAGAAACTGTACAAAAAGTTCATATATATACTATAGTATACTTACAGAACAGTCTACTGTCCAAAAAAGGCACTAAATTCTTAAATGGAGATACAGAATAGAATTACTTGATTCAAACAATCTTTCAAATCATAGTTGCTGTATTCTGTTTATTTATAAGCCTATAGATTTTTCCTTTATAGACATGAAGAACTAAATGGAAACGAAAGCACCCCCTTTAAACCAGCAGGGTTACGTTATGGGTTCACAGAATCAAACACTTGAGGATACAGAACGAGTCATTCGTAGTGCGTCACTGTGAGATAATGGAAACGTCATACTGCAGTTTTGGCACATTTTGTCATGTGTATAAAGGCTCTAATGACACAACCATGAACACGGAAGTTTACATCCTTGTCAGTCATTTAAACATATTCGATAAATTGAAATAAAAATGTGGCAAATAAAATAGCGGGTTTCTTAAGTGAAGGGGGTGCTTCATCTGAATCAGACACGCTTCAGGAGACTGCTCTGAACGTAAAACAAAAACGGTGTAAAACAATTAAATAAAAAGAATCTTGAATTAATATTCAACAGAAATTGACATTTCGTAAATATCAATTGAACAATTGTACAGAGGAAGATAGAGGAAGGATACATAAAATCAGGGCCTCATTCGTGTCTCGAGCAGAACGAACTTCTGTCAGAATCATTCTTGCGTAACTGCCTTCAAAAGTTTATTTATGCAGCCGAAGCACCCAAACACAGACTGAATTAACAATATATTGTAAAAGTGTTCAGCTTTCTGCAACAAATATGTTTTTGGATTTGAAGTCGTAAAGTGAGCCGGAAGTATTAAAATGTAGCGCATTTATGATAGCCGGTCTCGGAGCAGCGCCCCCACAGTTTTCCTATGGTGAATCTGTGGTGAAAAGTGGAACTGCAGCGCGCTCTGATCGAGAACCATTGAGGCAGATTTCAAACTGCCCCGCTTATTTTCACATGACCTTCCAGAAACCTCAGGCGCTTCAGATATGTGTCTGCATGTGGAGTGGCATATCATATTAATGAAAGTATTAAACATTCACATTCTGAGGTAATAAATACTACATTAAGGCAATTCTATGCGTTTGTCATGTGTAATAAAGTCTTTCAATCATGATTAGAGCGCCAAGCTACGCAAGCTAATTCTGACGTGTTAACAGAGTGCTGAAGTTGCGACGTCACTCTGTAGGCTAAAACGTGGAAGTGAGTTAGCATTTTAGCACTACCGTTCCCTCGCTATAAAGTCTATGGGTTTTTGCTAAATCGCCTGAAATAAGGTCTGTGGTGAACACACCAGTTATATCCTGCTTATGGTTTTTTAAACTTTATTGTGCCTGCTTGTGTTTTTAAAAAAAATTTATATAGGCTTCAAAATTTAGACATTTTGGATTAACTGGTAAAGATTATCTTGATAGACAAAACGACTCTGTTGAACACAGATCTTATTTTTTTTTGCGATTTTCCAAAAGTCTATGGGGGAAAATGCATTGCTTTTCGATCGAGGGAACCCATGCGCCGCTAACTTCCGAGTTGTCCTACAAAGTGACATCATCACTTCGGCACTATATAAAGCTTACAAAATGTTTATCATAAACTAGCGCCAAGACCCATAATCCTAAATTTACTACATTTATGTAAGAATGACTTTAAAACCATTGCAGCAAGTTTGAGATCATTTACGCAAGAATGGTTCTGCGAATTATTCGTTCTGCTCGTTTTGTTTATTTTTTATATAAAATAAATGAAGCCCAGCGAGTGAATAAAGTTCTTTTAGAACCTTTTCTGAATACATTAAGCTACATTTTGGAACCAAGCTTACGCTAGACGAGAGTTCAGACTCTCAGAATCTCCGTGGCAGCCGAGGAAACATTTATTAGTCAGTCTCTCTTGAACACTGTGAAATTCTGAAGTCATTTCATAATAATAATAATAATAATAATAATAAAGCCTTGTGGACGCAGCGTCATTTATGCACTGGAGTTTTGACATTTTAGAGGAATGATATTTTACGTCGACATCTTTAGATCTAAATATCTAAACACAATGAGAACAGATGCTTCGGTTTTGACTCTGCGTGAATTGCACGTAAATAAAAACATAAACGTTAAATAAATACAAACATAAGAATAATGCGTTAATGCTAAATGACTGTGGGTAATGCTGGACGTCGAACGCTAGCGGTCTGCAGGTTCATTTAGAGTCTAGGAGACTTAAGCTTTTGCACAGAATAACTTTGCGCGCTTTGGCTGTTATTTAACCATTTCTTTCAAGTTTCACAATGATTATAATTCAGTTTTTCCCCCTTTGCATGTAAAAGTTCATTCTAATGCATTTGGGTGAATCTCACAACAACAAAACATCCTAGATACATTTCACCAGCAAATCAAAAGGAATATGTATGCCAGTTATGCACATTTTCCCCCAAAATTGTGTTTTTTTTTTATTTAAATTTTTTAATTTGCGTTTTAAAAAGTAGGAAAATACCATAAATGCTATTAAATTTAAGTATACCCCCCCCCCCAAACTGCTTTAAAATATCCTAAAAACAATCTTAGCGATCCTCAAAACATTGTTTATTCTGTGAATTCTAAAAAAAAAAAATATTTTCTCTCCCTTTCATTTGTGGTGAAATGTGTTGTAGACCGTTTTCATGAGACTCACCCGATTGCTGCTTGATGAAATGGCATGCGAAAGGAAAGTAGAAACATTAAAGCAGTTAACTGAGAGCATCTGTAATGGGAATGGAAGAGTTCATCATGGACCCAGAGCAGAAATAAAATACAGCTTTGCCGTTTAAAAACGTCTTTTTGCTATAAGACTCGCCTCTCTCTCGAACGATCGTATCCGTGAGAACAGCGATGAGAGTCACTGGAGCACAGACACAGGGAAGCACACGAACATTACGAGCTAAAGGAACTGATATGAGGTATGAGGTTTGGGTCAGCCGTAGGAACAACCTTCCGCTTGTCATGTACTCTGGGTTGGTTTAGTGGTTCAGCAGGAGTGTTGATGGCAGGCGATGTTAGGATCTAAAAGCTTGAGACAGAGCGCTGATTTGGTCGTTGCCACATGAACACGTCTGAGAACATCCACACATCGATTCTCAGTCATCATCCAGTGCCTCTGTTTTGATTTCGCTGGCCACGGCTCCCGGACGGGACAGGGCGAGGATGCTGTGATTGACAGCTGCCATCTCCACGGCGAGAGAGATGGGGTCCTGGTGGTCTGCGTGATTGCCGGCGTCATCCTTAAAGAGACAAGTACGTGAATTAGCAACTGAAACGTTCAATTTCCGGTAATAAAAATACTAAATGCATTCTTTCTTTTTTTTATAGTAGGCTAAAATGTAAATCACATTTAGATTTACAAGCAAATTACTACATTTCATTGAAGCAATATATTGGTATATAATACTGATTAGCACTTGCATTGGTCAAAATGACATTTATGTAATTTGTAATTAGAGCCCGACCGATAAAGGATTTTGAAGGCCGATACCGATACAAATATTTTTTGTTTTAAAATCCGATATTCCGATATATCGGCCGATATTTTTTTATTTCAGAAACGCGCAACAAAACATTAACAGATTTCCCTAACATTAGTTATTTGGAGTTATTTATGAGTTTTAACTAAAATAATATGTAATATGATAATGCATTTTAAAAAGAAACTTGTTTCTTTTATTGTCTCAACAGAACAGACTGATGATATTGGCATTAGCTTTACGGTTAGCTATGAGTGTTTAGCTTGCCAACAGGAACGGTGTAGAGTGCCCTCTGGTGGACAAACTATACAACTCCAACACTCATGACATGGTTCAAGCGTGTTTCGTCTGTTTTTATTTTATTTTTGAAATATTCATTTATCGGCCATTATAACTGCCGATACCGATAGTTTGGAAAATGCCTAATATCGGCTGATAATATCGGCCTACCGATATATCGGTCTGGCTCTATTTGTAATATTATAAATGTTTACACTTTATTATACAGCGATGAGCCAAAACATTATGACCAGTCAAGGTGAAGCGAATATTGTTGATCATCTCCTAACAAGGCCACATATTAAGGTCTGGATAGATTAGATGGAAAGTAAACGATCAGCTCTTGCAATCACTGTGTCGAATGGGCATAACACCGTGTCCTAACTACACGCGACGCCGCGACACACGATAAAAGGTATCTTTTCCATGTTAATCAGAGTTTTTGTCCTAACCAGACACGCGAAGTTTCTAATTTAGAAACGGTTCCTATTTCTGCCACGTCGCGGCTGACAGAATGAAGAAATTACACTGGTTATGAGTACACATTATTTATTTTTAGTTAAAAATAGGTCACTGTGCCACGGATAATTTACCTCAGATTTAGAAAGCAGATAATATAGCGTTCAAAATTAATTCTATGCAAACATACGACTAAAGTACGAGTAAATTTTGTTAATGTTTTGATTTTTAATAATGTTATTTCTTGATTTGATTATGTCCTTACCCATATTCAATGCGAGTGCGGGCCAACAGTGCGCTTTCACAGAGAGACTCCGCTCACGCCATGGGATTTATGGCTCTTTGAGGGGATCCGGATCTTGGCGATCCGTTCCTTTCAAAGAGCCGTTCAAAAGAATGGCTCTTTTTAAATATTTCGTATAATCACTGGGTGGAATGATGAGGTGAGATTTGTATCACACATCAATATCTGAGTTTGAATTATTCTGAAATATTGATTATTACCTCATGTGTGGGCTATATTTCAAAGGGTTGCACAACATCCCTCTGCTTAGAACGTGACATCACTATTTTGGATTTACCTTTAGTACAAAGTGAGTGTATGTGTAAAGCTGTTGACTTGTGTGTTTTTCATACAATACCACAAGAACATTTTGATAAAAAACAAAAAATATTTAAAGTTGTAAATATATACTGTAGATACATTAACATGAACACAAAATGCAATGTAAATAAATACAAGCAGTTCCTTACTTTATGGCTTTTTTAAAAAAAAAAAACTGGAGTAACCATGTGATTGCGGCGTGCACAAGTTTTGGCTCCGCTCCTACCCAATGGCATAGGCACGTAGGGTTATTTTTTTGCTCGCACTCTCTGACCCTTAGAATTGCTTCTGTACCTTTTAAAGTTTTCTTTAAGAGTGTTTGAGTAACTCCATCTTGAGCTTTGATTATTTGCACGTATAAAGTGTGTGTGATGGTCTTCATGTGATACCTGTGTTGGTGAGGTGGGCTCCAGACGGTAGTAACCAAAAGGTTTGTTCAAACTTCTCTTTTCAAAATAGGCAACATCACAACCCTGCAATGAGATCTGAATGAAGATCAGCTCTAATAATTGTGTTAGATGATGAATCCGAGTCGTTTGATTCTCTCACCTGTTCGTTGTAGTCGTTAGCGTCGATGTCGTCACTGTTGGAGTGTCCTCCAGGACTCTGCACATCAATCCCGTGGCTTTCCAGAATTGTGGCTTCTTGGAAAAAAGACCCTGTCATGAAACATCTGAAACTCTTTAAAAACCACTAAGTGACCACAACAAACGAATATCAGCAAACGAAACCAGTAAACTCCTCACTCATTTGACTCAAGTTTCTTCGTTAAGACAATTAAGTCAAATGTCTTTTACTACATATAAATCAGGGTTATTATAATTAACTAAAACCATTAAAAAAAATCCATTATTTAAAATAAAATAAACATGAAATAAAATTTTAAATATATTTTTAAAATGCATTGAAATAAAATAAATCAACAAAAATAAAATAATCATGAAATAAAATTAAAAAGATTTTTTTTTAAATGCACTGAAATAAAATAAATCAACAAAAATAAAATAAACACGAAATAAAATTAAAAATATATTTTTAAAATGCACTGAAATAAAATAAATCAACATAAAAAAATAAAAAATGACAAAAAACACTGCCTTTTATTTTCATTTATTATTAAGTTTACAATTAAAATTAAATGACAAAAAATATTCAAAATATTAATAAAAGCTATAATAGCATCTCAATTATGCTAAAACTAATATAAATCAACAAAAACACATTACCAATATTGGCCCTCCTCTTGATCTCTTTGCGTCGATTGGCAAACCAGTTGTAGACTTTTAAAGACGTTACTCTTTCCAAATCAGACAACTTCTTTCCTAGGCAGGAAAAAAAGATTGAAAGGTCAGAGATGATTGCGAGAATAAAAATGCAACCGTGACATTTATGCAGATTCAGACCTGGTTTCTGAATAACAGCATTGCAGGCGTTGGCGATCTCCTCTCGTTTGGCTTCATCTGGATATTGATTATCACTGAAATAACTGAGGAGAGAACCAAAGAAATGCATTATTTCGAACAGATAGCTTCCATTTCTATACTATAAACAGCCTGTTTGTTGGCATGATTGGAGTTAAAAAAGGGAATTTTATAATACTGTGTTTGTCAGATTTTATTCCTAATTTGAAATGTTATTGAGACCTAACATTGACGGTTTTTCAGACATCTCTCTCACCTCTCCATCACAGCAAGACATTCCTTCCTCCAGGTGAATCGACTTCCTCTGCGCAGACGAAAGCTTCCGGGGGCGGAGCTTATGGGGGGCGGAGTCTGACGCCACTCCATCTCGTCCAGAGATACAGGGGTGGGTCGCATATTTAGTGTGGCACCTGAAAATACACATGTATGTTTTTGATTCATTACGTTAAAATATATATGAAGAGTTCAGATGCAAAAGCCTCTAAATGCCATTTGAAATTTTCTTATTTAATGATGATTTTTATCAAACTTGTATATTTAAGTTCAGTAATTTCACTTAAATAACAATTAATAGGTAATTATCATTGCCATTTAAGTGAAATCACTGAACCTAAATATACAAGCTTGATAAAAATTATCATTCTAGAAGAAAAATTCAAATGGCACTTAGAGGCTTTTGCATCTGAACTCTTCATATGTATGTGTTATTTGATCAAAAATACAGTAAAAACAGCTATATTGTCTATTTGAATATATTTACTCCAGCCTTCAGACACATGATCCTTCAGAAATCACTCTAATCTGATGATTATGATCCATATGTTGAAAACAGTTGTGCTGTGATGCTTTTTTTCAGGATTCTTTGATAAATAGAAAGTTTAAAAGAACAGTCTTTATTTAAAATAATTTAACTCTTTTGTAGCATTATAAATGTCTTTGGTGCCACTTTTGATCAATTTAATGCAAAAACAAAACATTATCTCAAACTTTTCAGCCTGTACTTGATTGAAGCTTATCTTTGTGGATCTACCAACCTACAGTAAAATGAAAGCGAGTGAAGTTTGTTAACCTGGCGTGGTCTTCTCAAGCTGGTACCAGCGGTAGAAAGCTCGTTTCTTCTGTTCGCTGAGATCTGAGCCCTGCTGAAGGAGCCAGTGAGAGATTCTGCTCTGACTGATGCCTGACAGAGAAAGAGATCACAAATCAATAGCAAATTACTGACAAAACGACAGGTCATCTGAGACAGAACATTCATAATTCTATTTCTGTTTAGTAATTATGATCAAATCTATTGCACATTATTGTTCTTGCTTTTTATGCAAATGAGTGCATTTTTTATTTGCATATTTTAACAACATTTCTGAAACCTTGTAATGCAAAAGTAATCGGGCGACTTTCAGATGTGTGCATGGAAAAGCATCTATTGAATTGAGTTCTTTCACATCTTCTTTTGCTTGAATGCTTAAAATTGCTTGAATGCTCAAAATTGCTTCAACGTTGAAATTAGCAAGACTTGAAAATGTCCGCAAATTATGACCTTGAGTCCTTATTGCCGAGCCTTGTAATAGATCCATCCCAATGTTTTTGGCTTGTGGCTGTTCTTTTAAAATTGTGCGTATTTGAATGTTTATTCCAGTGAAATCTGATCCAAAAGCACGAATATCCACAGCAAAACATTGTTGCTCAAAAAAAAAAAAAAAATTATTTATATTATTTTTATATTATTATTTGTATATATATATATATATATTCAAAGTGCAATGTCTAACCCCATTAGTTTACATTGTATGTGCATTACTGTAATTGTTGCATGTTTTTACAAATTGGAGTAATAGGGTGATGACTGACCTGTGACCTGAGCCACCACAGCCTGAGAGATGCGTCTGTTGCCCAGAAAGGCTTTGATTTCCTCCTTCACCAGGGTGCTGTCCCGCCTGCACACATCACAGGACACAAACATGACGTATGTGAAGATTATCAAACTCATCGCAGATGGTCTCAGAGCAAAATGACTCTGTTTACACCTGGTAAACAATCACTATTTGATAGTGTTAATTCAAGTTAGAGTGAGTTTGAATTGGTTTTGACCCACAGTACACCAGAGATATTTTAATATCACTGAGATACTATTATAGTTTCTGGATTTACAGTATAGACAGAGAAACAAGCGCACAGCCATCTTTAGGATTTGTGTTTGAACTTCTGTTTTAGCGAGTGCTCTGTATGTCTATGGTGTCACTGTCGAAGAGTAATTAGTTACTGAAGTGGATTTACTTGTTGAGTTTTATGATCATTGTAATGTTTGAAGTGGATATTATGACATATAATATAATTTTTTATATATATATATATAATTTTTATAATATATACTTTTTTTTCCGGTTCATTTATCTCAGGGCTTCAGATTGCAACTAAAATGTTTGCAAATGTATTAAAAATAAATAGTAAATACATAAATGAATTTCTCTTTTTATTATTATGGACAACTTTATTTAATATAATTTTTATAATATCATTTTTTTTATTTTAATTTTTTTCCCGGTTCATTTATCTCAGGGCTTCAGATTGCAACTAAAATGTTTGCAAATGTATTTAAAAATAAATAGTAAATACATAAATTAATTTTTCTTTTTATTATTATGGACAATTTTATTTAATATAATTTTTATATATTTTTTTCGGTTCATTTATCTCAGGGCTTCAGACTGCAACTAAAATGTTTGCGAATGTATTTATTTAAAAATAAATAGTAAATACATCAATTTATTTTTCTATTTATGGGCAACTTTATACAAATATTTATGTAAAAAATTATTCAAAATCCATATAGGTCAAACACTAGTACAACTAAAAATACTGTTTAGAACATGCTGAATATTACCTATCGTTAAAAAAAAAACTTTTTAAATAGGAATTAAAAACAACAACAACAATATAGTCTAAGAGTTTTTATTAAAGTTTCAGTTATTTTAGTAAATAAAGTTAGACTAAATGAAAATGTTGCTTTGACAATTTTAGCTAACAGAACTAGTTTAAGTATATAATATGTATGTGTGTGTGTGTGTGTGTGTGTGTGTGTGTATATATATATATATATACACACATATTATATACTTAAACTAGTTCTATGTTAGCTATGTTAGCTAATGTGCCCCGTGCTCGCGATCAGTTAACGTTAATTTTATTTCAAGCATGAAAATGTTGTGAATGTTTTCAGTTTAGGTTAACTACGATAACCCTGACCCGCACTGACCTCATGAGCTCCTCCACCTTGTCGTCTATATCCAGGTCCTCCTCTGACCCCTCCAGCACGTACGACCTCATTGCCGCCGCACTGTTTACCGGGCAACGGTTCGGTGATAGTTTCCCATTGGGTGTGGCCGCCAAAGCGTCCCGCCCATTCTGGACCATGGCGACCAGAGACACCGGCGAAGGTAAAACGGCGGGCGGAGATGTAGCGTAACTGTTGTTGGGCGATGGCGATAAGTTCCCGTGGAACTGCGTCTGCGTCGCTGTGGAAGTGGTGGAGGAAGTTGCCAAAGCGGCGCTGCTAGTGTTATTTGAGGTGGGTGTAGTGCTGGAGGTGGTGGCGTTGGAGTCCGACGGTGCGCGCCGGCCGAATTTGTCCCCGTGCTCGCGGTCGAGTCGCTCCAGGGTGTCCAGGGCGTGCACGATCTCGGGTTTGGTCATGCCTGAACGCCGCAGTCTCTGGAGCAGGTCGATCTGTTCGATGGTGAAGCGTGGCTCATCTGTGTAGTGAGACATTCTGATGGGACACACGAACAAACGTTATTGCTGATTTGTAGCTCAATACACAATCACGTGTGCAACAATGGACTAGAGCCCGACCGATAAAGGATTTTGAAGACCGATACCGATACAAATATTTTTTGGTTTTAAAATCCGATATTCCGATAAATCGGCCGATATTTTTTTATTTCAGAAACGCGCAACAAAACATTAACAGATTTCCCTAACATTAATTATTTGTAGTTATTTATGAGTTTTAACTAAAATAAAATGAAAATGCATTTTAAAAAGAAACTTGTTTCTTTTATCGTCACAACAGAACAGACTTATGATAGTGGCATTAGCTAGCTTTATGGTTAGCTAGTCTATAATGAGCCATAATTTAGCAATGGATTACGTCATACTGCAAATTGTAAAATGTTCAATATAACAGGCCAAGGAGAGATGATACGTCTCATTGCTTTAACTGTCACGCGCTATTAAAGAAATACTTCAGTCACGTTGTCAAAAGTTAAAGGGACAGTCAATCAACTACACTGTAACAACGTAACGTAACTATTACTAGCTAATTTCGCTTCACCTCTCGGCTTATTTAACAGCAGCAAAGCTGGACATGATAATCACAAATGTTGTCATGCTAATTTGAGTTAAGAGAACTGATGGGGATGATCTTTTAATTGTTATTCAAGCAATCTATGTCTCGACCAACTCAACTAGTGTTGCTAACAGGGACGGTGTAGAGCGCCCTCTGGTGGACAAACTATGCAACTCCAACACTCATGACATGGTTCAAGCGCGTTTCGTCCGTTTTTATTTTATTTTTGAAATATTCATTTATCGGCCATTATAACTGCCGATACCGATGGAAAATGCCTAATATCGGCCGATAATATCGGCCTGCCGATATATCGGTCTGGCTCTACAATGGACGTTATAGGAGAAGAAACAAACTAAAGCTACATTCAAAATTGTAAGTCTGTGAACTGTATACTGTATAGTACTACATACTGCATGCTCCCTATTGTTATTTCCCCATGACAGTCTGTGGATTATCTGAGCCCACCAGATTAGTAATCTGTGTAGTATGTACCCGTCCAGACCAGTAATTTGTACTAGTCACCACAGTGTTCCCTCGACCGTCATGAATCAATCCCTCTCAAACTCCACCACAGGATTTAGTGCGAAACACAGGTTCTTCATATCAATCAATGCCATTTGAGCTCAGTTTAGAATCAAAAGGAGAATGCAGAAATAAAATATAGTGTAATCAGTCAGACACACAGTGCTCAGATGCAGATAAGCAGATGTTTTGAGTCTGGATTTGAATGTGACTGACTGTAGGAGCACATCTGATCGCTGGTTCCAGCAGAGTAGCTAAAAGTGGACTCACCCTTGGTATTTCTATCTGAAGTGATCCTAATGATCTGAATGATCTGTTGGGTTGAGCATATCTGCACAGTCAGTTTAAGTCAGTGTCTCCTGTACCGTAATTCAGCATCTTTGCTGAACCTTTAAACACTTATAGGAGTAGTTTACTTTAAAAAAAAAAAAAAAAAAAAAACTTTTGCTGATAATTTACTCACCCCCTTTCTTCAGTCGAAAAGAAATTAAGGTTTTTGATGAAAACATGGATTTTTCTCCATATAATGGGCTTCAATGGGGTCCAAACGGTTCAAGGTCCAAAAGACAGTTTCAGTGCAAACTGTTCAAAGGGCTTTAAACGATTCCAGACCATCAATAAGGGTCTTATCAAGCGAAACGATCGCTCATTTAAAAACAAAAAAGGTAACGTTTTATAAGCTCAAATGGTCTTGCTCTGTTCTGTACGTTCGTGACTCTCCTGTTCAAACTCGTTTATCAAAATGAACAAATCTTTTTTCGTGTCATTTGGTTCATTCAGCGAACGAAATGAACGAGTTGACTCTGGAAAAGATTTGTTCATTTTGATAAACGATTTGAGCAGGAGAGTCACGAACGTGCATCACAGAGCAAGGTGACCATTTGAGCTTATAAAACTTAAACTTTTTTTTTTTTAATGAGTGATCGTTTCGCTTGATAAGACCCTTATTCATCGTCTAGTGTCGTTTAAAGCCCCTTGAACAGTTTGCACTGAAACTGTCTTTTGGACCTTGAACCGTTTGGACCCCATTGAAGTCCATTATATGGAGAAAAATCCTGGAATGTTTTCGACTGAAGAAAGAAAGACATGGACATCTTGGATGACATGGGGGTGAGGAAATTATCAGCAAAATTAAAAAAAAAAAAGTGAACTCCTTTAAATAAATGACTTTTATGCACTGGATCTCTTTAATAAAACAGATTCACAAATTACTCTTAAAGGCATTAGTTACAGATGAATCAATCCAATGACTCACTCAATTACCGAATTGTACTTATTGAACTGGGTAACGGTTTAAAAGTCACTTGTTTTACTCTGAACACGTTAGAAACAGAAGGTCGAATGCATTGCATGTTTTTAATCGAGGCCGGGTTTCGTTTGCTTACTGTAGTAGGAAATGCGCTATTCTGAATCTGAACAAGCCCACAATTCACTTAGATCTCAAGACAAATTAATTATAATTTCAAGCGTTCCGCCATCTCATGGCAGTCGAGTTATGATGATAAAAGCAGGATTCATCTGACCTACTTAAAATTCTGTTTATCCAAGACGGCTTTCATCAGCAAGCACGAGCAATTACTGTCGCTGTTGTCAAGGAAACCATACCACCCAATGACGGATGAGTATGGAGTTTATGTAACTCCAGATTAAAGCGCAGAATGCAAATATGGAGCATGTTTTGTTTAACCTCCTAATCTAGAGCGCATGGTTTTATATTAAGCTAATAGTTATGCATGGGTCTATTAATACCAGGCGGTAATAGATGACTAGCCAACCAGGTTATATGTTACATTTTAACCATGCTCTCACTGAACTTACACTGAACATAAACTGCATGTTAAAACTATTTTTTGCTATTTTATCATGTCAAGTAGTGATATGTGACTGCTTTATTTTATCTTTATGCTTCAGTTCCCAGAAAAATGGATGGAAAGGTTAATAACAAACTGGTGACCCAGAGCCCTTGTGGCAACTTAGTAACTCCTATAACTTAACCATCCCAGTTGCGCTGCTGGTTTGCTGTGAAATTCCTCACCGATGTGGCATTATTCCAGCCCTACTGTATTTGCACAGGTTAACCGTTAACCTTGCACAGCTGTAGCCAAAGCACTTGCCACTAAAAAAAGGCTCAGTGAGCTCTTGTACGGCATAATTGCTTCCACTTAGATCTCAGATGATCCTTATAAAAGTCTGAGATAGGAACGTGGCAGCCACTGTGGGTTTCTAAAAATACATCGCTGTGAGGCTATGCAATGAAAGCGATACAGAATGAAAAAAGTGCGTCCCTCACAGTGTCATGCATGCGATGCTTCTCTGACGGGGTTTCACCCATACGCCCTGCTGCATTAGTGCTCGTGTAAACCCTGCACTGGAGCATTAAACACTGCAGGCGTTCACTGCAGGGCTCTTTAGACCTGCACCGCATGCACACGTGCATCAGCTCATCTGACTGCATCCAGGCAAGTCAAAGGAGTTCACTGAAAGCTTTAAATAATAACCCACATGAGAATCCAAGTGCCCTTCTTCTTTTCATTTAATAACTCATGCAGACGTGGACGTCATGCAACACAATTATGCAGGGTTTTTGCACTATAAAAACTTATTTGTTTGATTTGACAACAGATCGACATCCGCCATGTTTCCATTTACCTTTCCACATTAGTATTAGTTAACTGTGTGTAAATAATTATTCACTTCAGCTAGTTTGAGAGTTATGGTTTGGCACATATACAGACTTAAACATGCAAATCTAACCTTTAAACCCTGCAATATCCAAAACATCACAAGTTAAAATACACTGACAAAAGGGGACAAATTATTTTTTTAACTGCTTACTTGCATGCTTGTTTGTTTAGGTGTTGCAAATGAGCTCCAGGGTTTACAACCAGGAGTTTTTTTTAATAAATTGTAGCATGCAAACAAGAGGAAATAAATATTTTTCCATGCATCCTCAGACAGACACTGAAAACTCAAGTTATGAATGCAGATCAGAACAACTCCATGCAGCAAACTCATGATCGATGAGGATTATTGACAAATCACGGTCATTTAAATCGGTTCCATCCGTGCATTGCATTAGAAAGCCCAGGCACAGTGTTAAAAATATGGTTATTTTCTAAATGCATGTCATATGATGGTGATAAATGCACAGATCTACGCCCTTCATCTCTATGCATGAAAAATAACTGCTTATCCAGCATTAGAAAAAGACAGCCAGCGTGCACACCACATACATATTATTAAACATGTTAAAAAAGCGCTTATAAAGTAACTCAAATGTGCTATTTCAACCTATATAAACAACAAGTTTTGCATGACTCATTTGTGTCCTGACCTCTGCAAAGATACACCAAAAGGGGTTTAAATAACAGCACATGTAAATATATAAAACTCAATGGGGTATTAGCATGATTGTTTATGAATATTTGATATGAAGAATATGCATACATAACGTTAAATACACGAGTTCAGCACTTTCACACTGGGAAAACTGGCAAAATAACTAATTAACTGGCGATTATATTACTTTATAAACTATCTAGACAGGTAAACAAGCTTATATTGATTTAAACTACATGCATATGCCGATTAAAATTAAACCACGAAGCGCGTTGTTAACAAGATAAACAAAACGAACTAAATTATGCAGGCGGCTAGTTAGCTTAGCACGAGCCAGCACAAAACTGATTGTCCTCGGGAATAAAATTCCCTTTCTTACCTGGAATGAGGAAAATACACAATATCTCAGCGCAGCAGATCATTTAATGCGCTCTGTCAGTTGTTGAAGATGATATTTTATGTGATGTTGTGAGGAAGACTCGCCCTGACTGACTGACTGACTGTCTTTGTCTGACTGACAGCAGCCGTGCTGACGTCACGCCGCACGCCTCGGAGAGACTTGGGAAATGTAGTTCGTTAATCTCGAACGCGCCGCCATTTTCTCAGACATGATGAGCATCGTAAATCCTGCATTGGTTTTTATATTTTCATTTATAAAAAAATTATTTACATTGACATCTTTCTCTCTTCTGACTGTCTATCAGTCTCTCTCTATTTTTTTCCTCTTTGTGAAAGTTGTGAAAACACTAATGTTTACCCAAACTATGACGACTTCTGCTTCTGAGAAACCCGGAAATGTGAAAAGTCGGTTGACTGGTGTTTTTCTCTTGCTGCTTGTTTTCTTTCTTTTTTCAGTCAACCTAAAGACAAGAACCGGGAGTTAATGTGAAAGACACACGGTTTCCTTAAATGAACTTAAAGCCCCTTTTAAAGTGTGTCATGGCATCTGCGGAGGATAAACATGACATGGACATGATATCTACAGGTAAAGTGACTCCTCATGACTCTTGTTTCTTTTGATTTAGTGGACGAAGTTAGAAATATATCGTATCATTACTATTTAGTAACCCAAAAAAATCAAATGCGGCCTTTTTGTATTTTGGTTGGCAAAGCGGCCAGTGGAGGGCGCTGTTTTGCACTGTTGTCATTTTGTTGACCATCCATTTAGACAACCATATGGTCAACAAAATGACAATCGAATCTCTGTCCGAATGAGCTCAGTATCGGATGAATAAGTCTTCTGTTTCATTGCTGTACTTTAATCTACATATTACAACTCTCTAAAATGAAATAATATGCAGGAATTCTTCAGTGCCGCCCAAAGTCACTGCTAGCATTCTTGTCCATGTGATGTTTATGATGTCTTGTGTTGTAGATTCACAGAAACGCTGCATTTATGTGACCAAGATTGACATATTTACATCTGTGGGTGATGTTGTGCACATTCTAATGTTTTGTTTGTAACATATTGCATTTGTTCTGATCTGGACTTAGTTGATTCAGTTAACAAACACTCATGTGCATGAGATCACAGACATTTAGTTTTTCCTGATAAAACATGGATGAATTGTACCCTTTTATTCAAAAGCGTCTTCCAAATGCATACATGTAAATGTACCCTCTGGATAGATATAACAGGGTCATTTAGAAAATGGGCATTGCAAAATATACTCAAAAGTCTATATTATACTAAACGAAAACTCAGAACTTCACAAAATTAGATGAGCAGCACATGATACTAGCTAAATAAAACAAGCATGCAACGTTTTATGGAGATCAGACCATAACTGGTGCTATAACCATTAAAAAAAAACGTATTTCCTTAGTTAATTGTCTGTAAATTATCTTTTTTTCTCCATCTATGATCTCTAGATGGTGGCTTGTTAAATAAAATATAATACCTTTTTACATGTGCTTAAAGTGCTTAAACCCCGATAATTGCTGCTTGCAGCTATACTTTTGTTTTTGTTTCTGAAAGGTTGTCTAAGTTGTGTGCCATTTGGTTGGAATGATGTAGATACGATTCTGTGAATTAAGGAGATTGATTTTCAAACACTTGAGAAATGAATGTTTTGAAGTGCTCTCGACATGGCTAATGTGTTGCAAGACAACAAGTGTTGTTGCCAAACAGCTTAACAGTAGCTAACTGAGCGGTAAACACAAGCCTGTTTAAATGACTCTGTGACATTTCTGACACTTCTGTGTCAGTGTTTGTCATGACCTGCTGTCACGCTTGTGGCACTTTTGCAAGACTTTGCCAGAAGGCAGGGAGTAAGTTGTGTCTTGACCATGGTTCTGCTTGTTTTGCATTGTCAAACATTTTGTTAACATGCTTCAGTGTAGTGAATGAATCTCACAATAACATGTCTCAGTCACAGTCTACCCCATACTCAAATGCAAAAAAAGAGATATAAAAGAAATGTAGGTCACCCTAATTCTCATTATAATAAATCGGAAAAAAATCTCATAAAGATATTTTACTTTTCCATTTTAGGATTTCCTGTAGTGATCCTTATTGTAAATCCAGGAAAAAAATAAAATAAAATAAAAATACTAATACAAATATATTTTTTTTATACACAAGTAGAGCATAAATGAAGCTAAGCACACCTGTATAAAATATAAATTTTGCATTAAGATAATGAAGTCTAATATTTATTTATTTTATATTTTCATTTTTATTTAGAATAAATTAAATGCAGGATAAAAAATGCAAACAGAATGCATAAATATTTTACTTTTTTTTTTCTTCTTTTTTTGCATTTGAATTTTGAGGTAAAATATGGTTAATTGTCATGACAATTTCACAATTGAAAAAAAGGAATTAATTAATGAAAAGCTCAAAAATATGCTTTATTTTTATGGTAAAAATACAAAAAAAAATAACAGCTCAAAACTATCCTTTATTTTTATATATAAAAAATAAATTAAATAAAAAGTAGTATATATATGTGTGTGTGTGTATATACATATATATATATATACACACACACATATATATACTACTTTTTATTTAATTTATTTTTAAATTCTACTTTTTATTTAATTTATTTTTTTTATAATTTATATATATATATATATATATTGGTTTTTGTGATGAAATGTGATATATGAGTTTTGTATCTACCTGAGTTAGAAAGTTCATTTCTTTCCCAGCAACTGCTTGGGTAATTATGACAGTCTTCTCCTCATTTGGTGGAATACTGTGGTCCAGCTGTCAGCAGGGTTCACAGACGTCTGTTTCAACCCCCTCAGCTGCTAAACGCTACGAGAGACTGAGCGCATGAGTTAAAATTAGCTCTTAGTCAACACACGGCTTCACGGGTCAGGACATAAAGGACTTTGGGGTCTCTCCAGACAGTCTAAACTGTCCCGTCTTGCCCTCATCCAGGACATTGAGAAGGCAAAAGAAGTGAGATTGAGTGATATCAACCAGATCTCTACCTTCTTTCTTATTGGTCACTCTCTATCTCTCTTTCCTCAGTCATTCTGCTCGCTCAGGCTTGGACAGAGGACAATACGGTTCTCACAGACCGCTTGTGCTTGGACAGTCTCTGTAGGAGCAGAAGACAGCGAAAAGGCAGGACAGCAAGAAGGAGCGTCTTTGTGATGGTTTATCCCAGGAACAGATGGACATTAAAGTGGACGTTTCTTTTGACACCGTTTTAAAGTCTTCGCTGACTTTGACACAAAGTCATCTGTGAACTGATACCTCTAACTTGGGACCATATAAAAAAGGTATGTTGTGCACTTCTTTAAAATGTCACATGTTTTTTTTTTTTTAATCAAAATATTTGTGTGTGTGTGTGTGTGCGTGTGTGTATACATATGTTTGTGTGTGTGAAAAGTAAAAATGTTAAAGGAAAAAATATCATATAATTTTGGCTGGCAAAAAAAAAACGTAACATTATTTAAGCATGTGATTAATGTGATTTTTATATATATATATATATATATATATATATGTAGTGCTATATATATATATATATATGAAGAGTTCAGATGCAAAAGCCTCTAAATGCCATTTGAAATTTTCTTCTAAAATCAAGCTTGTATATTTTTATCAAGCTTGTATATTTAAGTTCAGTAATTTCACTTAAATGGCAATGAAGATTACCTATTAATTGTCATTTAAGTGAAATTACTGAACTTAAATATACAAGCTTGATAAAAATGGTCATTTTAGAAGAAAATTTCAAATGGCATTTAGAGGCTTTTGCATCTGAACTCTTCATATATATATGTATAATACCAATTAATTAATACCAAAATGATACTTTTATTTTTTTTTTCTAACATTTTTGTGTTTCCATTTAATTTAGATTTGTTTTGCACTGTTTAAATTTAGCTGAATTAAGCTTTAAAAATAAGCTTACAATCAACAGGTTATTTTTGTAATTTTTGTTAACTCACCCTATAGAGTGTGACAACATGCCCCGCTACATTTGATAAGCATACAGATTTATCAGTTTTGCCTGGCAGATGAACCAGATAAAAAACAATCTCTTCAGATTTACGTTGAAGACGGGACTCTTTTAGGCATCTATAAACTTCAATAACCCCTCACATCTTTAGCAGGAAGTATAAGAATTGAGATTTATTTGTGTTTATGTGCATGGTGACCATGTAACGGCGAGGTTTGTTGGGCTCTGACTTCATTGTGAGTAAGAGTCAGATTCTCCTACTGAAGGAGTTCCTCTGTGACGGGCCCAGGGGAACCGACTGGCACCTTTACAGCGCTTTAAAGTTCGTCGGTGGCAGAGATGATGTCTTAAATCAGCCTGTGTGACTCAAGACTCTCTGGACTTTAGGGTCTGTCTAAACATTTCAGTTTGTGGAGAAACAGAAGAGATGAAGTCCAGAGTGCTTGTGTTTAGACTCAGGAAGAACATTGCAAATAATGTTGGAATCCCTGATGTGACGTCACCATGCAATACCGTGGTACTTTGTTATGTAAACAGTGGCACTGATGATGTATGATTTCTGTATTTATACTTTCAGTACACTTTTATGGTCACTTGGCGGTAGTTTGTGTCTGATTTCTTCCGTGCCCGTAGGAATGATTGGCCCAGTGTTTCCTTTGACTCATCTGCCACAGTTAGCGTCTGAACTAATGACCTGATAAGACACGGTACATTACATCAGCTCTCTAATTCTGCACCACCGTGTGAGAAACGGCAACAAGCCTCCTCTCCTACTTTTGGTGCTCGTCATCGTCATGACAACAAAACAGAGGCTGCTTGTTTAGATGCTTTGTTTAGTTAATTGACATATGTTTAGTTTATTTTTAACAAAAAGTATGCAGGTTCTAAATGTTGCCATCGCTCTTTATTGAGTTTACTAAAACATACACTTACGTAGTGTACATAAAAATGTATTTGTTAGAGAACCATGTAAATACTGTTGTCAGTATGACTTTACCAAGACTTAACGTAAACACCTTGGGAAAGTACCATGGTAATACTACAGTTTTAGGGCCAGTTGTTCAAAGGTAAGCTGATCGGATTTTGGTTATCGGATTGGATCAAATCTTGAAAATGGGTTGTTCAAAAGGAATCTGAAATCAGATTAGATCAAGGAATCCAATCCTAGTTTTAATCTGGATCAAACCTTCAGTTTGTGTTGTTCAAAACTTGTCAGTGGGATTTGGATAACTTTGATCCAAAAAAACAGGATTATCCTGATCCCAACAGGGGGTAGGATTTCAAGGTGGATTTCGGGAAGAAAATGTAGTAAAACTTTAATATTGGTCAATTTGTATCATTTAGTGTATATACTTTTATTTATATTTTGTGCTTAACTTGTGTAACCGTTGTAACAGTGATAAAGTAGACATAGGCTAACAATTAAGCTATTCAGTATAGTAAAGTAAAAATAAAATAAAAATATCTTGTCCCCATTTGTGTTTTGTCTCAAAATAAGAAACACTTACAGTGACCCCATGTTGGCTCTTCTACCTGTTCTTTACATAGCCGGTAGCCCACATTGTGATATGTTGTCCCATTTAGAGCACTGGTAATCCGGATTTAGTAATCTTGAAAACTGTGTATCTGGATCAGGGTGATCCAGTCCAATGTTGCTTTGAAAAAGCGGCATAAAAGTAAGACGGATTACCTGATCCTGGATAGGAAAAAATGGGATTTCCAAATCCGGATCATTTTCATCCAGATTAAATGTTTTGAACAACTGGCCCAATGGCATCCAAGATGTAGGTGTCTTTGTTTCCGCAATAGTTTCAATTTTGATAGTTCTAGGTCAAACCGTTCTTGTCTATCAGTCATATAATGGAGGTCTATGGTCACCACCTCAAAGAGCATGCACAGAGAAGTCCAAATTAAACATGATTTAATGACTCGGAAATGTAAGTACACATTGATGATAAGCTATAACATACCAAAAATTAATTTCAAAGTGACCTATCCCTTTAAAGTATGATATAAATGTGTGTATGGTAACATGACATTACCATGGTATATGAATATGGCCACTGTTGTGGAAATCAAAATAAGCCAAACAAAGCCTGAATTTTTCTTTGACCTTGACACAATTATTATACTTTTTTCTTATGTTATTCCGCGATAACCAAGTGACATAACGTCTGGTAAGATTCACCACCATTAAGTTCTTTTGCCTTTCTCTCTAATTGTGGCATTCTGCCTATTGATGGTCAACTCTCTCTCATAGGCAAAATGTAACATTCCCCAAGGCCAATCAACTCCTCCACGTGACCTCTTAACAACGGTCTTATTCTTTCACATCGTCAGGTGTTTACCAGAAAATCCCTGACTATGGACAAACTTCACATCTTGACCTTTGTGGTCACAGTCACTTAGGCCATCAGGGCTTAAAAACACATGTGGATTTTATTATATTCAAACTAAGTCTACAATTGTTTTCTATAGAATAGAGAAAATATTTCAACACTACCAGAGACTATTTCAAACATAGAGATTTCAAACTACATTGGCATCACAATGTTTTGGGGCATCTATGGTATTCTTTGCAGTTCCTATGGAAACAATGTACTGTAAATACTATATCGAAAGTTTGTGGTCAGTCTTTATATGAAGAGTTCAGATGCAAAAGCCTCTAAGTGCCATTTGAAATTTTCTTCTAGAATGATCATTTTTATCAAGCTTGTATATTTAAGTTCAGTGATTTCACTTAAATGGCAATGATAATTACCTATTAATTGTTATTTAAGTGAAATTACTGAACTTAAATATACAAGTTTGATAAAAATCACCATTAAAGAAGAAAATTTCAAATGGCATTTAGAGGCTTTTGCATCTGAACTCTTCATATATATATTATATATATATATATATATATATATATATATATATATATATATATATATATATATATATATAAAATACTTATATATAAAATACTTATATCCATCAAGGACACATTAAATTGATCAAAAGTCACAGTAAAAACATTTCAAATGTTACAAAGATTTGTATTTCAAATAAATGCTGTTCTATTCATCAAAGAATCAAAAATAAAAAAATTAAGCAGCTCAACTGTTTTCAAATTGGCTAATAATGTTTCTTGAGCAGAAAATCATCATGAAGGATCACGTGACACTGAGCACTGGAGTAATAATGCTGAAAATACAGCTTTGGTCACAGGAATACATTACATTTTAAAATAAATTCACATAGAAAACAGTTTAAATTGTAATGTATCACTGATTTTACTGTATGTTTGATCCAATAAATGCAGCATTTTCTTAAATACTGAAGGATATACCATTAAAAGGTTTAAGTACCTTTGTATATCCATCTGATATAATGACTTTACCATGGTACTGGCACAGTTAGAGTAGTTTGTTGGAAACTTTTTATGTCTATAGGAACCATTTTAAACATAAAGTGTTTATGGAAGTTGTTAGTTGCGTACGAGCGGTGACATGGGGCATGTGTTAAAGTTGAAACTCTTCACCTGTTAGTACTCAAGGCTGTGTCTTTACTCCTCCTGGAAGGGTGTGTGTGTCTCTAAAAGGGACACGGCCGTGGGATGTAGGATTAACATTATATCATCGCAGCTAAAGCAGACTCTGGTGAGATCATCTCTCCGCTGCAGCCCACACCTATTGTCAGAGAAAACACGGCAGTGAGCCAAAAGCATTACTGCAGCCGCCGAGAGATCTGGGCTCGCTCATGGCTTTGCGCTTTTTCTGCTAAACTCTTGGAAATCGTTTTTTGTTCCCTGATTGTGACATACTACTAATTACTAAGATGTTTAGTTTATTCTTTAAAGTCACCATGAAATAAAAACGGACAATTCTTGTTTGTTTGCCTTTTATTTATTATTTCAGTATTTTTTTTATAAATAATTTATCCGTGCAGAATGCAGATTAATGTTTTGTAAATTTATGTGGCTCATAAACTTTAATCAAAATATTTTCCCCTGCCTCTTGCAGGGACATCTCTTCTCTTTTCTGTTGACATGTTTATTGGCTCGAGGGCGGGGCAACCTGTCACTCACATGACATCCACCAATAGCAAACCACAACCATCCAATCAGTTCCCCACAGACCAAATCAAGTCCCGCCCACATTTGGTCTTGTTCCAGAAGCCGTTTCACTCTGATAACGTCACTAGAAACAAAAGACTATCGCAACTTTTAAATCTAAAGTGATTTGAATACACGTAAATAGTATTAACAAGATCAAAATTGATGTTCTTCACTTTATTAATACGTGCTCCTGGTCTTATTGTGCACAGTAATTATTTTTTCCAACAAAAATGACTATAGAATCATTATAAATGCTGTTAGTGTGATGTAAAATTACTCATGCTGTGATACGTGAGCTTGATGATCACTCATCCCCTGTTTAACTGTACATGGGAAATGACATCATCTTCCTTCCATCAGAAAGGCATCTGGTCATTCGCCCACTGTGACGGACGATTGGAGGAGAAACATACGGCCATAAGAAAACATGCTTATCAGTAACATTTACTCATCGATCACAGCCAGGCAGGACAAAAGCGAGCGCTGTGATATAAATGACTCCCAAAGCGTGTATGAAGCGAACGCTGAAGTCATTACACAACGAGTGTTTCTCATTCTGGGTCAGCAGATGTCTTTCTGAAGGAGGTGATTTTGAAGGAGCCGTTTGTGCAACGGAAAGAATGTTCCTGATAGCAGAGCCATTTATGAGAAAAGGCTTGTCATTGCATTCATAGTGCCGTTTGTTTCTGAAACTATTTTTTAAAATTATTATTATAACGTTGACTTGACATGGTCTATCTATCTATCTATCTATCTATCTATCTATCTATCACCCATCCATCCACCCATCCATTCATCTATCCATCCATCCCCCCACCCGTCCGTCGTCCACCCATCCATCTATCATCCCATCCATCCATCATCCCGTCCGTCCACCCGTCCATCCACCCACCCGTCCACCCATCCATCCATCCACCCATCCATCCACCCACCCATCAGTCCATCCATCCATCCATCATCCTGTCTGTCCGTCCACCCACCCATCCATCCACCAACCCACCCGTCCGTCCACCCATCCATCCATTCATCCATCCCCCCACCCGTCCGTCCACCCATCCATCCATCATCCCGTCCATCCACCCATCCATCCATCATCCCCTCCGTCCACCCATCCGTCCACCCATCCATTCATCATCCCGTCCGTCCACCAAATTCGTCCGTCCATCAATCCACCAACCCACCAACCCATTCGTCCGTCCACCCTCCAATTCATCTGTCCATCCATCCACCAACCCATTTGTCCGTCCACCCATCCATCCATCATCCCGTCCACCCACCCACCCATTCGTCCGTCCATCCATCCACCAACCCATTGGTCCGTCCATCCATCCATCCCCCCAACCACCCGTCTGTCCACCCACCCACCCATTCATCCTTCTATCCATCCACCAACCCATTCGTCCGTCCATCCATCCACCAACCCACCTGTCCGTCCACCATACACCCACCCACCCATTCGTCCATCCACCCAACCACCCACCCACCGTCCATCCACCAATCAACCCACACACCTACCCACCCGTCCATCCATCCATCCACCCAGCCGTCCACCCACCCATTCGTCCGTCCATCAATCCACCAACCATTTGTCCGTCCACCCATCCACCCACGCGTCCGTCCATCAATCCACCAACCCACCCGTCCGTCCACCCATACACCACCCACCCATTCGTCCATCCACCCATACACCCACCCACCCATTCGTCCATCCACCCACCCACCCATTCGTCCACCCACCCATTCGTCCGTCCAAACACCCACCCACCCATTCGTCCGTCCATCAATCCACCAACCCATTTTGTCCGTCCACCCATCCACCCATTCGTCCGTCCATCAATCCACCAACCCATTCGTCCGTCCACCCATCCCCACCCACCCATTCGTCCATCCACCCATCCACCCACCCACCCATTCGTCCGTCCATCAATCCACCAACCCATTCGTCTGTCCATCAATCCACCAACCCATTCGTCCGTCCACCCATCCACCCATCCACCCGTCCATCCACCCAACCACCCACCCACCCGTCCATCCACCCAATCAGCCCACACACCTACCCACCCGTCCACCCATCCATCCACCCATCCATCCATTCATCCATCCCCACCCGTCCGTCCACCCATCCATCCATCATCCCGTCCATCCACCCATCCATCCATCATCCCCTCCGTCCACCCATCCGTCCACCCATCCATTCATCATCCCGTCGTCCACCCAAATTCGTCCGTCCATCAATCCACCAACCCACCAACCCATTCGTCCGTCCACCCTCCAATTCATCTGTCCATCCATCCACCAACCCATTTGTCCGTCCACCCATCCATCCATCATCCCGTCCACCCACCCACCCATTCGTCCGTCCATCCATCCACCAACCCATTGGTCCGTCCATCCATCCATCCCCCCAACCACCCGTCTGTCCACCCACCCACCATTCATCCTTCTATCCATCCACCAACCCATTCGTCCGTCCATCCATCCACCACCCACCTGTCCGTCCACCCATACACCCACCCACCATTCGTCCATCCACCCAACCACCCACCACCCGTCCATCCACCCAATCAACCCACACACCTACCCACCCGTCCATCCATCCATCCACCCAGCCGTCCACCCACCCATTCGTCCGTCCAAACACCCACCCACCATTCGTCCGTCCATCAATCCACCAACCCATTTGTCCGTCCACCCATCCACCCACGCGTCCGTCCATCAATCCACCAACCCACCCGTCCGTCCACCCATACACCCACCCACCCATTCGTCATCCACCCATACACCCACCCACCCATTCGTCCATCCACCCACCCACCCATTCGTCCGTCCAAACACCCACCCACCCATTCGTCCGTCCATCAATCCACCAACCCATTTGTCCGTCCACCCATCCACCCACGCGTCCGTCCATCAATCCACCAACCCACCCGTCGTCCACCATACACCCATCCACCCACCCATTCGTCCATCCACCCATACACCCACCCACCCATTCGTCCATCCACCCACCCACCCATTCATCCACCCACCCATTCGTCCGTCCAAACACCCACCCACCATTCGTCCGTCCATCAATCCACCAACCCATTCGTCCGTCCACCCATCCACCCGTCCGTCCATCAATCCACCAACCCATTCGTCCGTCCACCCATCCACCCGTCCGTCCATCAATCCACCAACCCACCCGTCCGTCCACCCATACACCCACCCACCCATTCGTCCATCCACCCATACACCCACCCACCCATTCGTCCATCCACCCACCCACCCATTCGTCCGTCCAAACACCCACCCACCCATTCGTCCGTCCATCAATCCACCAACCCATTTGTCCGTCCACCCATCCACCCACGCGTCCGTCCATCAATCCACCAACCCACCCGTCCGTCCACCCATACACCCACCCACCCACCCATTCGTCCATCCACCCATACACCCACCCACCCATTCGTCCATCCACCCACCCACCCATTCATCCACCCACCCATTCGTCCGTCCAAACACCACCCACCCATTCGTCCGTCCATCAATCCACCAACCCATTTGTCCGTCCACCCATCCACCCATTCGTCCGTCCATCAATCCACCAACCCATTCGTCCGTCCACCCACCCATCCACCCGTCCGTCCATCCATCCGCGGTTACAGCTTTGCAAAATACCACAAAGTACTTATCATCATTAATAACTGAATTTATTTTGACCCCATCACAATAATTTGGAATTACAGTCTGCATCTTCCACAGAAAGTTATATATTCCACAGCTCTCTAGAATACCTGATTCTGATGATCATCCACTACATTCCACAGTCATAATTGCATAAAGACGGGGGTTTTGTTCATCCTTTCTGTGTTTGTTTTGCATTAATGACTGACTGTATTTGACCTCTGACATGGTGTTTAGGACTGTGGGAAAATGTAAATTAAATTGGCACAGGTGAAACAGACGAGAAAAGAGGCAAATTTCAGTGCAGTAGAACTGCGTAAAGTACAGTATGAGAGTCCTGTTGAACTCTCACCTAAAACGCGACTCCACATATTTCATCAGGTGCTATTTTAAACTTGAATATATGATTCCTATTTTTATATTTACTTTAAATCCTCCCAGTGTCCTCTCTTTATATATCTCTTTCGCAGACTCTCTCTCTTTGCCATGTTGGGTGACATCAGGTCACATTTATTAGATTAAGGCTGTAGACCTTCAATAGAAGACAGTAAATAGTGTACATTTTTATTTGATGATTTTTACTTTGCATCCAGGCACAAATAGCTGGTGTGCACTTGCGATATGGGTATTTTTAGAAGCTCACGTTACAGGATGATACAGTAGGAAATGGCAGATGGTCAGAGCTTGTGCCGTCACAGGAAATTTTTCGTCCAGTGCACTGAAAACACGCAAAGACTGAGCTGAAAAACAGTCCTCACTGATACATGATGAGAGATGAGAACTGAGGCCTTTTTACTTTTGGTTAACAGAAAATACATTATTTATCCAACATCCTACAATTTTTGCAGACCCTGACTTATCTTGAGGCCACAAGTTTGTTTTGTTATATACACAATACATATTTACACTATCCACGATGCATATTTTTGTATTGCGATATATTGTTACACCATAATTTTTACACCCCTTGTTAATAATTTTTCAAGGATTATCTCTGACATTTTCTGAAAATAAAGCAAGGTAAATCCTTCAATAACATACACATACATATACTTAGGGCAGTTACAAATAGCTCTGTGTACCTGATGTGTTAAAGTGATGACCATATGATGAGCTTAATTTTGGCATCATATGATCAACACAAACGCAGCGCTTCAGTTTGTGCCAGACAGATGCGTCAATGTGAGCGTTTCTCTGCCCTTATTTAGTCACAATTCTTCAGCAGTTCAGCCTTGAAACAAACTTTTGAAACGTTTTCCTCATGAACTGTCTGTGTGTGGGTTCAGGCCTGTCTCTCTGTGTGCTGGAAGATGTGTGAGAAAATATTTAGACAACTGTTACCACCAGCCTTATGTTGTTTAACACTGGTTATAGTTGAGGTTGAGGGTTATTAGTGGTTGAATCCAAGGAGGTCTGTAATACCTGGAGAAAACTAGCGATTCACTTTTTTGTGATGATAAATAGATGGATATATAGATGGATAGATAGACAGATAGACAGATAGATAGACAGACAGACAGACAGACATATAGCTATATAGATAGATAGCTATATAGATAGATAGACAGACAGACAGACAGATAGATATACAGATAGATAGATAGACAGACAGACAGACAGACGGATAGACAGACAGACAGACGGATAGATAGACAGACAGACGGATAGATAGATAGACAAACGGATACATGGATAGACAGACAGATAGATGGATAGACAGACAGACGGATAGATATTTAGACAGATGGAAAGATAGTTAGATAGACAGACAGACAGATAGATAGATGGATATCTATCTATTTAGATAGATAGATAGATAGACAGACAAACAGATAGATTGATAGACAGACAGACAGATAGATAGACAGACAGACAGATGGATAGATAGATAGACAGACAGATGGATAGATAGATAGACAGACA